ATATATAAGTCTTTAGATATACAAAGAGTGTCCAAATCTAGATAGCTTCCTGTATTAGAATATAAAAGGGTATTAGGCTAATTTTCTTATAAATAATATAAATTTCCTAAATGTAAATATAGAAAAATGAACCAATCACACAAATACCAACAGATTGAAAAAAGAATTTCAAAAATTTGTGGCGTATTAAAACGATACCTACATATGTACATAATGTCTTCATTTAAAAGCCTACACAGTGCGTCCTTGCGAATTCCTTTTGGAATGGAAAAGCAAAAAGCAACTGAAATGCGCGCATTTAAAGGCTTATACACGACAAGCGGAAAAATGTTTTCTCTCTGGCTTTCAGTGATTTCTTTTCCATGAACGCGTAGGACAGAAGGTAAAAACGAACGGAAATATGTTAAGGGTCTGTCGTTAAATTCAACAATAGGTGAGTACAATTTAATGGGTCCATAACCATTAGTTATAATATTTATAGTAAGTAAGAATGTACCTAATGATCAAAGAATAAATCTAGTAACAGGCATTCTTAGAATATTCTAACAATTGAAAATCCCTTATTATTTGGAAGCTTATACTTTTTATGGTTGTAATAATAAAATTTAATAAAATGTTAGGTATATTTCTAATATATGTGTATGTCTATTTATCCGCTTACCTCTTCTAAATACTCAACGGTTTTTGATACTCGTTTCTTTTTTTATAGAAAGTTTGATCATCTTAATTTTATACCCATACGAAGTAGAGGTGAATAGGTAATAAATAATAAATAATTTATATTGGTATTATTATGTTCAAAATAGATTTTTCTCTCCTTTATGATCATAATATAGTTTATTAGTTCAAAATTTAAATTTCATGATAATTGCTTTTCTCCAATTTAAAATGCAAATATATATAAATACACACATTCTACATAATTATATATGCTTACTTGCCTTTTACATTCTATATTTTTTTTATTGAAGACAAAATTTTTCTATCTGTACGAATATGCACACACGGACGCAAATTTTGAATGTTAATTGTATTCTTAGTATTAATTTTCTAAAATTTACTCTTATCGCAACTCAACAATTTCTATAACAATATAATTTATATTAAACAATACATACATTTATATATGAAGTTTAAAGATTGAATAATCCATCCTCTTTTTATCTGTCTGTAACAGACGCAGTCCATTAGAGAGAATGTCGGAAATCCTCTTCTTTCCCACAAACATGACAATTAGGAGAAGTGGAACGAATGCGAAACGTAGGTATAGGTATACGTACTTATATTTGCCTAATTTATATAGGGTGTAACGAAAAAGATCAATATTTGTAGAACTAAACAACTTTCCCACTGAACGTGGCAAACACATAATGGATTGAAATTTGAAAAACAATTGAACGTTTAATGCAGACCGCGCGGTTACACGAAAAAATAAATACTCTTATGGAAATTTGAACATTCCTTTACTTATCTATTTATTCGTTAAGGAACTTCGTTATACAAGGATAATTTACGTCTGTTACAGCAAACTTAAAAGTAGAAGATATTTTCTAGCAGTCAATCACTGAGCAAACAGAGAATAAGTAGTCGTTGTATCTAGAAGTGATTATCCATAAAAAGTCAAACATCTCGCCTTTTGTATCACTTCTCATTAATATTTACTATGTTTGTTATTTCTCTTTTTACTTGGTGCAATAAAGTGTTAAATAAATAAATAAATAAATAAATCTATTATACGAAGTGAATTGCTATTAAAGTATATATTGTATTTTTCCTTTGCGCTAATTTTTTTTTAATGACAAATTTTAAAAAACACTAACTAAACACTGCAATAGTTGAAATAAGTTTGTAGGATGTTTTAGTTTTAAATTAGTTCAGAAGCAATTCCAGTTTACACAAAAATAATATGGAACCCAAACGTAAGTACTGATTACAACAATAAAATAAATATATTTTTGGTAGTCGTTAATATGAATAGAATGTACTCTAGACATAGACTAAAGTATGGCTAAACCACTCCCTGCTACGAATAATTGATTATTAGTAAAATATTAGTAACTAATGATTCGCGTCTGCTTCGCTCGGGAAGATAGAAAGATAAATTAATATTTTATATTAGCTTTAGCTTATATGGACAAAAGTTTTTATTTATATTTTATTTAATTATTTTGAAAATAATGTGTTACCATTATATTGCTCGCCGATAATGTAGCTTTGTAAAAATAAAAAAAGATTAAAAATGAATTCAATAGTTTTTAAGTTTTATCCATTATAAACAAACAAACATACATAAACTCAATATATAAAAAATACAAAAAATATACGTATGTGCATGTGAACTTAAAAATCAGTTATTTAATTATTCCACTTTATTATAACGTACTATATACATAAATAAATAAAAGCCACGCATACTTTGTAACACCCTGTGTGTTTACTTAACTAATGACGCATAGAATTGCAGCGCTAAAAGCTTATCCCAAGCTGACGGTATCTATCACGGACAAAGAGATAAAAAAGACGCCACAAATCTTCTTTATGCCAATCGTGTTCCCGGCTTTGAATGAAAATGCAATGAAGCCAGCGAGCTAAGCGCTGAATCAATAACCACACTGTTTATAGTATTGCAAGCTTTATATTCAAGTTATAAACACTTTAAAAGAATATTATAGATAGAAGTTACCTACTAACTACGCCTAATTTACCAAGTACAACTTGGACTTACACAATTGATGACCCGCATGTAGGCATGTCTAATTAGGCGTTTATTAATTTATCGTTGCAAATAAACATATTGATTCTAATTAACTTTACTTCAACATCATTCCAGCAGTTAACAGTTCACAACTATCCATAGAACTTTTCAATTTCATTTAATATCTGAATTTTAAAATATTACAGTCTTCGTCAATTATGGCTTCGCTCGATAACTAAGATATATATTGCTAAAGCAATAGATACTTACCTTAGGTATTTACTTACGAAGGATAATTAATTAGGTAATTAAAATAAATTTACAATGGCAATTTGGCTAGCCATAAACCAAAATATCTACTAAAATACATTTTACCTCCTTATTCTTAGAGCCCCGGTAAATTAAACTTAGCAACTTGGCATAAATTGTCACAAGAACACTTACCACTCACATTAAGGTCTGCCAAGTCCACAAGTTTAATTTATGGGAAGAAAGATCACTTCTGGGGCGTCCTATAGGCATAATGACAAGATAAATTCTTAGGGGCACATAGACAAAGGTTATAAAGGGATTCATTTTGAAGTAAGCACTTCATTAAATGTAGAGATAGCTTGCGGTTAGCATCTTTGCTGCTAAGAGTAGGTATTAATATCTACATAATATCGGCAGACTATTAAGCGGACGATATCGCTTAAAGCTTGTATATTGTAGGCACGCTTACTTACAAACTACCAAATCTAGATAAATATACAGTACTGGTGTTAAAGGAAGAAAGGTCGGGCGGCACTCAGGGGCGCCTATACATTTGAAACTGCTCTCCGTCTCTGACTTTTGCTACTGTATTGCATTTAAACAATCTAGCTATTTAGAAGTAATTGTGCTATGTAATACATCTTTTTACAATTAGCATTTGTTAGCCAAATGTTCTGGCCGTGTTTATTGTAATACAGAATACGTTAACTAGAGATACTTTGATGATCATGATGATGATGAAATCAGCCATTAACTGTCCACTACTGAACGTGAGCCTCTTCCATAAGGGGGCTTTGCCAATAGCCGCCACACTTGGCAGGCGGGTAGGCAACTGCAGTTAGGCTTTGGTGATGTGTTAGGAGGGATACTACTGCCCGTTTCTCGACCATTAAGTTCCATTAGCCACTTCTTACGACACCCATGGAAAAGTAAAGGGTGGTCTAATCTATTCTGAGACCACACGGCTATTCTTTACTATATACACGTACTTTAAAAATTTATAATTACATGCATTTAAAATAATGTATAGTTTATCTAATTATTGATACCTAGTAGATACTACCTAAGCTACCTGCATAGTATATTAGCAGAGACTTGGTTTTAAGTTATTAATATTTAACTACATACAAAAGTCCGATTCAAAATAATCAAACGGTTTAATTTCAACACGTAGTTATTTCCTTATACAATTTTTATTTATAGATTAATAATAGAAACGTGGCCCTATTGGTAATAATTCCTATCAGGTTGACTTCCACGTGGTTCACCCTAAAAACCATCGTATTAAAGACCATTCTAGATAAATTCGTCACGATAAGCTAACTGACCTGTTTTCATTAGAGGGAAGGAATTGTTAGTAATGCGGACTACCAGTCCTATTGCTAGCATAATCTCAGGTCGACCTCCACGTAATTCCCTCTGGAAACCATCGTGCTGCAATTCCAAATATATTAATCAAGATCGGCTAACTGACCTGCTTTTGCTATCATCCCTCACTGCTGCCCTGCCATCTTATACCGTTAGAACAGGCGGGATTACCATTCCATTATCACCAATTTTAGAAAAAAGAATTTTATAGTGATTGTTTAAGTCGTGAAGGCGCTATATCAAACAAGCTCACTTTCACATTAATAATATTAATAAGAATTATACATATCAATAATCCGTAAAGAAATATGACAGTGGAAAAAAAGTATATAAAAAAATATTTTATTCTTCAAAAAACTGCTACGAGAATGACAATTTTTTGTGTTATCTACATCACTCTTTGAAGACAGCAATAGTTTTCATCCATTTCATTCATTCATTCAATAGAGAGTTGGGAGTGAAAGGAGAGCGTAAGAGAAAAAACTAGAAATGTAGGAAGGGGTGTTTTTTTTATCGTTCACTGTGTGATATATAGCAAAACATAGTGAAAATCACTACAAGTATGTAATTGGGTAAAATTAAAAGAACTCGTTTTGGAGAATAAATTTTTGGCATTTCAATAAAAATAAAATATCGCATCTGGCAATAATATTTCTGAAAAGATACGCTTCGAAGCCAAAATCTTCAGTCTCTCTACTCTGTGCCCAATATAAAAAAAAACATATGTACATCTTTGTTTTGTTTTTATATTTTAAAAACTTTCTACCTGTTTCTTAAAATTTACTGATTGTTTCTATATTAAACTAATTCTAAATAATTCTCTATCCACATATTTTAATTGGAAACATGAAGATTTCTGAGGTATGACATATAAACGTTTTAATCTAAATTTTGTTAATTTGTTTTGAGGTTGTTACGATATGAAACAAATCTTAAAATATTTTTATAAGTACATTTACAAATTGTATTTTATTTTATACCATATTAGATTTGTAATTAAACGCTTTTTCACGTATTGAAGCCTGACGGAGCGAAAATACTCTATGTTTATAACCTATATTGTTATAATGTCCCTAACCATTTAATAATTACTGAGTTTTATCTACTTATCTAAGAAGAGAACCATAGTATGGTATCCATAGTCATGGTACAATGAAATAATAAAAATTTTCTACCAAATAAATCCATAAAACAATAATTTGTTTCCCTATGTCATTTGTACCTTTAATTAACACATAAAACATTTAAAATTATTGTTGTTCTTGTAAAATTGCAACTTAGTTATTGGTTATAAAATAATACAGAAATATTGTTCCTTTACAGTTGCCTGGTGATGAAGATTCTGGTCTAACAAACCGTACTTATGTCTTTCAGAATGAAAGTCACACACTAGGAAATGCTTTGAAATGTATCATCTCTAGATAGTAAGTATTGCATTTCATTTTACAAACTTAGTTTCATCTAGCTCATTTATTCAAATGTCTATGTTTCCAACGTCATTTTCAATTATTATGCTATATATAGCTCTATCTTTTACCTATGATTTTGTTGTCGTAACCAGGATTAAATTAGATTATTAAAATTCCTGTCTTTCTCTGTCTCATATAGTAACTGAAATATAGTGTTATAACCCTACAAACATGTACACATATAATGTTATGCCCATATAATAGTTGATCAAGATAATAATGTGTTAAGAGGTAATAAACAAACCAACAGAATTGAAATTTTATGTTAGTAACGTTTAATTCAGTATTAGTTGTTTTTCAATTAAAAATATATACTAATTCATTTTAAAAAAAATCAAAGATGTTTTTAATAATAATCATGAAATTTATTATATTCATAAAACTATTAACTTCCATTACTATATATGCAGATTATTTTCATTACTATACATCCTAATCTTCACAAATGTCAAAGTATCCTCCGTCACCCTTCTCTACTATACTCAAAGAATGCAAAAATGATTTTTTTTTCTAACATAGGACAAAGTTTGCGATTGTACATTCTAAGAACTTGTCACAAACTAGTTTTGCTAATCCATAGTACAATGTAATTTCTATTTTGACAGACAAATGAGTAACACACAAAATTATTCCATATCTGCACAACCTATCAAGTGCATACAAAATGTGTCAGAATTATAATAATTACTAGTATGTGTATTACAAAATTATTATTATGTATAATTTCAAAAATATCAATATCTGTTTCAGTGAAGATGTTGTATTCTGTGGGTATACAGTCCCACATCCAGCTGAATCCAAAATGCATTTTAGAATACAAGCAAAAGGAACGCCTGCATTAGACATACTAAAACGAGGTCTAAAAGATCTTGAAAAAGTATGCGACCACACACTAGAATTATTTGAAAAAGAAGTAAAAGCATTTCAGAAAAGTTAATATTTCGTTTTTTTTTAACCTGCCTTGTAATGTTTTTTATAGATTGAAATGCATGTAGTCATATATGAATAGACATAGTTCAATTCTTAGTAATTGACACCAATGTAATGCCTTACAGATAACTCAGAGAAATCACTAACCTGCAAAGTAATACAATAATGATGAAAAATAATCTCTCATTCAATGGCCCTTTCATTTAAAGAAATAAATAATTGAGATATGAATATCAACTAATCATTAAATTATAAAGAATATTCTATCAATTGATAATCATAAAACCTATGTTAAATTGAAAATTTTCTTTTTTTGTATTTATAACTGTAAAACGGTGTTTCCCGATGTGAAGCCCACCAAGGGGCAATTGGATAGTTAAGGGGAGGCAATTAAAAAATGGACTCAAAGTGATTTAAAGCCTCTTGTTCCGGGCCATTTAAATGCAATGCTATGAGTTAGATATCGGTGCTAAATTAAACAAAAAAATGCCGTATATTTTATATTTATTAGGTATAATTTCGTTTGACGTTACCAAGAAATCAACTGGGCGATTAGTCATCAACTTAGCTTTGTCGGGAAAAATTATGTATAAGGGTATAATAATTTTAGAAATGTTCAAGTGGGGTATGGCACAAAAAAGGTTAGAAACATTAAAATCGACCCAGCAGTATTTATGACCTAACCTGACAAAAGGGGGGGGATGGGGATGCTAGTAAAGCGAATTAGCGGCTCCATTGCCAGCAATATCCCTTCTCTGTTGGATTTTACACTATTCGCTTTAGAATTAATTCATTGACCCAATTGATTCTTACATATCACCCCTCACTGGTGCCTAGCCTGCGTATGCCAATAACAGACTGGGTTATTCTTTTATTAATTAAGAACCTGATAAAAATTTGAGATATATTAACAGCTTTTACTCGAGATTTTTCCCGCGTGACAATGTTTACTGACAAAGATAAAAAGGAGCCTATATCCTTCTCCACCACCTTCAGTGTGTGTATAATTTCAGTGACCCGTCGTTAAGGTACTATAACAATTTCACGATTATTTTAATGAAACTTTGTACAAAAGTCGATTGCTTGGGTATCTCTGTACCATTCGTGTTTCAACCGTGAAGCAGCTGTTTGCATGGCCGTGTTTTGGTTTGAAGAGTGGGATATGGCATGAATTTACTGGGTACAGAGGAATAACACCCGAGTCCTCAGGAATGGCAACACATGGGGGGTATCATGGGCGAAACAGTATACTGTTATGTCGCCTATAGACATGAACAGTAGTTCATGTCTATAGGCGACGGTTACCACTCCATTAGGTAGGCCGCCAGCTTGATTGCCATTCTAAGTTGTATAAAAAAAAAATACTTTTATTGTTATTATTACATATAATTGTCTGTATGTTGAAAAAAAATTTATGTAATAAAATTACATAAATTTTATAATTTTACCTAGTATAGATTTTTTTAATATTTTCTTAAATACTACATATTTATGGAAACATTAAAAATCTAAACTAGGTAAAAAATTTCCGTTATTGTAGATAAAAATCTTTTAAGAAAGAAATTTTCAAAATTTTCATGTTTATTCTTGTAAATTTGTGAAGATACGATAAGATTTTTAAAAAACAAAATTGTTTAAAAAGTATCTTATAAATACACACCATTATAGAGATTAATTAAAATAAAAAACAAAAAATGTTAAATTTGTTTAATTACATTTAACATTGAGATGTTCTTAAACTTTGAATTCCGAGTATGGTGACTTAGTCAATGGGATATCTCGCCATAAATCGGGAGTGAGGTATGCATAAGTCTTGGCAATAGCAGCATAGGTAGCTTTAGCAAAATTGCCTAGTGTACCAGTGGAGCCACGAGCTGATGTGTAACAGTCTTGTACTCCCGCCATTTGAAGCAACTTCTTAGGGACTGGAGCAGATACAATGCCAGTACCACGGGGAGCAGGGATCAGCCTGACAGTGACAGAACCACATTTACCAGTTACCTGTAACAGAAAATGTTTATTAATCTCCATTCAAATACAAACATTTAATACGATTGTAAAGATTGAAAATCAGACGCTTTAAAAACTTCACTGGAAAAACCTCAAGAGGATACCACGAATGAAATGATTATCAGTTTTCATCATAAAAATTAAAATTAAATAATGAAATACAAAAAGTATTACATAGACAAAAGATTACCTTGCAAGGCACTGTATGAGGCTTTCCAATCTTGTTACCCCAATATCCTCTACGCACTGGCAGGACTGATAGCTTGGCAAGGATGATTGCACCTCGAATCGCAGTAGCAACTTCTTTGCTGCACTTTACACCCAAGCCAATATGCCCATTGTTATCTCCAATAGCCACAAATGCCTTGAAACGCGTACGCTGACCAGCACGAGTTTGTTTTTGTACAGGCATGATTTTCAAGACTTCATCGTTGAGAGACGGACCAAGGAAGAAATCTATAATTTCAAACTCCTTAATTGGCAAAGAGAACAGGTAGATACTCTCAAGTTTGTCGATTTTGCCCTCCCGAACAAGACGACCAAGTTTAGTTACGGGCACCCATTCTTTCTGATCTTCCTTGCCGCGCCCGCGACCGCGACCTCGACCGCGTCCACGACCACGTGGGCCACCACGGCCTCTATCACCACCACGTGAACCAAAACCACCGCGGAAACCGCCACGTCCACCGGCTGGAGCTGCGTCCGCCATTCTGCAATTAATGTTTATTACCTAATTTACTAAACCACCTCAATGCTCTAAAGACATGGTGAATAAATATATATAATCAGACGCGTTAAGGCCATCACCGTGTAAACACTATGGTAGATACCACGAATGAAATGAATTTAGAGTCTCATCATTTAAAATCCACGTGTTGAATAATATGAAGGTTAAGTTGCAGACTAAATAAAAATAATATAGTTTATATTGTATAATTAGATTATTGAAAACTTTTAAATTTTATAAAATACAGAGAAAGTTCTAATTCTAAATTAGATGGATCTAAATCACTTAACATAACTTACGTTGAACCGTGAGCGAAGGGAGACAGTCAAATAGAAAATGGCCGACCGAAGCCAAAGACCGTCGCTTGTCTGCCCGCCGAATTCAAAGTTGCCAGATGCAATTTTTATTTTTAACCAAACGTCAAATAACTGTATTTGTAGAAAATGTTCTCAAACTCGGTACGATTTTCTTTACTTGACCATAGATACTAATTTTGATTAATGCCTTTACCCAAACAAGTTATACTAAGTCTTGCCAAATCACAAACTTGTATACATTTTCACTATGTTTTGCCATGTACCACATTACAACGATGCGAGATTTGCTATTCGAATAATTTGTAATTACAAATTTCATAATTGAATACAAAATTAGTAATGTACAAACTTTCGTATTGGAATGATTTTACTAGTAACAATAGTTTTTACTTAATCTACTACTATCAAGTTCGTTCCCTGTATCCACTACTGTAGTAATAGAATGTTAATGAGATAATGAATGACGATAAAAAATAGCGGTTAACTACATTCCTTTTCCATATACATAATTAATTGCTAAAAAAAAGTACTTTGTTATTTACTTTAATGATGACTATCAAAAATTGGAAGTTTCACTAAATACAAATTGGTAACACTCTTGACCATTAATAAAATGAAAAAGACATTCAAGCGATCGAGTTGAATTTCCTATATTCTTACACACTCGTACATCGACTAATACAAATGACTGAAATTAGTAGTCAAACGACATAATTAATCCGATGAAATTAATAGTAGTCAATTAAATAACATTAGTAGCCCAATAATTTGAAAATCAATTGAATAATTCGATTGATTTGCTCAGTCGAATAATTAATAGTATTCTTTCTAATATATATTACAATTAAATCATATGAATATACACTGTGTTGCTATAGTCTGTGTTGTAATAGTATTTTTTATAATAGAACTCTGTAATTTTCTTTTTGAAAAAAAGCGCGGGAAACGTTTAAAAAAGCGGGAGTGTTTTTTGATCTTCTTTAAATTAATTTTATTTTTATTTATATAAGGATTAGTCTTTTTTATATATTGTGTATTAGATTGTATATTTAATTGTATATTTTGTAGTAATAGTGTTTGTTGCTGTAAATATTGGTAAGTAAATTACCTATATTAACATTATGGATCCACCTATAGACCCTGGGGGGACAACCCCCCAGGTGTCTGCAAATATAACTATTCCATTCAATAATAGTTTTGATATATTGGGTGAATCTAGTATGGACACAGATGGTTCTAGCGTTGCAAGTTCTAAACGTAAGCGAGTACGTGGTGAACGTCGCATTTGCAAACATTGCAATAAAAAACGAAGGAGGCACACCAAGGGTCTTGAATCTAAAATTAAAGATAGTGATTGTCAATGTATTGAAGATGAGAATCAAAATCAAGTATCAATACCAGTTGTAAACAATACCGAGTCTGTTAAACCTGCTTCTCCACCCAGTACTTTAAGCAGAACTTTGTACAATGCCGAGGATATAGCACCTTATGTCGTTCATGTACAAAAAAATGAAACACATCCTAATGATAACACTACATTACATCCTATTGCATTTGGTCGCTTTTTACACACTAATAAGATAAATAATATAGTGAATGGTAGCCTCAAAAGAATAGGAAGAAACCGTTTATCGCTTTCTTTCTCAAATTTTGAAAATGCAAATGCATTTTTAAATAATAGTAACTTAGTGACACATAATTTTAAGGCATTTATACCTTCTTTCCATGTAACCCGTATGGGAATTGTGAGGGGTATTCCTAAAGATTGGACAGAAGAGGAAGTAATCCAAAATATATCAGTACCGATAGGTTGTGGGAAAATTCTAAAAACCAGAAGAATAAAGAAAAAGACAATTAATGAAGGACAACCAAGTTTTATTAATACTGAAACCATTGTTATTACTTTTGATGGACAAATATTGCCAAAAAGAGTATTTATGTTTTACACATCATTAACTGTAGATTTGTACATTTACCCTACTATCCAATGCTATAACTGCTGTAGGTTCGGACATGTCAAGATGCAGTGTCGTTCAAATCCTCGGTGTTATAAATGCAGGCAAAATCATACAGGTGATAAATGTGAAGTAGATGAGGAAAATGTTTCTTGTATCTTGTGTAATGGTTCTCATTCAGCAATTAGTAAAAAATGTCCTGAATATGCACGTCAGAAAGCCATTAAAGAAACAATGGCCCATAGTTGTGTTTCTTATGCTGAAGCATCAAAATTTCATCCTCCAACTTCTAAACTATATTCAGATGTATTAACATCATCATCTCCTTCCAATAAATCTCATTTTCAATCTTCTTTCCTTAAAGAGAAATCATCATTACCACATATACAATCATCATATAAAAAAACAGTTACACTTAAACCACGCTCTCCTCAAAAAATACAACAAGGATATGATCGTTCTGCCCATGAAGCCATAGTTAAGGAATATAATATTCCTGCTCCCTCTAATGGTTGTGCATTATCATCAAATAATATTGACAATAATCAATCCATCATTGATATTATTCTCATGCTTATTAAAGTGTTATCGCAATCAAAAATGATACAAACAACTTTACCACCATCCAACGATGCCATGTACAATGTATTTTCTCAATTATTAACTTCTCACAATGGATTACAAAGTCCAAATAATTCAGTGGAACTGTCGTAGCATAACAAATAAGAAATCAGACTTATTTTATTTGATTAATAAATATAATCCTTTTATAATAGCTCTACAAGAGACTTGGTTAAAGCCAGGATATCCTTTTAGGATTTCAGGCTTTACAAGTCTCCGTGATGATAGAGCTGACGGATATGGCGGTGTTGCCATATTGGTCAAAAACTCCCTTCTTTTTCTTCTTTTTCGCTTCCTGTATATAGCGGCATTAATGCAGCTGCTATAATTATAAATGGTATCTGTTTTGTTACTTTATATATTCCTGATCCTACATGCCAAATATATTCACAACTAGAACAATTATTTTCAATTTTACCTAAACCTTTTCTCGTAATGGGCGATTTTAATGCTCAGCACCAATCGTGGGGCAGTTCTACTTCTAATTTTTATGGTGGAAAACTCCTGACGATAATTGACACTTACAATTTATGTATTATTAACTCAGATGTACCGACACGTAGAACTGCACCGAATGAAGGGTTTAGTGCTCCTGATATTTCAATATGTTCTTCTGATTTAGCTTCTTCACTGTCGTGGTATCCTCATTCCTCTACCTTCGGAAGCGATCACTTTCCCCTCATTCTTTCTTTTCCAATTTCCATTCCCTCAAGTCGAAAGAGTGGTCCTCGACTTAAATATAATTTATCAAATGTAGACTGGAATATTTACAAACAATATTTAGATAATAAAATATCGGAGTTACCTATTGTTTATCATGGAAATGAACATCAATGTTGTAATGACTTGATAATTAATATGAAGGAGGTTGCTGATTTATTATTTCCTGTTAAAAATAGTGCTTCAGGGAAAATTCCCTCCCCACCTTGGTGGGACAAAGATTGTACGGAAGCAATTAAAAATCGTAAAGAGGCTGAAAAAAATTATAATAATTACATGACATCAGAAAATTTTGAAATTTACACCGCAGTTTCACGTTCTACTCGAAAACTACTGAAAAAAAAGAAATTGGAAGGTTGGAGAAGATTTTGTTCTTCTATCTGTCCAGAAATTAATTCATCAGTCGTTTGGAATAATATTAAAAGATTCAGATCTGCCTTTAGTGATCATACATCACGTTCTGCACTCGATTTAACTTTAGCGAATAAATTTTTAGATCGCCTTGCTCCTAGTTATGTGCCGGAATGCCTTTACAATATTTCTCTATCCGTCTCTGACGAATTATCCGAACTTGAGTCTCCTTTTACTCTTGTAGAACTTAAAGGTGTTCTAGCTTGTATTAAAGACTCTGCACCGGGAGAAGACGGTATACCGTATTCCTTTTTTAAAAATGCTAGCGATGCGACATTAATTTACTTTTTAAATATAATTAATTCCATAATTATTTCGGGAAATATACCTACTTCATGGAAGTCTCAGATTATTATACCATTTCTAAAGCCTCATAAACCACCTTCTGAACCGTCTTCATACCGTCCTGTTGCACTTTCCTCTGTCTTACTAAAGCTAGCTGAACATTTAGTGAAGAACCGTCTAGAATGGTTTTTAGAAAGTAATAACTTACTATCCCCGAACCAGTTTGGTTTTAGGAAAGGTAAGAGCACCTTAGATAATGTGAGCATTCTTATTTCAGATATTCATATAGCTTTCTCACAAAATTTGTCAATCCTCTCAGCCTTTTTAGATATAAATTCTGCCTATGATAATGTAATAATTTCTATTTTAAAAACTAAATTACAAGCTTTAAATGTACCGGTAATGCTTTCTAATTTCATTATTAATATTTTATCAGAAAGAACAATACATATGGATCTAGATGAAGATACCAAATTATCTAGAACAGTATGGAAAGGCCTTCCACAAGGATCTGTTCTCAGTCCAATTTTATTCAACATATACACATACGATCTAGAATCATTCCTTGATAAATCCGTCAAAATTTTACAATATGCTGATGATCTCTTATTATATTTTATTGCGAAGTCCATAGAATCTGCTTCTGCCAAATTATCTGATTCATTAGATTTGTTAAAAACGTGGTTAGATGCAAATGGTCTTAATCTTTCTGTAACCAAGAGTAGTGTAGTTTTGTTTTCAAGAATGAGATCACCGCAATAAATTAAGGTGCTTTATGATAACTCATACATTCCTATAAAGACTGAAATTAAATTTTTAGGTATCGTGCTAGATAATAAATTAACAGGTCTGTCCCACTGTAATTATATTTCCACGAAATGTGAGCGTAACCTCAACATTCTTAGGTGCCTTGCTGGAGTTTGGTGGGGAGCACATCCCGTTTCACTAAAACTTGCTTATAATGGTCTTATAAGGAGTGTCATTGATTATGGAACTTTTTTGTTAGCTCCAGGAAGTTCATTTGCTTTTAAGAAATTGGATTTAATTCAATCAAAGGCCTTGAGGATTATCTCTGGAGCAATGAAATCAAGTCCAATCAATGCTTTACAGCTCGAAATCGGTGATCCACCTTTGGTTTTAAGAAGGCAATATTTATCTGATCGCTTCTTTTTTCGTTGTTTACAATTATCTGATCATCCGCTTATTCAAAAGTTATCTCAACTATATATCTTTATTTCGTCTTCATCTTATTGGAAACATAAAAAACCTCCATGTTTAATACAAAGTTATGAAAAATATAAATCCATAGAATCTCCCACTTTTACATCGTCCTGTTTTCCCATTTATAAATGCTCATATCAATCTTTAGTTTTATCTCCTAATATTAAATATGATTTTGGGTTATCAAAAAATGATTCAGAATTGAATGCCAAATTTATGTTTATAACTGACATTGAATGGAATGAATGGCACTACATCTTTACTGATGCATCAAAACCAGACAATAGCGGTTGTGTAGGTGTGGGTGTGTTTCATTCACAATTTAATATCGTTCAAAAAATTAAACTTCCACCGGAATCTTCAGTTTTTACCGGGGAATGCTATGGTATTTTAAAAGCTGTAGAATATATACTTTTAATGAAATTACATAAGGCAATAGTTTTCACTGACTCTATGAGCTCTTTGCAAGCTCTAGCCAAATATCCGTTTAAATCAAAACCAGTTTATCCCATTATTTGTGACATAAGACAAAGTCTTTATCTTTGCATGTTGAGAGGGTATTCCGTTTCTTTTGCCTGGTTACCAGGACACAGTGGTATTAGCGGCAATGACAAAGCTGACCTTATTGCAAGAGAGGCTGTAACTTGTGGTGATATGTATCCGTATCATAATTACTGTAGTGACCTAGCTTGTCTCCCAAAAATATATTTAAGGTATGCCTGGAAGGAATATTGGGAAAAAACAAGTACAATAAAAGGAAGATTTTATCGCCTTATACAACCCGATATTCCTTTCAAACCATGGTTTTGTAAATTAAAGCTTGGAAAGACCGCAACAACTATTATAACTCGTATGCGTCTAGGTCACGTATGCACACCTTCTCATTTATACAAGCTTGGTATTGTACAAAGTTCGTCGTGTAATTGCGGTGCTGAAGTGGCGGACTTGAATCATATATTCTTCTCATGTTCTAAATTTGACCACACCTCCCTTTTTAATCATCTCCGATCCATCCGTGTTCCATTCCCAACTTCTATTCTTACTCTACTTTCTTCCAATGATCCTATTATCTATAAAATACTATCTTCATATATATATGATAACAATATTAAGATTTAGTTATATTACATGAATACATTTATAGTTGCATCAATTGCTTTTCCTATATATTTATAAGTATATTCTCATATGTACAAGTATATCCTTCATATCCTATAAATATCCTAGACCTAATCCTTATCCTTTCTAAATTCGTTTGTGTTAGGTATTTTTATTACTATTATCGTTTCCCCGTTTTGTTCTTGGCAAAATACCCTAATATCGGGGTGAACGCCACAAAAGAAGAAAAAAAAAAAAAAATTTTCTTTTTTTTTTTTTAAATGTGAAAAATGCTCATATTCCTTTATTTTAAGATAAACCAAAAATTTTAAATTTAATTGTTTTTAGAGGTAAACAGACATACAAAAATTAGTGAGATGGATGTTTTAAACTTAATTTTTTTCATGAATCCGTCTGACTTCCCGATTTGTTTCAATATTCAATTTTATTTTACTTCTTAAGGTTTTATATCCACGATCATCCATAATACTTGCGCTTTGTAAAAACTAACATTTAATAAGTAATAACAAAAACTTTCAATAAATTACATTTGTTATTTAAAAGAAATATGTAAATAAACAATGGTGCTAAGCGATTAATTTACTAAAATTACTATCATAAAGACGTTTTGTCTTGTGACACTAAATAGCAAATGACGCTGTTTGTCGCAGTATAAGTAAGTTCACTTAACTATTAGAAAGCAACTGCAGTACAATTATACACATGTAGGTACATGACATAGTACAATTATTATACTACGTAATATCATTTTTTTATTAATTTGTAATCATTCAAAAATTAATTTGCGTAGAGTTTGCAGCATATTTATTTTAATAGAAAATAAAGGGGTATCATATTAATTTATTATTTATTAAAAAGCATCGTATGCTTTAAGATATTCTACTCGTGTACAATATTTCATTCAGATCCGTTCAGCCGTTTAAGTGATACTGAGTAATAAACATACAAACACCTTTACGTATAGTATTATATTATTTGTACTTTTACAAACTTTCACATTCTGTAAATGTTTAGATGTTTGGGTGTTTGTTACTCAATTGCTGTCATGCAAATTGCGCAGGCGGGTTTAGCTCCATTTTAATGGTTAAAAAAAAGACACGAAAAATAGGAAGAAAAGGTTGTGCAACGATATGCCAAATGACCTAAAATTATTCACATCGTTTAATCATCCACTGGTACCTCTCCGTTATACATACACCAGTCGAAAAAATCATTCCCTTTTCATCGATTAAAAAAAACATATTACAGAGAACATGAAAAATAAAAGACTTATTTACTTACTAATTACTTATTTATTTATTTATTTACTTTTAAAACATGGTATCAGGAACAGTTAATGTTAATAAGTTCGCACGTCTCCCGACTTATATCTTGTACTACGTAAGGGAATGTTTGCAATCCATGACAAGCTGCACCATACTCCCCGTCCTTGGTTACCGCAATAACAGCACCACTAAAACTTGGATAATACGACGCTATTCTTGCGATTGCAGTTTGTGCTGCTGTAGTCGGTGAAGCCCCTCTACGCATTTCCTCTACAGTTAGAAAGCTGAAATACAAATTGAACTAATTAAATATTAAGGTAATTACCCTAAACACTCATTAGGAAAGTGGTGGGGATTTAATAAAATAACATAATCAGATCGAACTTCCAAGTGGTCCCATTCTAAATCGTCGTGGTTATTTCGTAATGAATTCGTCACAATGGGCTAACCGACCTCATCGTTCCTCACTCGTACCTCACTAGTGTTAACCAAACATCTCGTTCACAATATGATTTACTCATACGGTTGAGAGAAAAGGTTTGTTAGTAATAAGCTCTTACAGTCCCACTGCTAGTAATCAGGTCTATCTCCACGCGGTTCCCCCTGGAAACCACCATGGTTAATTTTTATTGGATTCGTCACGATGGACTAACTGAACTGCTTTCATCCTCATCCATCATCGCTCGCTGGTGCCCCGCTAGCGTATACCGATAGTGTCGGCGGAATTACCATTCCATATTCACCTATTTAAAACCTATACGGTTTCTTTATAAATATTGTCATATCAAAAAGCACAACTAAACAAGTTGGAAATACAAATTTAAAATAATATCACCTGGGGTTGAACCTCAGCATGACGTCACCATCACCAGTGGCCGCAGCCCCACCAACGGTGTTATCAGCATATGCGCCAGACCCAGCTATTGGAGAGTCACCAATCCTCCTGAAATATTCAAGACATATTTTTTTTCCATAAAATAAAGGAGGCTAATACATGTGATTATCAATAATGGGATCTAATTGCTTTATTGCTGGCGATATACCCTATCTGATCGATCTTGACGCGGTTCCCCTGGACACAATCTGATCTACTGACCTATTACATCCTCACCTATCATCTCTCACTGGTGCCCCGCCAGCGTATACCAATAGCGTAGTTGGGATTACCATTCCATTTTCATCCTTCAACAATAAATTGCCCGCCTGATGATATAGAGTTACCATAGCTTCCAACAATATTTAGGACGTCAATTGCGCGTTCCCGATAGTAATTTTGCTACCATAATGCGGCCATTTAAGTAGATACGCAAACTGATAATTGTATAGAAAAAACATTGTTTGTTATAATGGAAAATATAAAATATGAAAATATAAATTAAATAGACATGTTTATACTAAATAAATGAAAAAGACATGAATTGGAAAATTTATGTCTAGTCAAAAAGTAAGAATATTCTAATACAATTTCAAGTGACATTTTATATATACATATGTACATTATTGTGCAAAACAAACAAAAAATGTATGTACTAAGAAGATAATGTCAATAAATTTCATAGAATACACTGTGACGTCCATGAGACCCTTCAGGTCCTTTCCATTACACCTTTTATTAGTATTATTTATGCCGATATCATTAAAACTTTACTTATGTTTTATAAGTATTTTACTCACCCTGGAATCTTAAAGTTTAATCCGTTGGTAGAAGTGCCCGCTGCCACATCTCCATTTCTGTCTACGGCCACCAAACCAATAGTGTCATGGTTGAATTCATCTACTAGCACATTTCTCTTTTGGCCAGTAACAAGTGTATCTAACTTATTATATGGTCCACAATATTCGTTTGGATTCGGTTTCACATTCTAAAACAATACATTTGGGTGACTCTAATTACTGAAATGATCTTTAGGTATAGGTAATTATGTAATAAAAAATGTATTTTAGTGAATCTGTTATATAAAAGAAGAAAGAAATGTTATCTATCTTCATAATAAATCCTGCAAGAGTAGACAGGAAATTTCTGCAACTGCAATAATATAATTATTGTAATTATTGGTTTGTACAAAGACGGGTAATGAATGGCACGACCATAAAGTTTGACGACCGGAGCCAGTAGCTCAGAACTTTAATTCCAATAACACAAGTAGACAAGTGATAAATGCAATAAATAGAATGAGACACCATACTCTTATTCTTTTTGGCAGCAATAACATAGATATCCAGGGAGGAGAGGAATTGTTAATAATGCGGACTACCAGTCCAATTACTAGCAATATACCCTGTCAGATTTACCTCCCCGTTGTTCACCCTGGAAACCATCGTGCTGAATTCCAGGTATATTCATCACGATGGGCTAACTGACGTACCTTTTCATTCTCACCTGTTATCCCTCACTGGTACACCATTATGGTATACCGTTAAAGCAGGCGAGGTTACCATTCCATTATCATCCATTAATAAAACAGATTCGGTTACCACTTGTCTAGGCCCTAGACTCTAGGGGGCATGTTTTGTAACACATTTATGTTTATTACCGTCCAGAAATTTGGTTGACAATTATCTTCATCACGCCACTTCGCCCACAAACTCGTAGAATAAGATGTAATAAGTGATTCTTCTTTGAATCCCATTTTCAAAGCAAACTCCGTAGCCTGATCACCAACGAGGAATGAATGTTTGGTGTATTCTAGAATATTCCTGGCCACTGACATTGCACTTTTAACTCTTCTTAGAGCACCAACTGCACCGACATTCATATTTCTCCTAAAAAATATAACAACACGATATTAATGACCAATCGTCGTATATAACGAATAATCTAATTTTTACAACATATTTATAAGAGATTATTAGTAAACATCATAATATCTTACCCGTCCATAATTAGTGCATCGAGAGTGGTCTCACCATTTTCATCAGGTCTGCCACCAAAACCAACTGCGGTATTACACTGCAAGACCTCACACACTGTAGCACCTTCTTCAATGGCATCCAAAGCTGAACCACCGTTACTTAGTATATCCCATGCTGAACGTCAAAAAAATTCTTTGTAATTTACAAGGGAATAATAGAATTTAAGATCAAAGAAAAACCAACAACAAAACGAATACAAAACTAACACGGAGGAAACCAAATTGACTGTAAAAATATTTATTTAAATTGATTCATTATTACAATATGAAGAAAATATAGGTTGAATTGAGAGCTTACTTCTTTTCGAAGTACCTAATTGACTTTTTAACAATATAATTTCTACTTTTAATGCAATTAAAGTCTCATTTAAGAAAAAAAATTATAAAGAGCATAATCCTATAAATAGGTAGAAGGATAAATAGGCAGAAGGGGTATAATCGACATAATATAATTATGATTTTATTAAATAGATATTCTGGATATAATAAGGTTAGACACTAAAAACCTACCTTTGATTGTAGAATTTTGAAAGTTCCATGTAGTGACAATTATAGGAACATTCGGGTCACATCTTGATTCGTGAAAATATAACGCCAGCAAAATAATTAAGACGTTCATTATTGTTGAATTGTTGTTGCGGTATATTGGCATTCCGTACGTTGGGTATAATGTCAGCAATCAGGTACTTATGTGGTATCTCAGCTTAGCTCATCTGATCTCATCTTGTCAAACTGTCATAAACCGATAATACAAGTGGCTATATCATATTATCTAACAGCCTTGATATTATTGGAGCAAATTCCAGATGGGCAGACAGAGTTACATGTACTTAATTTTACATTTACAATAGCATATTATGTAATATAGAAACAGGTATGTACAATACAAATACATAAACAATATGTATCTTTATAGTACTTAGGTAAAATCGAATGGAAATACAGATACAATGAGATTTTTTTTTTTAATTATTTTAAGGGGGTATTCTGGTCTAGAAATTTGAAAAGATAATTTTTTTGTTTTTTCATATTTTCAAAGCTTTTAAAGATATGTCTTTAGGAGGATTTGAGAAAATTCAAATTATTTTCGGAAATATGGCTGTTTTTCTGATGCAGCATCTAAACTGGCTCGGCCGGAACGGATCGAATAAAAGAGAAAGAGAGAAACGCGGAAAATACTTATTTCGAAGTCGAGGAAGGTCCAATGTATGCAGCAGGAATGACAGATTAAATAAATGTAAGTCTAAAATATCACTTCATGACTTAGACTGCGAGAAGCTTAACGCGAAACTTTAATAACTTTGAAACGCGTTTTTCTCGACACTGTCTTTTTTAAAACGATACCCACGATTTCTCAAGTTCTACTGAACCGATTGACTTTAAATTTGGTCTAAATCTTCTTTATAGACTTCTCTATCGCATGAACTATCCTCATCCCCAAATTTCAATATTTACTAATTTGTAAAATCCGGAAAACTCAAAAAGTGGTACAAACATTTTTTTTTATCAGGCAGTCGCCATTTTGTAAAAAAAAAAAATCAACATTTTTAGTTCCAACGATAGCGGCATTACTTTTTTTATCTTTACTATATTCTTGAAATATTAATAAATATAGAAAAATGGATAGTAAAAATCTTGATTGCCTTTTTTTTACGGTACTTCAAAAATTGTCTTAAATTCGTGCCTCTAGACCAGAATACCCCATAAGAGACCTATAAATTGCTTAAAGAAATTGTCCAATATGATGCCCACGGCCACCTTCTACCATTGTATAGCTCGCCATCGGCACGAAGTTCACCCCCATGCTTTAAAGCCTTAGATGGTACGCGCGTTTTCAGAGATGTTTCCTCCCACGAACGCTCATATTATGGAATGAGCTCCATGTCGAAGTTTTTCCAAGAGCCTACAGCATGGGGTTCTTCAAAAAAGGGATAAAGTGATTTCTTGAGGTTCGGCAACGCGCATGAAATGCCTTTGATATTGCAGGCGTTCATAAGCTACGGTAACCACTTACTATTAGGTAGACCGTATGCTTGTTTGCCACCTCAGTAGTATAAAAAAAACGATAAATGTGAAAATGAGTTTGTTTGTTACACGCCTTATTGGATTAACCAATCACTGTGCTAAGGTCAGTAAATTTATCTCGGTCACGTGGACGAAGTCGCGAATAAGCTTATACTACTTATATATATTTTAAAAATTAAAGAACCAAAATATCTTCGCAACAAATGGCGCCTCATGCTTTTTAAAATGTAACTATATTACCCTCTTATATCGGATTTCTAGGTGGCCTTCATTATACCTGAAACCTTCTAACATGGCTTATAAAAATGTTATAACAAGCGGTTTGTAAGTGAGGCGAGGTAATGTAATACATTACCTCGCCACACCTACCAATGCTCACAACTTCAATCTCCACACAAAAATTCATCAAGAATTAATCACGATAGTTTCCAGTAGGAACCGCAACTACTAATCCAATACAACCGTATTTTAGTTTTTATACACAAATATTAAAACTAATAGCTGTATTCTGCTTCAACAATAAATTAACTATATTATTCGAATATATTTTATTCCAATTACTGTTTTCAATTCCAAAAACTCTTGTGCCTCCTACCGCCATCTATCATTCTAGACTTTTTTTCTTCTCGGAATATACCCAACTACCCTATCTTTAGGTAAAGCAAATTAACAATTGACCGGTTTCGGAATCTCTATACTTATATTAAGTTAATATATGGAATCTATGTTTATTCATTTATCTGTATATATTATATATATTCGATATTTTATATATTTTTATATAGTTTCCCTTTTAAAGTACCACTACGAAACTTCTCTGTTTTCCCAATAGTTAACTGGTAAAGAACGCTTTTAGGTATTTTGTCCGCTTTGTGTAGGTAGGTACCATTATTATATAAATGAAAATTAAATATATAAATAACATGCTTATTGATTATCGATATCGGTAATAAGTAATAAGTCAAAACTTACCAACTAACTAAAAATAAACTGCTTTTATTATTTTAAATTCGTCAAAATAGAAGCCCTTAACCCTTCTTTGCGCGATTTTTTTATTAGTGAAATAAATCAAGATTATATAATTCACGTTCAAAATTAAAGGACAAATGGTTAAAAAAATAAATTTGACAGCTATGTTTTTTTTTTCCGTAATAGACATTAAAAAGGTATCCAGACACGATCAACTTAAACTTTTATATAATTATTGGGCATTCAATATTATGATGGTTTGCACCATTATGCAAAGAAGGATTAACCGGCGTAGGGGATACGTAAATATCTTTGCACCATACTACTTTCCGTCCTGTGGTTCCAGCATAGAATGGGCCACTGCTTCTTTTCCGTTAGTGCGTCATCACCATTTTTGTCAGATCTGCCGCCAAAACCAACTGCAATATCGCATTGCAGAACCTCACACACTCTAGCACCTTTCTCTATGGCATTCAAAACCGAGCCACCTTCACTTAATATATCCCATGTAGGGAGGGAAAGGGATTGTTAGTAATGGAGACTGAGAATCCCATTACTAGCAATATACCCAACCAGGTCGACCTCCCCGCGGTTCTCCCTGGAAACTATCATGGTTAATTCCTGATGAATTCATCATGATGGGCTAACTGGCCTGTTTTCATTCTCATCTATCACCCTTCACTGGTGCTCCGCAAGCGTATACCTTTAGCGCAGGCGGGGTTACCATACCATTTTCACCCATCAAAAAAAAATATCCCATGCTAAAAAAATTATTATCTATATTTTGTACGACAGCAATTGAATAATGGATAGTTTTGGTATGTAATAGCAATATGATACGATACGAGATATGATACGAGAATATGATACGAGAACAAAACCTATAAATTGCGAAAATAACATTTAAAATTTTGTTCAACAGAACAAAAAACGATGACTTTTTTGTTTTCATTAATAGATCCTCAAACCAAGTTCTGAAGCTAACGTCTAGATATTTAACCTACATATTTATAACGCATCACTATTATACCTTTCATTTGTTACAATTAAATAATTCTTAGAACTTTAAAATCATTATGAATTGAATACCTTTCATTGTAGAATTTTGATAATTGCATGTAGTAATAATTATAGGAATATTCCGATCACATCTTAATTCGTGAAAATATAACGCGAACGAAATAATTAAGACATTCATTATTGTTGAATTGTTGTTAAGTTATATCAATATTTCCTACATTAGATATCATATTAACTATACAACAACAGTTAACATAGCTATTTATATGGTATATCAGCTTAGATCATTTGACTGATCTCTTTCTGTCGAACTGTCATTACCGATAGTAAGTTATCTATATTATTAATATTACTAGCGACTCGCCCCGGCTTCGCATGGGTGCAAACGAGTATGCGGCTCACCTGATGGTAAGTGACTACCGCCACCCATGATCACCCACAACACCAGCGGCATTGCAGGTGTGCTGCCGGCCTTTTAAAAAGGAATATACTCTTAAGAATATACTATATAATATACCTACCTACTACAGAATGTCCTTATAAATAACGTTTACAGCTTTTTTATCATTAGACAATACAAACATGGTAAAGTGCTATAGGGCGAAGTGCGACTTTCGACGCGTTATTATATAGGCACGCGCCGCCGGTCGGACCGGTACCGCTGCACCGCTATGTTCATGCATTTTAAATCTGTAATAGCTTCAGAAATATTCATTTAACTTACATGCTGTAAAGGGGCGTATTGATCTATATTAAATGGACAATGTATTTAAGGCACTTAATTGGATAAAAATTATTGCTTAAAATCACTCCGTAAATTAGCCATTATTTACCGTAAAATGTAAAGGATAAAAAATTGTTATTGTGGGTTGTCCTTAAGAGATAGACATATACCATCGCGGACTTTTTTGTCGACCTTTTTAAGGTGTACAATTCTGCAGTAGCGTATTTTGATTTATCTCGTGGGGTTCAGCCAGCGTTTGCAATGTAAGCGAAAAGTGTTATTTACGATATCACATTAGAAACCTCTAAATTTATCAGCGTTTCTCTACAATATTATGTATGTATTATACATATAAACCTTCCTCTTGAATCACTCTATCTATTAAAAAAACCGCTTCAGAATCCGTTGTGTAGTTTTAAAGAATTAAGCATACATAGGGACGGAGAGGCAGCGACAGCGACTTTGTTTTATACTATGTAGTGATTTACCAAACTTGTTTTTAGGAGATACTTCAGACAGACAAAAGCGTTACGCGTATTTAATACCACATTTTCAACGGTAAACTATATAGATTTAAATAATATAAATACATAAACAGTATGTATCTATAAATACCAACTACCGTATCACTTCCCGCATCACATCTCCGTGCCTATACGTATAGTCGAGTGAGAGCATTGTTGTGTAAGAGAACAATTATCACTGAGCAAATATTTGTAAATAAAAGGATCAATACGTATAACCCTGGGCCGTCATAGATCTTGTTTTTACAATTTCCATGTAAATTTAAATGTAACGAATAAAGTAAAAAATAAAAAACAAAAAAAGTGCCATTTATTTATTTTCAAACTACCTTCATACATCGTATCATGTTAACAGTTAATGGTAATAACTTCAGATGTCTCGCGTGTATTGTCTTGTACAACATAAGGGAATGTTTGTATTCCGTGGCAGGCTGCACCATACTCGCCGTCCTTGGTTAATGCAATAACTGCCCCGGAGAAACTTGGGTAATGCGACACTATTCTCTGAATCGCGGTTCGAGCCGCTTTATTCGGTGAAGCTCCTCGTCGCATTTCCTCCACAGCTAAAAAACTGAAATAGAGATTGAACACACTGTATATTATATAGTAATTATACATTCAGAATTAATAAACTCGCAGGCTGATTGTCAAATATAATGGGATTGCTATCTAAACACGAGATAAATTAAACGCAGTTCTGACTTTAGGGTGCGGATAATCGCACGTCGTCCGGGAGTCTTTTAATAGTTAAAATAGAATGCTAGCATTGCCTGCGCTATTGCTATCGGGCTGATAAATGAGAATGATAGAAAGTCAATTGGCCCATCATAATAAATACGAAAAAAAAATACAATGATTTCCGGGAGGAACCTTCACACGAATAGGGTACATGCTAGCAATGAAAGTTTTAAAGACCATTATTGACAATTCCTGCCCCCCCCCCCCCGTCGCCCGGAGGTGTCGTGATAAATCACACGAATCACGCATTAATAGAGTCGCGCCAAATTCTTTTGTTCAAGAGTGGGACTGTGCCGCCGAAGAGAAACTGCGCTTCTTCTGTCCGTTTTAGCACTGTCATAGCACATTTTTCATCGAAGCGAAACGAGCAGATCGAAAATCCCAGGGCCAGTAGGCTATATAGGCTAGTAGTGTAGTGTGGTCTCTCATTAGAATGAGTCATGACTTGAAACTGTAAAGTCCAAAAATACAGGCAGCCACGGTCCGATTTTCGTAGGAAACTATACAGACTCAGCAATGGTCAATTAATTAAAGCAAAAGTAGTTCAATTTGCTTTTTGATGACAAACATACTGCCTGCTAGATAAAATAAATAATTTTCCAAATGGTAGTATTATCAATGAAACTTAGAGTATGTATGTAATATATGTATATACATCTACCTACGATAATATAAACAGTATCTAAATACGCTAAATCAAAATACAAATTCACAATAATATCACCTTGGAAGGAACCTTAGCATGACATCACCGTCACCAGTGGCTGCAGCCCCACCAACGGCGTTATCAGCATATGCGCCAGACCCAGGTATCGGAGAGTCGCCAATCCTCCTGAAATATTGAAAATCACTATTTTTTTTATAGAACCAAGGTAATAAACATATGTACAGCCTACCTAAGAGTGAGCCTGTCGTAGCACAACAGTATGTAATGTACATAACATTGTAGTGTTGAAACACTACAAAATAAATAATCCCTACTACTTTCAATTTCGATTTACAAATGGATTTTTTTAAATCTATAGATCCAGTTTTAATTATTATTTAAATCAACCTTGAGACTTCTTTGAATATTTGTCCTTGAAAAGTTCATCTATATTTATTTTAATATTTTAAAATTATCTACCTACCCTGGAATCTTAAATTTTGCACCATTGGTAGAAGTGCCTGCTGCTACATCTCCATTTTTGTCTACAGCTACCAAACCAATAGTGTCATGGTTGAATTCATCTACTACTATTCTCTTCTGTTCTCTTTCAGATTTCTTATAAAAATTCTTATGTTTACCATGTGTATCTAGTTTCCTATATGGACCGCAATATTCATTTGGATTAGGTTGCACATTCTAAAAAATAAATTTAAGTTTTAATGATTGGCTGAAAAATATTAAAAAACCATAAATTTATTTATAATACATATTTGTTACCATCCAGAAATTCGGTTGACAATGATCTTCATTATGCCACTTCATCCATAATTTTTTAGAATCAGGAGTAACGAGTGTTTCTTCTTTGAATCCCATTTGCAAAGCAAACTGGGTAGCCTGATCTCCCACAAGGAATGAATGCTTGGTGTGTTCTAGAACATGCCTGGCTACTGATATAGCACTTTTGACTCTTCGCAGAGCACCAACTGCCCCAACATTCATAGTTCTCCTAAAAATCATAACAATAACTCTTGAATTATTCAATTTAATAATATATGCCACATAATCACAGCAATCTCCTGGTCTACAAGCTTTCCTGTTTCATGAAAAACCAAGCAATGGATATCTGGGGACACAACCTACAACACCCAAACTTAAGCCATGTTAGTTTCCTAAATTGGCCCAGCTCATTTCCCGGCTAGGACCCTATAATTTAGTCAAATAAGCTGTTAAACTGTTTCACATCTTTAATTTTATTCCAATATATCTGAACATCAACTTATCAGGTTATATAATAAGTTTGATATCCTGTTTTCTACATCTTTACCTGCATACATCTGTATATAAAATATCCTATGTCCAAAATTAGGATATAAACTACATGTGTATCAAATTTCATTTAAAACCATTGATTAGTTTTTATTTCAAACAAAAATTTAGAACAATTCTTATTACAATACTTATCTTTTGCATTTATATACTATAAAAAGTATATCATACACCTACTGGTATATGATATACTTTATTTACTATTTAATATTATTGGCAAATATCTTTAATATATTCTCATTTTTCACATCATACCCATCCATGATAAGTGCGTCAAGGGTGGTCTCACCATCTTCATCAGGACTCCCGCCAAAGCCCACTGTTCCATCACACTGCTGTACCTCACATACCGTAGCACCTTTCTCAATGGCATCCAAAGATGAACCTCCTTCACTTAGTATATCCCAAGCTGCACGTGAAAAAAAGAAGTTACTTTACTAATAAATCAGTTTTGGACTAAAAAGAAAACACATTTTTATTCAAATAAACTTAAATTCAAGCATTTTTAATAGTATTTTTTTTATTTATTTAGCATCTAATGTCTGTTGTACAATCACACTTAAATGGCTGAACATATTTGAAAGAAATTTGGTACACAAGTAGAACATATCTATATAAATTCTTATATATCTCGTATATTTCACATCCTACTGTGATGAACGGTTGTAGTGAATTTACATATAACAACAGTAATTTAACTACACAATTATAGCTAAAAATGTTTTATCTCTATACATTTTTAACTTAAAAATACGATTTTATCATATATTAATAATTATTAATTTAATACCTTTAATCGTAGAATTTTCAAAATTCCACGTAGTAATAACAATAGGAATGTTCGAGTCACATCTTGATTCGTAGAAATAAAGTGCTAGAAAAATTATCACTGTGTTCATAGCCTTCTCTTTCTTTCCGTTCCAGCCGTCAAAACCTTTGGTAGACCAACTGATACCAAGACCAAACAATAGGAAAAACTACGATTCAGTCTTATTTGGTAGATTATGATTCTCTGATTCAGCCAGTCTACTCGGTAGTAAATAGGTATTATATTTCTTAAACCAGCATCAAATCTGACTATCTAAATACATTCTGTGCTATGGTTGTTTATATGATATGACGTAAATCTCAGAAGTACCAAGTCAAAGGGAAAGATTAGATTCTCAGCTAGTGATAAAAATGTAAATAAAAGTATATAACCAAGAGATATAAATAAATAACTGACTATTAAGGCTATCAAGCAAGTAACTACAGTCGATAAATTTTTAATAATCGGCTATATTGTATTTTGAGTATTTTTTTATTAAATTATTTTATAACCATTATAAACCTAATAATTCATTATTTAATTCCAACAACACTAATGACAAAGACAGATATCGTTTAATACATTTGCCAAAACAGATAAATTATTTTTATAAAAACAACATTAAAAACAAATGAAAAATGAGGTCGATTCTGAGGCTAATGTGCCGTTTTTCTAGTCTTCGAACGTAATATTTAATAATTTCGCGAAATTACTGTTTTATGAAGCATCATAAAAAAATTATACTAATTTTGACTTAAGTTTATTAGAAAATTAATTGATATTGGTCCTTACAATAAAAATTTCACATGGGTACCAAGTTTAAATTTTAGAGATAACTTAGAAAATAGCGCCTCAAAATCAACCCCTGTGACAGCAACTATAAAAAAATTTTTAGTTTCTCGCAAACTATTTGCGGGAAAGAAAATTAATGTAGTTGTTAAACTTAATTATTACACAATAATAAGAAATTTTTCTTGATTATTCTGTGTGTGTCTGGCATCTCTAAATAGATTTTCTAATAATAACTAGTTCTTAATTGTACAACGGTGAATATTCTCGACAATGGATATCTCTACGTTTTGCCGCGAACTTCCAAAAATTGTAAGAAATAATATTATCGTAATCTTTTGTTACAATCAAAACTAACCAAAAGTAGTTTTTCTTGTACTTCTAATTATGAACACAAACTTTTAGCTGAGTAAGAGTTTTTACTGCCATCAAAATAGCAGCATAATTTTTTTTATAGTTTCTGATTTATTTTATTGGTCGAAAATCGTTATTCGACTCGGGAACATTTCATTATCCAGGAACCTATCTATATCATGCATGTAAAGATTCACAAAGCAAAATCAATTCACAAGTAATTATATTTTACATGTAATATTTATATACTATATCATACTACTTATTTTTAGGAATTGCATGCTCATTTGAATGGCTCTCTAAGTATGTCTACAATGATGGAACTGCAAAGATATCTGGCAGATTCTGGTGTGAGAGATGAAACAAATGTTTTTACTGATGAATTTGTATTAAGTGCTGGGGACACAAGAACAATGGAAGAGTTAAGATTTATTACTTACAATATATCCTGACTTATACTAATATTGTTTCTCCAAATTAATCATATTAGTTTATTATTTTAGTTGTTTTCAAGTATTTGGCATTGCACATGCTTTAACATGTACTCCTGGGGCATTAGAAATTGCTACATATCTGACACTACAGGAGTTTGAAGCTGATGGTTGTTGCTACATTGAGCTGCGAAGTACTCCTCGAGATACACCTCACATGACTAAACAACAGTATATCACAGCTATTCTACAGGGTATAAAGTAAGTTTAATTAATAATAATTAAAAAGTACATATTGTTGGTTTGTCATAAAATTGGTATAATATATAGCAAATATGGCTCAGTTATGACTTTATCCTGTACCATTCCCAATGTTAATTAGAATAAACAATATACTAGGAATGTGTTAATCTAGCATTTAATTTGATATTATTGTATAATAAAAATTCAAACATCTTTATAATATTCATATATAAAATATCAAAGCTTATTAAGCCATTATATAATGGCATAAACTATTTTGTAACATCGGAATATTAAATTCAATTAATCTAAAATTTAATATGATTATTTAATATGCTGTTGATCCCCTACATTATATTTTTTATAGTATGTTACAATATGATTTTTTCTACAATTAAAAATAATATCAAAGTTACATTAATATAATTTGAATTAATTATAGAAAGTTTTCTTTACAACACACTATGGAATCAAGACTTATAATATCAGTAAATAGAAATTCAAATAAGGAAGAAGCTGAAGAGATAGCAGATTTAACAATAGAGTTTTACCAAAAACAACCAGAATTGGTAGTTGGGATTGAATTAAGTGGCAACCCTACTATTGGAGAATTTCAAATGTTTGTACCAACATTAACAAAAGCTAGACAAGCTGGACTAAAGGTGATTAAAACAATTCTTTACTATAAATTATACCATATGTTATTTACAACATAAGGTTTATATCATATTATTGATAGTTTTTTTTTTTTTTTTTAATGGGTGATAATGGAATTGTAACCTGCGCTCTCGGTATATGCTAATGGGGCACCAGTGTGTGATGATAGATGAGGATGAAAGCAGGTCAGTTAGCCCATCGTGACGAATTCCACTAGAATTAACCATGATGGTTTCCAGGGGGAACCGCGTGGAGATCGACCTGATAGGGTATATTACTAGCAATGTGTTCATTAGACCCCATTATTAACAATCCCTTCCCCCCAATATATTATTGATAGTTAGAAATTACAAACATTACTTTCTTATACTATTTGTGGAAAAAGATTTTATAAGTCTTTCATTTATTATTACATAATAAAAAAAGTAATTAATGAAAATAAATATAATACATATTTCCTTGTAACAAATAATTTTCATTAACAGGTAACACTTCACTGTGGCGAAATTTGCAATCCGAAAGAAATACTAGAAATGATTAATTATAAACCAGATAGAATTGGCCATGCAATTTGCATTCATCCAAAATATGGCGGTACTGACGAATTATGGGCAGCTTTGTGCAAGTCTTCAATACCAGTAGGTTTGTAAAACTAAAAAAAATTTAACTCGCTACATGGCACCTATATTGACACTCAAAAAGGTTTATTTACCTTTTGAACGTATTTTTTCCGTGGCCTAACAGAAATGCACTCAGCACTGATGTGTAAAGAACAATCAGTTGAAGTTTAATATTTTAATATTATATTATTTTATTATAATAAAAGGAGCATTTCGAAAATATCACAGAATAATATTTTTCTTTACAGAAGTGTGTCTTACTAGTAATGTTAACACCAAAAGTGTTCCCAGCTATGATTCTCATCATTTTAAATTATTATATGATGCTAACTTACCCGTCGCTATAAGTGTAAGTATCTAATAACTTGTTATTTAAATTCCTATTTTGAAACTGATTGAAAATTAAGTAGTAAGGATTTATATGTAAAATTTTTTCAAAGATATACCATCAATCTTTTTTTTATAAAACTTGAAACGACCTACAAAGTTATTAAACTTAACACATTGTGATATTCATGTGGTACTTGTACATTGCAATTCCTGAAGAAGTAAAATATTGTTTTCATATCTAATATAATCACGCCCATATCTCATTAATGCAACCATGAAATATAACTCTGCAGTAAGAAGATAAGTGAGTAAGGTTACCTCTGGTAAATATCAGAGAATTTTTCTTTAACAAACATCTAAAGTAAAACTTCTTTAAATATATGCTTGTCACTTTTGTTACAGACAGACGATAAAGGAGTATTTGCAACATCTCTTTCTCAAGAATATACATTATGTGCTGAAACATTTAATCTTGATAAAGCCCAGATAGCTCAATTAGCACTTAGCACTTGTAAATATGTGTTTGATACAAGCATACGCGAGAAGATTCAAGAAAATGTTATTGAATTTACAAATAAAAATGGCATAAAGCTGTTTGTTTAATCACTAAACTGTGTATTATTTTAAATTTATTCTATTGCATGTTATAGTGTTCGTAATGAATTAAAGCGACGTCATAATTCTGAGTACTAGATAACTAATAGATATGCCTGGTTGTTAATAATGTAGACTACCAGTCCTAACTGACCTGTCTTTCATTCTCACCTATCATCCCTCACTGGTAACCCGCAAGCAAATATTCAAGTTGAGCTTTGTACCTCATCTCAAACGCGTCCGAGGTATTGCTAGTTTTATATTGGGATGCCTCCATCCCTTTACCAGTAAGCGCAGTAAGCGCAAATTATCGCTCAACGCGAAGCTGACGCTATACAAAGCCTGCATTAGACGGGTGATGCACGCCAGCGTCGTCTTCGCCCCCATGTATTCACGTAGTACAAAATATTTTTTTACGATGGACCACATGCGCCTGTCGTAAGAATTTATTAACGTTTTTCATGCGCAACGCTCTCCATCGCTATCTCAAGATACCCACGATCAGGCAGTTTATAAAGCAAGCGTCTCTCCGCTTCTTAACCAACACCACCAGCCGTAACCAAGTCCCACTCGAAACCACCACTATATAACCACTTATAGTGAAATCGGTACAATACACCCCCCTACGGAGAACATCACTCTTCGACGTCGTCGCCCGAGACACGCACTCTTAAACCGCCACGCTCCAATCACGATAGCTAACACGACCCTCCTCTCTACCGCGGAATTTTCTCCACGCACCCCCGCAATCACACTCGCACACCGCACACACTGTTCCTGCCAGCGAGGACGAAGACCCATTGCGACACACGGTCTGCGCAAGATTAGGTTTGCGTCCGAACGCATCCCTACAGACGGCGGGTTCTTCCACAACCCCTTACGGGGCCACAGATGCGGGTCTTAAGTGTGCACTCTTTACCTGAGCCTCAACTGCGCAGGCTACCGCAGGCCGGTACTATTGTAAATAGTACCGTCTAAAAGACGTCCCTACAGTACAGTGCAGCGGAGGACCAGTGAAGGGTGATAGATAAGGATGAAAACAGGCCAGTTAGCCCATCATGATGAATTTATCAGGAATTAATCATGATAGTTTCCAGGGAGAACCGCGAGGAGGTCGACCTGGTTGGGTATATTACTAGCAATGGAATTCTCAGTCTCCATTACTAACAATCCGTTCCCTCTCTCCCTTACGGGGTTATAGGTACGGGTTTCGAGTATAGTCTCTTTACCCGAGCCTCAACTGCGCAGGCTACCGCCTGCGCATCACTATATTTAGGCCCAAAGGGCAAGCCAGCACTATTGTAAATAGCGCCGGCTGAAAGAAGAATAAAATTGAGAAGAATTATTAAGGAAATGAAAATGTCGTCGACCGTGCAAGGCCGGGTTAACCATCGCCCTGCGGGGGGGCTGCTGTGCGCAGAAGATCCCGCGGTAATGCACCTATCGCGTCCGGTGAACGCGCATGTAAGGAGGCCAGGTCCCTAAGATGTTGGTGGCAGCCATTGTCCGCCCGGCTGAATATTGTACTAGCCAGCTGACGGACAAATTCCTCCATAGTGGGGACTGCGAAAACTCGGGCAATTACATCATTACGGACGTAACGACCCGCGCCTGCGCACAGTCGCAGAACGCAGTTCTGTTGCACCTGCATGTGCCGCCGCTGTGAGTCAGAACACTGTGCGTACCACGCAGGGGAGGTATACGTCAGCTGCGAACGAATATAGATATACCAACCTTCGTTCGCAGCGAGAGATTGGATCGCAGGACCGGCAACACCAACCGACAACATGGCCCGTGTGGCTTTAGTCTGTGTGACCGCGCGGTTAACCTGCGGTGTCATACGTAGCAACCGGTCGACATTCCTACGGCCTCAGGAACTCGGGGCCGTAAGGTAGATCTACCTTTACGTAGTCCTCTCTGAAAACCATCAAAAAGTCAAAACTGCTTCAGTCATAGACTAAGGACTAGATTATGATGCCATCGAAGTCTTTTTTTTGGTCTTTGCCAAAAAAAAAAAATTAAATGTCATTGTCAAAATCTACCTAACCTTACTTAACCTAAAAAATTCCAGACAAATTATCTTTTTGAAGACTAGGCAGCATGGTCTCCGACCTTAGCCTGTTCCAAACGGAACAAACGTACTAAAAAAAAAAAAAAATTAACCTAAAAATTTCGTTAAATCGCTTTGACGGTACTAATTATTTATTTTTTCTCTTTTCGAGTTTGACATTCCAGATAAAATGAGTGATTTATCAGATTTCTCGAGCTCTAACACTAAAGGAGCAGACTCGGAATTGCAAGACTTTCTTTTAGCAGAGAAACAAAAAGCGCAGTTTCACGCGCAGGTAATTTTACGCAATAATTTCATTTTATATATATTCCTGTTTTACAAGTTATAACTAAATTGGTACTAATAAATTTATATTTATTATATACACAGTTATATAAATAACAGTACTTCTACAACAAGATAAATTTAGATAAACTATTTAGCAATAGAGGTCAAATTGCCGCCTTTGGACAGTATTAATATACTCAAAAGATTGGCCGCATTTCTTCTTTGTACAGACAGATTAATACTGATCAAAGTAGGCATCAGTCTTTTCGTCACTGAAGATGAGTGAGATATTTATTTAAATAATATTCTAAATTCTAGACTCTGAAGTCCCATTTGATACTTTTTATTTATATATAAAATATATGTTTGACTAAGAAATAGATAGGTAAAGTTTATCATAATAAATAAATTGAGGAAATAAATAAATAAACCTACTACTCTCTGATCATCTGGATACTAAATTAAGTTATAATACTTCATGTGTACAACCAACACAGTATGCAATTGAAACCTTTTAGTTAAATCAATGATATAATTACATGAAAACAAATTTTATTTTCAGATCCATGAATTTAATGATTTCTGTTGGGATAAATGTGTAGACAAGCCAGGAAGTAAACTAGATTCACGCACTGAAACATGCATCACCAACTGTGTAGAAAGATTCATTGATGTTTCTCTGCTCATTACCAACCGTTTTGCACAAATGCTTGAGAAAGGAGGTGGCATGCATTGAAAATTGTTTAGTTGTAAATATTTAAAGATAATAGTGATTCTATTCTACATACATTATGTAATTTTAATATATGTTGATACCATAACCTACAATTTAATAAGTAGAAAAATTCAAAACATCATGTCACAATTTTGTTTAATATATGTTTGTGAACAATTATTGACATTATATAAAGAATTTGTGAATATATAGATGAAAGATAGTGAACTTTACTCAATTAGTAAATTCTAAGTAATATTGATGAGTTACATTATGTTTCTATACTTGAATAGTATCTTTATAGTACAGCACATAGGTATAGTCCATGTACTCACACAAAAATTATCATATTTAATCTAATATAGTCATCTTCTGTAAGGGTATTTTCCTTACAAAACATGACCTGAAAAGGAATGTAAAAATAAATATATGGTCAAAAAATAAACAAAATTGTTGCCTTACTATTAGTTTTAATTCAATTTACTGCAAACATCATTTCAATAATCCTTAACTACTCCAGAATTATAAATTTATTTGACACACCATGATTACAAAAATTGTGGCTAAATATAACCACAGTCGAAATGACTGACAATGTGCAAATGTAAGTTTATACATTTAAAAGTATTTTTAAATAATTTTAATATATAAATATATATCATCCCTCTCAAAACAACAGCAAAGCCAAATTGTGGTTGTCAGTTCACCTGCCAAGTGTGGGAACTAGAAGCAAAACCCTTCTTTATTGAGGAAGCCTATGTTCATCAGTGGACAGTCAACAACTGATAGGATTGGGATATATATATATATATATACATATATATGATACAAACTACTATATATGGAAATAAATTGTACAGATCATACTTGATAACTTCACAGACTGATTAGATCTTGGTCTTTCACTACATGATTTGATTCATGAGTGATTGCTATGAAATAAATAGAAAAATATTTCTTTAGAGATTTCTCAATAACAAATTATGTTAAAATTTGTAGCACACAAGTATGTAGTATTTTAGTTTGCAGTAGTAAACATAAGTATGAGAAGACATATTGGGCATTAAATAATCTTATCAGTAAATTTATATAATTAATACTCTTGCACTCAATGTAATGTAATAATGCCCTATGTAAAAAATTAAGTAAGAGAGTTATCTACCAACCCTACCCAGTTTAGTATCTGTACGTGGATCCGCAGTAACAGCTTGAACAGCAACAAGTGCCTCATTTATTTTCGTTTGTAAATCTCTAAGATCCTGCACAAAAAGTAGCTTCAAGACATCAGCTGGCTGTTGTATAATGTTGGCCTCTGTCTTCGCCACATCTATATGAGGGGAAGTCTTTAGTATTTTTGCAATAGCTGCTAATCTGTACTTTGGATCTGGATGTGGGCCAACTCCAGTAAGTGCAGAGACCCTTTCTACACCAGCTTTGAAAGCAGGGCTTGAAACTGAAATATATAAATTATTAGTAAAATTCAATGCTTAGTAAAGAATATGCATAAGGGATAGAGTATTTACATTTACATAGTCTATTTTTCTAGTTATTACAAATAAAATATTTGAGTCAGTTATGTTAAATTCATAAATGAAAATCTTTAGTGACAACATTTAATAAGGTATATTGACTGGCCAATATAAGGTCCTAGATTAGATTTTTAGAACAATTTAACAAATGACATTTTTAAATTGGTTTGAATGAATGTAATCCCAATTATAATTTGTAGTATCATTTATGGAACTTGCTTAACATGCAAAAATGAATAAGGATATTAAACTATGACTAGATAATCACAAATTATACTTACAGTCGAGATTGTCCAAAGGGTTCGTTGAGACAACATTAGGTGCTGCCTGTTTTGGCTGTTCAATCTTAGCATTCTTATACTTATCAACTGAAAGAATAAATTTACTTTTTTTACAAATTATATTTGATTTGACAAAAACAATGAAACTATTAATTCTTCATGTATGTCGTAAAACTAAATAATTGCAGTTTATGTTGTATCTGTGTTACATATAAGCATATTATAACAATGTAACAAATAAATAAGTATATGTTTACCATTATCAGCATATTCTAATCTAACTGCATAAGACAAGAGCCAGTTCAGCTGTTCATTCGGTTGACCCTCAGTAGCAGGACTAACAAGGTCTCTTTGATAAATGTCATAAGCTTCCTTCCAATTATCTCCATCGATATTCCGTAGACCTTCTCGTTCTTCGATTTTATAATGTCTAATTTTCTGATCCTCCAGCCACAGAACCACGCTTCTATATTCCTTTTCGTCTGTAAGAAGTCACATAATAACAATATTAACAAGCTATTTTCTGTCGATAAATATCAAACCTAATTAGGTCGTAATATGGCAAAATGGTACTCGCCTTCACAATTAAAACTTTCGGGATTAGGATGGCCAAGAGCAGTTAACTTTAATTTAAACATTGTATTAGTATATAATGAGAATTTTCTGTTTTCGGTGAAATTCAATAAAATTAATTTTCAGTCATGTCAGAAACACAGATTAGGTTAGTGATGTACCGAGTCACGGTTATAGACATTTTGAGCCGATTCAAACTAACTCGAATTCTGACACTAATAATTCATTATCTACTTTGTATGTAACCAAATATGTAAAAAAATATTGAAACTGTACTTTACATACAAAATTGAAATAAATAATCATGAACCCAATATTGGTATCGAGTACCTGCTATTCTCGAATTCTAGTTAATATACGTTTTTGTCTTTGTTTCATTGATTTATTAATTTTTTCGTAATTTTACCAGAAGCAAAATTATTAAATATCGGAACATTTTCATATTTATTTTAATAATAATATAAGAAATTCAATTGAAAAAATATTTGAGTTTAATGAAATACTCGAAAACGCTTTTTCTGAATCTTCAAATCTAAGTCGGAATTTAATTATTTTTTTACATACATACATACATATCTGTCACGCCTGTCTCCCATTAGGGTAGACAGAAACAATGGAACGCCAAATGCTTCGATTTAAACAAACCTTTTTCGCTTCTTCCACATTCATCAATCTTTTCATACACGCTCGCCGGTTACGGGTACTTATTAATTATAACATAATTATTTTCTCTTATACTTAAATTATCGAACAAGTATGAAATAGTACCTACTTGGCATATTTAGTATGACGTATATACGTACAAAGGGCATACAATAGAAATAATATAAATTAAGAATAGATAGTCAAAACTGAAATATCCAAAGCAGTCGTAAAGCTTTTAAAAAATAAAATAAAAACAAAACTAAAGACTAATTCTCAACAGACGGGATATTAAAAAGGAACAATATTATATATAGTATCCTTTAAATCATCGGTTGCCTACTTTCTTCTTATGCAAATATAATTAGTAAAAAGTGGACGAAAGATACGCCATCAGTTGCTATTTTAAGAAGAAAGGAAGCAAACATATAATTTAAATTTTTTATTTTATCATTCTTTCTATGTAATTCCTTGTTTTTAGTATTAAACTGTTTTATCTCTTTTTTGTGTCATTCCCATTTATAATGAAATTGATAAAACAGTTCAATAGCTAAAATAAATTTATAGTAAATTATTTTTTTTTATGAATAAGGTTAGTGTCTTCCTATTTCTAAAGAACTAATAGTAACTTATGATTAGACTTTATGGGCCATGTCCTTTGCATGACCAATTTGGATAAAATTTTAAAATAGCAACAGTATCTATGATGAGGTTTATGCTCATGTCAAATTCATCACGAGTACCAGGCCACTGGCCTGACTCACTTTGAACAAAAATCATTCAAATAAGTCTGTGCACATTACACATATATACAACCATTCTTGAAATTTGAAATTTTACGCTACATAATAGCAAGATCTTATATAATTACAACTTACAATACTTATTTTAAAATATAACTTATGGGTGTCGATATTTTTGGAAAAGATATTTTAATTGCAGAATACCATAAATATTCTTTTATATTTTTACTGTTGATATTTCGAGCTGGTTACATAGCATCATTTAATTTGATTTATGCATTGACATTGCCGATTTTTAAATAACTTTTGTAAATTGTTACTTTTTTATTTCTATTGAAAATGTTATAAAATAAAAATTACGTTTCTCATAAAAATAATAACTTTCAATATGTCATGGATTAAAGAGAACTGTGTTTCATTCTTTCAACTTTTTTGTATTAAAGTAGTAAAAACTGGACGTATTCCTCAACACATAGCCTTTATAATGGATGGAAATCGTAGATATGCAAAAAAACACTCTGTAAAGAGTAGTGCAGGTCATAGCAGAGGTTTTGACAAACTTTCCGAAACTTTAAAGGTTTGTATACATTTTTCTGTAATAAACATGTAAAGACAACAATTACTCTTGTACATAATTTACGGATTTTATATTCATATTTAATGCTTTTACTTAAAAGTAATATATTTTTTTTTACAGTGGTGTTTAGATCTTGGTATCCCAGAGGTTACAGTATATGCATTCAGTATAGAAAATTTCAAGAGAACAGAAGAAGAAGTAAATGCACTTATGGACCTTGCTCGTGATAAATTTCAAAGACTTTTAGATGACATGTATGTATTTATTATTATAAACATTAATTTTACGGGAAAGAAAAACATTCTGATGTGAAGATTAAATGTAATACAGATTATAATAATTTGCAATATATTTTCAGAGATCAAATAAATGAATGGGGTGTACGCGTACATATAGCAGGGAGGCTGTCTCTTCTGCCAGATGATTTGAGAGCTCTAGTGTCTCGTGGTATGCTTGCCACTCAACACAATAATAAACTCAGGCTGAACATTGCCTATGCATATACAGGCAAGTATTGATAATTATTTATTTTCTTTTACATTTTTAACATCACACCAGTCTCTATCTCACCAAAGACATAAGTGATATATGATAAATGCAATCAATTATGATTTATTTTTTATATAAAGACTTATTTTCTACTATATATTAAATTCCTAATATTACATACAAATTTTTTAATATTAATATACTAAAAGGTATTTTTTTAATGAATGATAATGGAATGGTAACTGTGTATGCTAGGAGTATATGCTGGCAGAGCACCAGAGAGGGGTGATAGGTGAGAATAAAAAGGCAGGTCAGTTAGCCCCTCATGATAAATACACCAGAAATTCAGCACAATGGTTTCCAAGGGGGACAGGGTATATTGCTAGCAATAAGGACTGATAGCTCATATTACTAACAATTCCCTCCTCCCTCTTAGCGCCAGGAGGTAATAAACATAATTTCACATTTATAATGTTAGTAAGAAAGTAAGGATATTAATGAATTATTGATAACAACTTATAGGTCGAGATGAAATCAGTCGTGCAGCATCACATATAATAGATAGTGTTAAAAATAAAGAACTAAATGCAGATGACATTGATGATGAACTTGTGTCAGCAACTTTAGAACTCGGAGAACCTGAACTGCTGGTGAGGACGTCTGGTGAAGTCAGACTGTCGGACTTCATGCTTTGGCAGGTAGGACATTGTTTTATTAATTTGTATTATTTTATTACTTTTGATCATATATTCTTTATTTAAATATTTTATATTGTTTCTCTTATATTTAATATTTTTTTACTTGGTAATTATATTGAATATACAATCTTGGCAAGTTTATTGAAAATGATCATTAAAATATTAAATCAATAAGAGAAAAAAGACTATATATGTTTCTGAAATCAATTGATTAGTGATTTGGACCTGGTCTCTTATGTTTATTATAAATATATACATAAATGAGTCTATTTATTAAAAAGTCTATTTCCATTGTTTTATTTTTCTGTCAAAATATGCAATAAATGTAGATAAAACATGACAAAATATTATGACTAATTAATGAAGGTATGATCTCTTAGTAAAGGTGTCTATTAATCAATGACACACAATTATAATTCTATTCATATTATAAATGTGAAAGTTTGTAAGGTTGAGTGGATTGATGATATTTGTCACTCTTATTGAAACTCTTTATCTATTTTTTATGATTATGCACCTAAATCAAATTTGGGTTAAAATTGATTTAAAAATAAAGCAAAATGGCAGGAGATTTTGGATACCTCACAAAAAATATAGTAGAACTGAGAATAACTTTTTTAGAGTCTTACATCTAATTTTTAGTTATTTAAAAGGTGATTACATACTTTATTTCAGGTGTCAAACACAGTGCTATATTTCTCTGATGTGTTATGGCCTGAGTTTACAATTTGGAACTTGTTGGCGGCTATAATACATTTTCAAAGACATGCCCCACTGCTTAAAGAAGAAGGAACTATCAGTGATACTAAACAGACATTTTTAAATAAACTAGAATTTAGAAGAATTCAAGAATTAGAAAAATACGTTACTAATTGTTAAAAAATCAAAAATTTATTATTTATTGTTAAAAATTAAATATGTGTAAATACAATAAATAAGTACAAACTACTACTTTTAGGTATTTTTTTTTGTGTTTTCGAATATGAAATAAGTAGGTACTAAATGAAAACTCGCTCTTCAAGGATTCAGTAGTATTGCAATAAAAACCATTGCTTGTATTTTTTCATATAATGTAAAAAGGCAAATAGCTAACATTTAACGATTATAACATAGCAAATAGTTTAACTCCAATCCAATTCGTGCCATGATCACACCATCATGAAATATAGAAAATGTAAACAAACAATAATAATTATAGTACTATTGCAAGCTATAATGGCGATGGCTTTGAGGAATCGACAACCGATGGGGAAGAAAGATTCTTGAGTCGTAACCCCGTACGAGTAAACGCAGTGTAGGACGCCCCCCCCCCCCTTTACTAGATGGGGTAACGACCTCTAATGCATTGCAGGGAGTCAGTGGATGTACGTGGCTCAGGACCGTTTCTTAAGACAGTGTATGGGGAGGCTTACGTTTAGCAGTGTACACATAGTATCTGATAAAAAAAATACATCTGCTAAGGACGCGGATAGTCATCAACTATCCAAAAAATTCCCATATGGTTAAAACAATATAAGTATTCTTCAATCCTTCTAAACCTTAAAGGGCATTTTCTACGAAAATCGATTGCGTGTACCTCTAAGGTGTTTCTGCCACCAAGCTGTAACCATATTAGTTCTCAGGAATAGCAACGCAGAAGTATACAGTATATACTGTTTTCCATGATGTTGAATATTACTATATATTTATTTATAAGCGACTGTAAAACAGGAGTTATCATTCCAAATTACAAGTTTATTCAAACTTGAAATTTATTACAAAACAAAATGAAATCTCCCTCGTTACATATTTCCATAACTTTTAACTACATGTGTAAAAAAGTTCCAACATTTTTTGTTTTAATTAGAGTAGCTTTCATTAAAATATTTTCACTACAGAATAACTTTTATATTTGTATTTCATTATAAAAAATAACTTAAAACGTCTACTAAACTTTTTAGTATGTGAACAACACTCTTTGCCGATTTATTTATTCATTTTATTTACATATACACTATGTGTAAGACTAATAATTCATGCAGCCGATTTGATAGTTCACATTTCGTTTTACCTCTTCGAACCGATCAGTTGTACTTTTTTTGTTATTTAGGCGACATTATACTTCTATTTAATATAATCTACATTTAGTATTACATAAAGAGGGATTACAAATGGCATGGACTAAGGAGAATACCGTTACATTCTTTCAAAATTTTTGTATGAATGTATTGAAAATTGGTCGCGTCCCTCGACACGTCGCCTTCATAATGGACGGAAATCGGCGGTCCGCAAAAAAAAATCGCTGTGAATACAAGTAGCAAAATATGCCATAGTAGAGGTTTTAGTAAATTAACAGAAGTATTACAGGTATGTATTAAATTGCCTTTTGAAAGGCATGATTAAAATTATGTAAAAATATAAGTGGACGACCCATTTTGTGAAAATAAAAATGGTTGTCTGTAGATATTACCAATATCGTGAAATACATATACCACGAACCTCGCAGTATATAGATACTTGTTGGTCTTATTACCACAGATATATCATACTTGTTTCTTAATAACAATATAGTAAACAGAAACTAGAGTTATACAAGTACAGCTAAGTCACCGCAACTATTATGATCATCATCATCGTCATTATATCGCCATTATTCGTCCGCTACTGAACATAGTACTCTTCCTGCCATAAGGAACGGTCCTGTCGTTCACATGATGGCTATTTATTTTATATTTATTACTATTCTTATACAAAAAAATATATTTTAGTGGTGCTTACATCTTGGTATCTCCGAGGTTACAGTTTACGCATTTAGCATTGAAAATTTCAAAAGGCCTGAAGAGGAAGTAAATGCTATTATGGAGCTAGCTTGTGATAAATTCCAAGACTTATTAAATGAGATGTATGTAATTTTCTTACTAACATGTCTTTAGTAGTTATATATTGCAGATTGATTAAATGTAACAGAGAGGCTGTTAAAAGTCGCCTGCATGTTATCTCTGTTCTATCCGTGTTTCTGTTGTGAAACAACTGTGTTTATACGAATGTGTTTCAGTCTGAAGGTTGGGGTGCAGGAATAACAGTAAAATTACCGGGCACGGAGGCTCTTTAGGTACTTTAGGTAGTACTTTAGGTCTTGAGAATAGCAACACATAAGAGGTACCATGAGTATTACAATGTATGCTGTTATGTCCGTAGCTGATGGTTACCACTTAACATTAGGTAGGCCATCAGCTTATTTGCTATTCTAATTATCATTAAAAAAAAAATTAACAAGTATGGGTATCTATCAAATGTCCATTTAACCATTCAATGTGATATGGAATTATTAATCGGCAATTCTCGTTAAATTATAATTTATTAGTAGACCTAATTACTAATTGTTTTTGTTTTCCCAAAACCTTTTGTCTTTCGTTCTCGAAGATAGTTTTAAAACTTCTTTATAGTGATTATTCTTACGTAGTACGTTATACTAAGTCTATGGAATGATTACAACAGACACTCCTTGGATTTCCTTATTATACATGGCAAATAGTTTTTAACGCATGGATTTAAGAAATAGGAGATCCAATGAAATATACCACTTATAGATGTCATATCATGATGAAACATACACCAAATTTTAAATTACACCTTGAAAAACACAACTATGAAAATCGCATCCAATTTGATGCAGTACTTTTTACGTGAAGTCGGAACAACCATAAAGACAGAGACAAAATTCCTAAAAATAATTGTTTTAGTATCTATTGAGATTATAATAATCTTTTATATTTTCTTAAATATCTCCCATGTACAGACATAATCTAGTTACGATTTTATTTTTATACTAAGTTTTTTTTTATATCACTGAGCTGGCAAACAAGCATACGGCCCACCTGATGGTAAGCAGTTACCGTAGCATATGAACACCTACAATACCAAGGGCATTACGCACGCGTTGCCGACTTGGAAGAAACATCTTTACTTGTTTTGTGAAGAGCTCCATGCTGTAGTCTCTTAGATAAAATAGATAGTGGTAAATTATATGCTTTTATCGTGTAAAATCTACACATTAAACAGTACTCGTAATTATTGATAGTCATTCATTTTCAGTAATTCGATTAATGAGATGGGTTTAAATATTCGGGTAATTGGTAGACTGTCCCTCCTGCCAGATGTTTTGAAAGCCTTTGCAACCAAGTGCATGCGTATTAGTAAGCAGAACAGCAAGCTTAAGCTCAACATGGCTCTGGCTTATACAGGTTAGTATCTAAATTTCTCTATACTCTGTTATGTCTATGATACTGTTCATGTCTATAAGCGACGGTTACCACTTTCCATCAGGTGGGCCGTCAACTTGTTTGTCATTCTACATACATACATACATATCTGTTAAGCCTGTCTTTCATTAGGGTAGGCAGAAACAATGGAACGGAAAATGCTTCTATTCAAACAAACCTCTTTCGCTTCTTCCACATTTATCAATTTTTCAAATTTCAAACTTTTCATACACGCTCGCCGGTTTGTCATTCTAAGTTGCATAAAAAAAAAGAATATAATTAATTAATTTAATTATATAATTAATATTAAAAACAAATGTACAAAATCATATAAATAAATGGCAACGTCCAGTCAGGACGACTTCCATGCAATTCCTCTTAGAAACTATTGTTTTTGTTTTACAACACACGGGGCAAACGAGCATGCGGGTCACCTGATGGTAAGTGACTACCACCGCCAATGATCACTCACAACACCAAAGGCATTGCAGATGTACTGCCGGCCTTTTAAAAAGGAATATCGTCGTTAACTTCTAGTGAATTAATTATGATGAGGCAACTGAACTGTTTTCATCCTCATTTATCATTTCTCACTGCTTTACCGTCAGAAGATACCGACAGCGCAGACGGGGTAATTTATTTTCAGCCATTAAACAAGTCTTCATCTATCATCATTCATAGGTGACCAGCGAATACCGATACTGAAGTGGAGTTACCATTTTAATATCATCCATTTAAATAAAAGGGCAATACATAAAATTATAATTTAAAGATCAGATATCCTGATCTTCAAAGTGAGATATTGCGTATTATGACAATCGGATCATTTGGAGAGTAAAGTAGTTGAACGGTAATAAGTACGTTGTCTCTATAGGTCGAGATGAAATCAGCCGTGCAGCATCATATATAGTAGATAGTGTCAAAAATAAGGAACTAAACGCAGATGACATTGATGAGGTACTCGTGTCGTCAACTTTAGAACTCGGAGAACCCGAACTGTTGGTGAGGACGTCCGGTGAGGTCAGACTGTCAGACTTTATGCTTTGGCAGGTACGATTTATGGCCATACTAATTGTGTAACTTGCGGCTTTGTTCGCGTGACCGTAATAAAAAGTAACTTACTTGTAATGTAATGTAAATTAGACTCTCTTTTCCGCGCTTAGCCTCTTGGGCCATTGTACGTAGAGTCGCTAGTGCTAGTACAGACAGCCCAGCTCCGCCCAGAAGCACAGAAGCTTCCTGGGATGAATGTCCTCAGGAATGGCAACGCATGGAGGGTATCATGGGCGAAACAGTATACTCTGTTATGTCCATGGTACTGCTCATGTCTATAAGCGACGGTTACCATTTTCCATCACGTGGACCGTCAGCTTGTTTGCCATTCTAAGTTATATAAAAAAAGAAACTCATGAAACGACCTCACCGTTCCGAGGATTTCTAAACGTTGAGCCCCCTCAACGTTTAGAAATCCTCGGAACCACAGCTTCACATTCCAGGATTAAGTAACTTACTTATGTCACATAGATGTAGTATAACGTGTTGTCCTCTATCATGCCAAATTTCATGGCATATTACTGCGCAAATAAGGAATTTTATGTCCGCAAACGAAATTTCAATTTGCCGTAGTCGTAAACTTGCTTGTTCGGACGACGGACAAAAAGTACGCCGAGGATCGTCACTCGTTTATGCAGATCTTTACTATCGCATTGAGGGTGATTAAAACTTAAATGATGATTATAATTCAGCTTCTTAATTTAAATACATGTATCTTTCAGATATCAAATACAGTGTTGTACTACTCTGATGTGTTGTGGCCAGAATTTACAATATGGAACTTGTTTGCAGCTATAATACATTTCCAGAGATATGCTCCATCACTCAGGGAAGAAGTACCAAAAATAAAATTATTTCTTCTTTCATATATGACCACGGTACTCAAAATGGGTTGCACATTCCTTAACCCTTAAATACCTAAAGTTTCAAATTTGATGCCGGGGTTTGCATTGTTTTATTGTTAAATAAATTTAAATATTTTGATTACCGTAATGCCTAAAGTATCAAAAATAATACCATTGTTTTTTTAAAATAAATATATAAAAATATCGTTTTGATTTTTTTTTTACTATTTTTCCCCATTAGTAAACACAGTAAAGGGTACACTTATATATTTTTTAATTTGATTTAAAAAATCAGGCTTTTAAGGGTTAACAATTATATCTCTTATGAGATATTGCACTGACATTTCATTTTTCAGACTAAAAATAAAACTACGTGATAAGGTATAGGAAAATCATAATAAAAAACATTACAAATTTAAGGTGGTATATGTATATTTAAGTAAATTAATTTTATTGCCCGAATTACTGCTCATTTGTTAACTTAAATTGCTTTGTACAAGTACCTACAATATTGATGTATAGTTTATTACATTTATGTAATTTATTTTCCTTTAATTGTATATTTTGAATATGTTTTTGTAGGATCATATGGCTCCCATCTGGATGCTGGGAAAATGTGTTTGTTTCTTTCATACCAGGATCTGAAATAATAAAAAGTTATTCAAATAATGGTTTAATTTATAACACCGAAAATTTAGTGATTGTCGATTTCCCAAAAGTGGCCACACATTTGTGAAAATATTTAAATATTCTTAATTATATTTAACCCTTCTTTGCATACTGGTGGAAATTTCCATCATAACATTGAATGCCCAAAAATATATAAAAGAACAATTTCACTTTAAGATGATCGTGTCTGGACCTTTTTCATGTCCATTGCAGAAAAAAACCATTGCTGTTAAATTTATTTTTTCAACCATTTTTCCTTTAATTTTGAACATGAATTACGAAATGATTACCTTAATAATACTTTGCCAGCATGGGAGTCTTGCTTCTCTTGTGTAGCATCATTAACTAATCTTACATCATCTGATGCATCAAATTGAAATAAGGGACCACTTTTTCCACGAGCCTGAAAGATTAAGAAATATATTACATGAGGAAACTTATTTATTAATACAAATATTTAGATAGTGTTTTTGCTCTCTGGAGATCAGTCACCTAATTTCCCAAAAAAAAAAAAAATGCATTGGTGTGGAATTAATGGTACATTTGAGAACAGATCTTCTTTGAAATAAACTGTAATTGACAAAGCAATGAAGAAGTACATTCAAAACTTTTTCAACTTCCTCTTGTATGTTTACATTCATGAACTTTTATCCATGCTAATGACCTACATTTTCAGTGCAAGGTCATCAAGCTTTACATAAGAACTTCAGACTCTCTCTTATTATCATGCACACTATTAATGTATTGATATTTTTAATATGATATAATTTCAGTTAATATAATATTAACATACCTTTGTAACAATAAAATCATAAAATGTATAATGATGTGGCAGAATAAGATCTTCCTTCACATACATGAGCTGGTCAGCAGAGACAGTCTTCAGTTCACTAAACTCTGGCCTTAAAGTGTCCAAACAACGCTGCAGGAATTGGTAAATGGAGTTCCCTGTAAAATATAAATAATATAGATTATAAAGTTCATTCTGTAATGTAAATAGAGTAATCATATTTTAATGAGAGGATTTACCATTTAGCAGATAGATATATTTTAGATACCTATCAGCCATTCTACCAAAATTTCAATTAAAAATCCTGTTTGAAGATAAAAACAAAACATTGGTATTATGTTTTATGCAAATTAAAATCAATATACAAGTAGGTACATTCAATTTCAAAACAGAAAAATGTACGATAAACAAACACAGGGTCATCTGTTAGTTACATGATCACCTTGTAATTATCAAAGGTATAGTACCAATACTATAATACTAATCCATACTAGTTAGTATTCCATGGTATCTACTGTTCAAGTTTCTTTTAAAGCTAAGAAGATAGAAATTTGGCACTAATAGAATTTACTTGAATGTTGGGACACAACATAAAAATTACCTTATCCTTATAAGGATAAGTTATACTTATTGTTACCCTTCCCACCTATGCTGATTATGCTCAACTGATTTTAATGAATTTTTTTTTCTGTATATTTTGCTACAATTTGAGAGATAAGGTAAGAAAAAATGGCCAAGAATATGTATAAAAAAATAATAATGTACCTTTTTTTAGAGTAACATTTCGTCTGTGCCCTGAGCCATCCCAATAACTAAATGTGACTGTAATTGGTTCATCTTTCAGGCTGGCCTGGGTCATAACCCATTCTAAACGGAGCTCCTCTCTCAGCTTCAAGTCTGCTTCCTCACGTTCTCTGTCAGGTAGAAATGATGTGTCCACATCAGGATTCTTCTTTATTTTCTTTAATACCTAAGAATAAATTTAATATATAAATATAAAAATAATTCTTAGTATCTGAACAGCTCAACCAATCATTTAGGGAAGAAGAAGAATTATTAGAAATGAAGACTAAGGGCCCCAATGCTATAGTTATGTACCCTGTCAGGATGATATTTACATGGTTCCCCTGAAAACCATTGTGCTGAATTCAATCTGAGGTCTACTCATCACAATGGACTAACTGATCTGCTTTCATCCTCACCTATCATTCTTCACTGGTGCCCTCCGGCATTTACCATATAGTGCAGGTAGGGTTACCATTCCATTGTCATCCATTAAAAAAGAAACCAATTATTATGTGTATTATTTATTATTAGAAAAGGCAAGTGGAGATGGAAGGGGCAACCCAATTCAGGTCTCTGGTTCTGGGTGGCCTCCAAACGTGTCTATTTTCCTCATCCATATCGTATGTATGTTTATACTAAATAAATAAACATTAATAATTATACATACATATGTGAACTGAATAAAAAGCTTGTAAAATTTCATCCACTACTTAAACAGGTACAGGGGGAGTCATTCAATTTTGCCCAGACCTCTGATACTGAGAGATAGGCAAACAGTCTAGTCCACCACTGAGTATGTGGACTAGACTCAGTTTGCCTATCTGCCTATAAAGCTATATATAACACAGGCTATATGAGGTCCCTAACAAGGTAAGCATGGGGGGAAAGGGATTGTTAGTAATGGAGACTGAGAATCCCATTGCTAGCAATATACCCAACCAGGTTGACATCCTCGCGGTTCTCCCTGGAAACTATCATGGTTAATTCCTGATGAATTCATCATTATGGGCTAACTGGCCTGTTTTTATTCTCATCTATCACCCTTCACTGGTGCTCCGCCAGCGTAGTTCGTTAGTGCAGGCGGAGTTACCATACCATTTTCACCCAACAAAAAAAAAAAACAAGGTAAGCATAGAGAACCAAATGTTAATGAATTAATGTTTTTTATTCCTATATATAGATATATCTCTAGCTTTCTTAATTTCATAATTTCAACTTCAACAATTTGTTTTATGCAATATATAAACTTAATGTTTCTACGTACTGGCTCCTCCTTTTCCCGCCAATTTTTTTCTGGTTCTTCTTTTTTTATATCTTCATCTGACCCATCATCGTCTTCTTCATCATTCATATCAAATGACAGTGCTTGAATCTGTGAATATAATAAACATTAATGATAACTACAACAAAAAAATTACAAGAAGTAGGAAGTAAAATTATTTTATTGAAACATTTATTTGAGTTCACCTGTCGTTTCTGTTTGTTTTTCTGTGCCTGTTTAGCTTCTATTTCCTTTTGTCTCTCTTTCTCTTTTTCAGCCTTCTTTTGTGCCAGTTTCTTTTCTCTCTCCCGGACTATATGTTCCTGTTTCGCCTTCATCTCATCAAGAGTTACCAAACCTATGGTAGAACTTTTTAATTGTTGCTCTACAGCATCGTAATGGGTTGCAAACTTATTTTCAATGTTATCAATTTTTAAATCCTCTTCTATTTTCTTCTTCCGCAGTTCTATTTCTTGCTGAGCTTTCTCTCGTTTCTTCATAAGGTGCATTGCTCGACCTGCCTCGGAGGCAGCACCTTTATAATGCGCCATTATAACGAAATACACTAGCCCGTTACTTTTACGCTTACAATATCGATTAAATTAATTGAGAAAACTTGGTTTTTCTAATAATAATGTTCTAAAAATGTATTAACAATGAAATGAAAATATTTATAAGTACAAAACGAGCAAAGGAGAAGCTAAAAAGATTAAAACTGATTGAATGAATGAACCTCGGTTGAATTGTCAAAGTGACATTTATTTGACATATAGTAACGTGCATGAGACGGAATGATTTTATTTGAATTAGTAATTAATATTTTCATAAATCGACAAATAAGTTAGTATTATACTAATTTTCGTTTCGAATGGTTTAACAAATAATATTTTTTTTTTTCGATGTAAACCACTAATAATGAAAATAAAATATTTTCTCTACTATTAACTTTACAATAGGTGATACTTATTACAAATTTACTTTGAAAAGTATCGTAAGTTGCTACTTTTTATTAAATATACTAAATAATGCATGACAATTAACAAAAAAAAAAAACATTCCAAGCGATTTGGTTGCTCTGACTACGTTCATATCGACTCGTAGATAAACAACTACCAATGAATTACTTTAGTGATTAGCAGTAAAATAAAATTTGTACTCGAAAGAAACTAGCAGTCAAACAAATAAAATTGGTATTCAAATGATTTGAAAATCAATCAAATAATTCGAATAAATTGCTCAGTCGTATAATTAATATTTGGATTAGTAAAGTAATGCATCGCTAACATATAGTCTTTCTAATGTGTGACTGATGTCAAAACATCAATTTCGGTAGATGATAGTGTACAGCATTTAACATTTATTTTATATATAATTGCAATAATGATATAATTACAAATAGCGTTATTTTTCTTATATGCATATACTATATACCTATATAGTGCGTATATATTATTTAGAAATGACAGTTGACCGTCGGGCCCAATGAACTTGTGAATTCTAAGGGAAAAAAAATGCTCATAGAGTACATTTAGAAGTACTTTATACACTAAACTCTGCGTGAATTGTTATACGGCTGTATAACCCTATCAAATTCAGATACAACCTGCTTACATACTATCTACATAAATTGTGTCGAATATATAATCTAATAATGTAAAATTTGTTATTGACAAATAATTGACATATCAAATATTTTGTATACACTAGACTGCTTTAAATTGAGGAAAATAACAACTGATGATGTATCTCTGTCTTCTTTTTACTAATTATATTTGCATAAGAAGAATGGAGGCAACCATAAAATTTACGATTTTTATTTTATCATTTCTTCTATGTAATTTCTTGTTCTTAGCTTTCTACTGATGATAATGATCTGACGTTATATGTGCATATGTTTAGACATCTTCCTTTTTTATCCTTATTTTATATTTATATATGGGGACCATAGTTAAACAATTATGTAACTTACTGTATTAAATAAAAAAAATATTATTATTATTATTATTCAATCTGTTTTTTATGTTTACATTTTTAGATGAAGGGTGATAGTCTAATTTCCCACGACGACCAGTCGACTTGGGAAATGTTTTGCTTGTATTAGTTTTAATAATATATGGTATATTATTGCGGTGACTGATGATTTTATTCTAGCTATTTTCTTTTATAATAAGATTAGTAACCCGAATGAATTGCTCAGTTGAGTAATTAGTAATCGGAATAGTAAAGTTGCGCACCGCTACCTATTTGGCAACACTGTCCTCTCTAAACTGTAACATTGTGTGACACTGTCTCTACAATTTTTAGCGGTTTCTATTATCGTATATATTGTTTTCTGATTTTTGAGATAAAGTTGTTAAAGTATGGATGAAGCAATATTATTTCCTTCTCCAAATTGGTTCCAAGTATCAGGTTTAGCTGTGACTAATGATGATTGGCTAGTTTATGGAGGTCCTACCAAGAGTCTTTGTGTTTTGGAGCCATTGCCGGCAAGCACTGGTTTGTTTGAAGGAAATCGGAGTTATAAAGCACACGTATTGAACCGGGCGCATTTAGACAAGTAAGATAATTAATAATATTATAATGTGAATATTTAATTATAATAATTACCTAATAAAGATATTGATAATGAGGGTAGAGGTAACCGGTATTTAAATTACGTATTTTCTTACAAATTATCCACAGTCTACATGTAATAATAGGATTTTTGTTATAACAAATAGTTGTCATGTGTAAAATGTAAGATATATAAAAATGACCATGTAACTATGCATGATAAGGCTCATGATAATCCTCATCCGTTGCCATTCCTTTGTATTAAAGTGCCTCTGTAACTTAGAATTACAGAGCTATATTCCTCTCTTTAAAATGAAACAGTTATGTTAGCAAAATGAGATAGGGCTATGCAGATAACTTATATAAGAGCCTCCTGGTAGAACAATCATTATAACAATATAATTTCATAACAATATTAAAAACATTAATTGTTTCTGTGTTCTAGAATTGTTAGTGTAGATATATCACCTGAATGGCCATTAAAGCGAGCATTACTGACAGGCAGTGCAGACGGTTCAGTTAAGCAATGGACAATACAACAGGTAGAAAATAAATCACAAATCAAATCTACACACAGCCATGAAGTACATGTACTTGAGAAAGAGGTAAATATATTCACATTATTGTATGTATGCATATGTATTTAAAAAATGAACAGAATTTCGTGCCTTCAGTCAAACTGTTTATAAATACTCTTCCCCATCTAAGAGCTATACTAAGAGCGATCTCTTCCCCACAACCTTTGGTTGTCTGGAAGAGATCGCTCTTAGTGATAAGGCTGCCCATTGTTTTCTTAGCTTAATATTTTTGTGTAATTGTTTGTATTTATAATAAGTTTACAATAATCTTATGGAGGAAACAAAAAAGAGTATTTATTTGTCTATCTATATAATTTGTTATTGGTTTTTACTTGTTACCTCATCTGCATGACTTTGTTTTATTGGTTGATTAGTCTCAATATATTGTATAAATATAACTGTCTCTAGTTGAAATACCTGTATATCAAAAGACAACTTTTTATTAGGTTCAAGTCATTGTACAATAACTTGAAAGATAGAAAAAAATGAGGACTATATTAAACAAGAAAAATAAAATACTAAGTATTTGATGGTATTTTTTTTTTGTGTTTGTTATCTTGTCAGTTATAAACTGAATCGGGAAATTCTTTTTTTATTAAAGAATAATTTTTATGTTTTATATCCACAATCCACAAATTAAAATATTTCATTATTATAATATGAATTTATGAAACTAAATATATGGACATTTTGTGTATACTTGGGATTTACTTATTTATATAATTATTGTATAAAATGAGGCTTCAGGCACTATAAATTTCCTAGCCATATTTTGTATGATAATTGAATGAACCATTAAGGTGCTAACATACAAAATTTATGATATTAATTTTAAGACAATCTAAAAACTATGAGGTATTGTAAAAAAATTAATTAATAAGTTTTTTAATGTCCATAGGAAGTTTCTGGAGTGGGTTACAGTACAAAGACCATTGCAGTATCAGTTGGTTGTTATGGGAATTTAATCAAATGGGATCTAAACTCCAACGTTGTGAGAACATGTAACCTACTGAAAAACATGAAACCAGTTTGCATGGCATGTTCTCCTCATATACCTTTACAAGTGGCTATTGGAACAAAACAAGGAGTTGTTTATGTTGTTGATTTGAATGGTAAGAAAATGAACTGTTAAAGTTTTTGTATATATATGTATATATGTCTCATGTTAATTTTGTTACTGTTACTTTAGTCTTAAGTAAATGACATTGTATGAGATGAGATCTGTTGCCTTTATGGTAGTACTCTAATTTATAGATGACATTTACACATTTATATCAACTTATATATTTTACTGAACTAAATGTTATTTTGTGAAAGTCTATATCACTAGGTACTCTATTAGAATTATTTTGTTTAAATCTGCTACCGTTAGTATGTGTGTGACTGCCAACACTTGAAGAATCTTATTACCAGAAGTTCTACAACCGTCCATATTAGTCATCAATATGCAACTGCTATTTTATATGCTATTTTGTCTAAGCATTTTTTGCGTTACGCCTCTAAATGAAGCATCTTCAGGCAAATTAATAAATCGCTGTCCTGGTCTAGTATTAACCATTCAGCACCCAAATTGAGAATGATTAGTTTTCGCCCATGTTGCCGTATTTATACCCTTTCAAATTGTTTGCCATTCTAAGTGCAAATACAAGATTGGTGTGGTTCAATACTTGAATAAAATCATGGTTAAACTTTCTTTGTATAAGTGCATAATACAAATTATTTAATACTGCTACAGTGATTAGTGGTATTAAGTAATTTGTTATTAGATGTGACAGTGATATCCCAAAGGAAACAGATCTGGAAACTTTCGTTTCTCAAGAGGTTGTTCGATGAGACATAGACATTAGTCATGTTACAAGTTTTAACAACTTGTTATCGTTTAACTAGACATTTTTGTACTGTACAGTTGAATTAAATGTATTTAATGTTTTGTAGATCCATTTAAATTGGTATACAAAGTGCGTGGTCAGGATGACGAAATTATTAATCTAAGCTGGTGCCCACGGTTTGAAGTGGTTGTTAAGAAAACACTAAAAGAGTTAGATAAAAAGGTTAGTGCAACAGAAAGAATGAATAAAATAAGAAGTGAAGCTGAAAAGAGTGATGGATCAGAGGAATTGGAAGCAAAGGGTCAACGGGAGAAGTTAGAGGAATCTGGAGTCATAAAGAATTTGCCTGAGGATAGCTTTGATGAATCCATAGTTGTGGAAGATGACCCATTTGATATTTACAAAGATCATGAAGCTGATGAGTTTGGTCACAAAAAGTATGTACCTGAGGAGATAATGGTAAAAATTAAGAAAGAAGAAAAACCTCTGGATTACTTAGAAGAATGCATGAAACTTAAAGATCAAATATTAAAAATGAAAAATCAGCCTGATGAGACTATAGAATCATTAGTGCAAGCATTAGATAGAACCCATGTTGATAGTGAAAAGAATGGTGATGAAGCATCTAGTAGCAGTAATGAAATACCTTTAGTACCAGATGCTGAATCTACTCATATACATAAGCATCTTTTAGCTACAGTTGGAAAATATGGGTAAGTAAAATAGAGCTGGGAATAATTTTATAATATTTTAGGATTAGCTTTACCTAATCCAAAGGAAATCTTGTAAAAAAATTACAAAATGCTAAATACTAAAGTATAATAATAGCAAAAAATTATATTATAACAAAATGAAATTGTTATTAAAAAAAAAAATCAGTGTTTCTCTAGTATATTATGCATGTATTATACATATAAACCTTTCTTTTGAATCACTCTATCTATTAAAAAAACCACATAAAAATCCGTTGTGTAGTTTTAAAGATCTAAGCATACATACATAATATAAAATGGTATTAAATAAATATTAATTTCTTCTTTTTAACTAAGTAGAATAAATAATGATTTATTTTATCTCTGTTTTTATTTTCAGTGGTGTAAGAATATGGTCTAAAACAGGTAAACTTGTGGGATCCTGTGGTGTGCCTTCAGTTAATACCAAGAACCCAAGAAACAAATCACCCCCCTGGGCAACATTACTGTGGCTCAAATCTGACCTATTACTTATAGGGGATGCAAGGAGTCAGTTGTTGGAATGTAATCCTTTGAAAATCGACTGGTGAGTTCTACTAGTATTTCAGATACAATTTTATTTGAAGTCATATTTTATAGAGTCATATTACAAAGATTATATATATTGCTTCAATACTAGCGATCCGACCCGGCTTCACACCACTAGACAGATTTTTCGATAATCAATGTAATACATACATATAACAACATACATATAAAACATATAATAAAAAAAGTTTCAGCCAATTCAACTGATCGGTTATTTTATAGTATTTTATATGTGACTCCTAAGATTGATATAGGTTTTTTATTTATGAACCAATTGAAATAAACTCTAAATGTTAAGTGGAGCAAACCACAACACATTAGTGAAAACCTGAGAGAAATTCTGAGAATAACATGCACAAATGTACAGACAAACATACGAAAATTCTAAAAAAAAAATGTTTTGGGTTCTATTGCAAAGAAAAACTATAATAGTTTTTTTAATATATCTTTCATGTATAGACAGTGACCAGTTACGATTTTATTATATTTATTGATATGTTAATTAATCAATGGTTACTAACTTATCGTGTAATGCTGTTTAACTAAGTACTTCAAATCCCTAGTCATAAATAACAGTTTTAATTTGTATCAACTAAGAATTGATTGTTTTTATGCTATATTTGTAACTGGTTTATTCATGGTTATGTTTCTACATATATATTTGTTGCCGTGTGTGCCCCGGCATAGAATGGGCCGCCCCTACCTTTCCCGTGAGTGTCGTAAGAGGCGACTAAGGGAGGGCTACGGATGGGCAGCAGTGTTCCTCTTAAAACATCTCTAAAAGTTTAACTGCAGTTGCCAACCTGTCTGCCAAGCGTAGCAACTACTGGCAAACAGTCAATAGCTGAAATAATAGTAATAAATATATATTTGTTAGTGAAACGAGCAGCTCAATTTATTTTGGAATGTAAATGAGATGTAAATTTTATTTGCATACTTTTTGTTTGTTAAATTTTTTTTATAATCTGAACCAATAATAAAAATTATGTTCCTACAGCAAAAACAAATTACAGTGGCAAATTGTCCACACTCTGCACAAACGTGGCTTATCCTGCATAGCATCGTCGGCGCCACGGGTGCAGTCTGATGATTTGTCTCTAGAGGATCATCCAGTGTGGACCATATCACAGGACCGTACCTTAGTCTGTTACTCGCTGGCCACGCGGCAAAAGATTGCTAAACATGCCAGCTGTGGTGGCTTCCTTTACACGGTACAGCCGTGCCCATATGACGCTGGCAAGTAAGTGGTATTAAGACTGTAAATAATCTATTAATTTACGACTATCGCCGTGCATGGTTTTTTTAATGGATGACAATGCAGTAATCCTGCCTGCGCTAACGGTTAACGCTGGCGGGGCACCAGTGAACGATGATAGGTGAGATGAAAAGGCAGGACAGTTAGTCCATCGTGATGAATACGACCATGTGGAGGTCGACCTTACAGGGTATTTTTTTTTAATGGATGATAATGGAATGGTAACTCCGCCTGCGCTAACGGTATACGCTGGCGGGGCACCAGTGAGGGATGATAGATGTGAATGAAAAAAAGGCAGGTCAGTTAGCCCATCGTGACGAATACACTTGGAATTCAGAACGATGGTTTCCAGGGGGGAACACGGGGAGGTCGACCTGGTTGGGTATATTGCTAGCAATGGGATTCTCAGTCTCAATTACTAACAATCCCTTTCCCCCCTACAATCACTAGTTACGTACTTTAAGGTCTTCATATAGTAGTTCTATACAGGGAGTACTCTTAGTAGCCATAACAGAGAATCAATAAACACCTTGAAGTTGTGTGTATATTGTAAAAAAAACTTTAAAAAATCAAAGATTTTTAATAATATATATGATATTTTTTATTAGAATCGCTGTAAGTGTCGGTGATGGCGCGGTTCGCGTCTGGGAGACCAGCGTGTCCGATGAGAATGGATCACAGCTGAACATTGGTAATGTGAACAGCTACTGGCAGAATGTGCAGGGGAAAGTGTTGACGGTCGCATGGCATCCTGTCAGAGAAAATCTACTTGCGTTTTCAACTGGTGAATCAAGGGTAATTTGATAATAAATTTTTGTAGTAAGATATATAAATATAATATTTTAATTAAGATATAAGATATATTTATAATAAGATATTTATTTATTTAACAAAGTATGTTTGTATTAGCACAGAATTTATCATTGCTTCCTACACTAGGTTGAGCCTGTTCTGTAGGAAGCAGTACTCGTGTTATCATATACATGCATATAGATATTAAATTAGCTTATTAGATATTAAATTGGCTTTTTAGCAATATTGACAATTGTGTAACTAATTTGTAATCCAATTATTTCTTTTAGATCTCACTACCAATACACATGTATAAACAACAACCTGACAAACTTTGACTTGACAACCTATACAATTTTTTTTTTTATTTTAATTTAATTTTGCTCTTAAGTTTTATTTTCTCTTTATTGTAATAAATTATGTATGTATTTGATTTATATGACTAATGAAAAGAAATATAGTGTAGAATGAATAAATTTTTGACATTGTTAATAATTTGCACGCCGACATAAAGGCAGAATGTATATGGGAAATATAAACCTCTTTCATCAAAAACTACCAACATTCTAGCAAAATAAATTCATTTCATTTCATAAATAAGTAGGTATTACAATTAAGAACATTTTTATTATAATTAAGAACATTTTTCCTATTACTAAAATAAATGTTGCGTATAAACATTTTTTTTTATTTATTTTACTGAACTAGGTCCGTATCACTGGTTATTTGATTTGAATTATGTTGTTTAATTTAACTACCATTAGTATGTGTGTGACTATTATCGAATTTGGCAAATAGTTTTATCCGCGCAGAACTGGCAAGAAATTCGACTTAAATTTTTTTTCTGTACCTAAAAGACAAACACGCTTGATGTTACTTTATCTAGCATGTTTTTTTTTTCTAAGTATTTATATTTAACATTTTTATGCTTTAGGTTTTTCTCAGTTTTAATAACAGACGTAAATGAAGGATAGTGTAAATTTTTTTTATTTCTTTTCCAGGTCGGTTTGATTGATACAAGTAGAACAGAAAAGCCGGCTCGGGTGCTACTACCGGCTTTGAACGGCGGCATATACTCTCTGTACTGGGGCGAGGAGAACAATTTATACGCATGTGGAGGCGGTGATTTGGTTGTTTACAACACAAGCAAACCTGACGAAGGTGAGTTTACTTGTAGAGATATAGTGTGGTGTTTTTGGCACACATTTTTATGTAGTACTTGTTGGTGTAACTATAGTAAAAAAAAATTGAGTAGAGACCGAGTACAGACAAATACTGCAGGGGTTCCCAAACTTATTTTGTCTACTGCCCACTTTGAGAATAATTATTTTTTTGTGCCCCCGTTTTTTCACCTGCTTAAAAATCACTATTACTTCAAGATCAACAAATCACCCCCCAAGCCTCTAACACAATGATATAATTTTTTTCTGGGTCTCTTACCGTCCCCCTTTAGGCCTGCAGCGCCCACAAGGGGGCGTTATCGCCCACTTTGGGAAAGGCTGAAATACTGTATTGGATATCCGCCCTTTACGAGTAGATGAGTTAGCAAGTGGTTCAGGTGTGTGGTAATTTATATACTGCAGGAGACAATGATTTATAGATTTAAATAATGATATTTATTTGTGTGCCGCGACCCAGCACCGTCGGCGGTGGCCGTGTCGGTGGAGGGGCAGCGCTGGGAGGTGTGCGTGGCGCGGTGGCAGCCGCGCGCGCTGCTGGTGGGCAGCTGCGCCGGCGCAGTCGCGGCGCTTACACCGCACCACCCGCATACACTCCTCGCCGCCACTTTTATCTTCAGGTTCGTATAGACAGATTATATAAATTCGATAAACAACTTTTATATCGGTTGAAATTTGTTGTTGGTTACTGTTTGGTATGGAAACCTCCATTTTATTTTATTTATTAGGCGAACATAACAGAAGTTTACAAATACAAACTTAAATTGTAACATTATTTCTTTTTAATCTAATTATGGCCGAGTGGTCCCGGTATAGAATAGGCCACCCCTTCCTTTCCCGTGGTTGTCGTAAGAGGCGACTAAAGGAGGGCGAGGGATGGACAGCAGTGTTCCTTTTAGAACATCTCTAAAGCTGTCTGTCTGCGGTTGCCAATTTACCTGCCAAGCGTGGCAGCTACTGATAATACCCCCCGTTGGGGGGTTTAATTTATAGGAAAAAGGATCTGGGGCGTCCTGTAATGACAACATAAATTTTTAGGGGCACATAGACAAAGGTTATAAAGGGATTCATTTTGAAGTAAGCACTTCATTAAACGTAGGGATAGCTTGCGGTTAGCATCTTTGCTGCTAAGAGAAGGTATTAATATCTACATAATATCAGTAAAATATTAGACGGACGGTATCGCTTAAAGCTTGTATATTGTAGGTATGCTTACTTACAAACTATCAAATCTAGAGAGATATACAGTACTGGTGTTAAAGGAAGAAGGGTCCCAGGGGCTTGTCAGTGGTCAGTTAATGCTGATATGATGATACTGTATAATATATAATTTCCTATTTGCAGCAAAATGATCTACGCTATTGATTGGCACCCGCTCGAAACATCAAATTCGACTGAAGAATCTCCATTCAAGAATCTCATTGCTGTGTGTTCACAGGAGAAACAAGGTTCCATTGTTATACTGGAATATTGCAACAAAGAAGGTGAGCTATAAAATAATTCCAACATTGTTTGAATATATTTTTTTTACTTTGTTTTTATGTCATATTTTGCAATATACAATTTTTATATGATAGCTTCGGTTTTGTATTTGCTTATATAGGCTACAGTATATATAGTATGTATATACAGTATATATAGACTGTTTATCTACAGACAGACTGTATGCTTGTTTGTTACCTTTGTGGTATAAAAAAAAACTTCCAGTAATTGCAGAATATATAAAACATATTTTAATATTAAACTATTATTATAAAAACTATTTAGTTCGACCAGATGGCGCTGTTCCGCTTTATTTGTATTATAGTTATAATATAATTGATTTTAGATGGCAGCCATCAATTTCAAACTTGGAAAACATTAGTGGGTCACAGCGGTCAAGCACTGCATGTTTCATGGAATCCACACCATGATGGCCAGTTGCTAACCACCTCTCAAGACAGCACAGTTAGAGTGAGTAATCTTTTTATTTTTATTTTATTTTATACAAAAATCCACAGCTCTTAAAAAATAACTTACATGCTAAGTCTCTTATGAATACACCCAATAACGGATTTTATTTATACAAACAAAAATTTTAATTCCAAAGCGAGGTAGGCAAATTAGAGTGGATGTATGCAAGTAATATAAGCACATGTATAAAAGAAACCATATATAATAGTGAGTGTCCATAAAGTTCAGTTAATTGATATATAAAATAATTACAATCCATAGATTGTTTTTAGCATCCATAGAATGTTGTTGTTAATAAATTGTTATATAAAATTAAAGAATGTGTCCCACAAAAAAACTGACTTCAATTTAGAATGGCAAACAAGCTGATGGCCCACCTGATGGAAAGTGGTAACCGTCGCCTATAGACATGAGCAATACCATAGACATAACAGAGTATACTGTTTCGCTCACGACACCCTTCATACGAAAGAGGAATGGAACAGAAGTATCTAATTGACTTTGACTAATTTGTAGACGTAAATTTACATAATTGTTCCTTATGTAACGTAAGTAAGGGTGAGGAGAGGATAATTCATCTTTTTATTAAATATTGGGATGAAAGTTTGCATGCAAATAGTATGCCGTATGAAAATGAAATATACCACAGGTTAGGCCAATCTCCACGCGGTCCCCCCTGCAAATCATCGTGCTTAATTCCAAGTGACTTCACTACGATGGACTAACTGACCTGCCTTTTTATTTTCACCTATCATCTTTCACTGGTGCATCGCCAGCGTATACCGTTAGCGTAGGCAGTGTGACCATTCCATTATCATTCATTAAAAAAAAAACTATTTTGTTATGTTCATATGTTACAGATATGGAATGTATCAGAAGGTGTATGCATATCAATATTCGGCGGTCACGCGAGTCCCGCATTGTCTGCCGCGTGGTGCGCGTACCCGCAACTCGCCACTAAAGTCATCTCCGGCGGCGGGGACTGTTGTCTGCGGGTATGGGACATCAACGACCATCCTGCCGACTCTTACATTGGTAGGAATGTCTTTTACTATTATAATTAATCCAAAATCTTCTTTGGTGAAAAATTTCAGTTTCACTTGTAGAACGCTCCCTTCAAAGGATGCTAACAATTCCAAGTTCTCCCTTTATAATTAGACGTGTCTTGCCTGATGTATCAACGCATAAAATTTTTTTTTTGTGATTTTGTTTTATTGAATGAAAAACACGAAATCAAAATGTGCTCCACAAAAAAAATATGACTACAATTGTGGCAAAACCAGTTATTTTAATTTAAAAACTAAACTACTGAGCTGATTTTTATAACATTTCTATGAGACGAATTTGTAAGTATATCCTTTCAGATAAAAAAGGGACCAATCTGTAAGATTTTTTTTAGATTTTAATTTATAGGTAAAAAATAATTTTCCAAATCGGTTTACAACTGATGGAGTTGTGAGGTAACAAATAATAAATAAGAAAATACAACCGAATTAAGAACATTCTTCTTTTTTTAAGTTGGTTGAAAAGTGATAATCAGTTGGTTCATAGATATTAATATACCAGGGTTGCTAGCAATGGGGCCATAGAGATTCCGTTAAAAAGAATTTATCCTCCCTGTAATTCTTATATATATGAATGTTAGCATATAAGAGAGGGACAATCTAATTAAAAAGATCCCAAAATATTATATTTTTGTGTATACAATAGTCTATAATTTTGTTAATTTTTATATTATTATTAATTTAATTTCATAGAAATTAAACAAGAAGTGGCAACAAAGCGAGATAAGAAGAAAAAAGAGAAGAAGGAACCAAAAGATTTGGACGAGGAGGAGACGGATAAAAAGGTGGCAGCCACTAATGACGGAAAATTAAAGGTGTCCAAGAAATTTTTACTACCATTATTGAACAAACAAATAACGAATTGTAACATACAAGGCGCAAGGAAGCTACTGAATAAATATCTTCACAAGAATTCTATTACCAGTGATAATTCACAAACCAACGGTTGTGAGGATGTTGATACGGATTTCATTAAAATGTTCGGCAATATAAATGAAGTCAATGAAGTTTTGGATAAAGAATGTAAGTTTTGTTATTTTTATTTATTCTTCACTCACGTAAATGGTCGTGAATCTTATTAGGGGCCTTGAAAAATGAATTTAGTAAGACTATCTTAAGTCACATTTTCGATTGTGAATCGACTTTGATTCACAATTCGACAGTTTTTATTTCCATACTAATTTTATCAAAGTTGAAGTTATTAATAATTTTATCAAATTATTAAAAAAATCATTTAGTTGTACTGTGACGCAACTTTTTGGCATAATTTCATATCATTCATTCATTCCCTATCTCTTGCATTGAAACTACTTAATGATATTTTGAACCGGTATCCGCAATTGGATATATTTGCCTCCAACTTGCTGGAGTTTCGTCGAGTGACCACAGAGTATTTGTGTTCAGACATTTTTTGTTTCAGTTAAATCTTTTTATATTATTTTTGTTTAATGTTTTCGTGTAATATTCCTTTTTATATGTTATTGTACTCATGTTTTCATGGGTGAGCGTATTGGAAGACTGTAAGGCTTACCCAGTGGATGTAATAAATAAATATATATTGTGTTATAATTTGATAAGACAAATTACACCAAATTCCAATAATCATCAGCATTTACAATGAGTAAATTTTTTTTATACAACTTAGAATGGCAAGCAAGCTGATGGCTCACCTGATGGAAAGTGGTAACCGTCGCCTGTAGACATGAGTAGTACCATGGACATAACAGAGTATACTGTTTCGCCCATGATACCCCCATGTGTTGCCATTCCTGAGGACTCGGGTGTTATTCCTCTGTACTCTGTAAATTCGCTCCATATCCCACCCTTCAAACCGAAACACAGTCATGCAAACACAACTGCTTTACGGTTGAAACACGAATGGGGCAGAGGTAAGGTATATCGACTTTTGTACAGTCTCCCTCTGGTGAAGAACTCATTTTATGAATGAATTTAGAAATGTTTCAAATTCCAAAACCTAGGTTCGTCAAGTGATCTTATGGCATTCCTTCTTACTTTTTTTCTTTGTATGTGTAGTGGAAAGACATCTTACGGCACACAGCGTGGAGTCGTGGATAATGTTGAGTATATTTCGTGGGCATATTGACAGCGTCATACGGTTCGCAAGCGAGCGCGACCTCCTCTGCACGTTTCTGCTAAGCGTCGCTCCTTGTGTCTCTTTGAAGTAAGTTATTTTATGTTTATTCAGTTAACAATTCGAATTCTCGAAGTGGTGGTAATTTTAAGATTTATGAAGGTAAAAATATCTATTATAAAAACTGTCATGCTATTCGATTTATTATGAAATGTGGATTTTTTTTTAAATACTTATAATGGCAAACAAGCTGACGGCCCACTTGATGGAAAGTAGTATCCATCGCCTATAGACTTGAACAGCACCATGGATATCTCAAAATATACTTGGATGACCATGGCACATCTCATGCTATGTTATGTTTACCTACTCTATGATTGCACTAGCATGCTTCGCCCTTTAAACAGAAACAACTATGCAAGCACAGATGTTTTATGGCAGTTACACGAGTGCCATAGAGATAGAGACATCCTTTCATTGTATGAAATGAAATATGTCTAATTATTTTATATATATGTCTTATTATTTTAGATATTGGAAGGATACGACACAGCTGTATTTAGCACAAATTGATAGACTTATAGCTAAGAACGAGTCAGAAAAACTAAATAGTAAGTAAATTGTAAACTCTAATTTGTCAACAGCTATGTACTAGTTTTAAGTTATTGATTCTGCAATTTAATTTTTACTAATATTATAAATGTAAAAAAGAGTGTTCGTTATATCATGAAATTTGACACAAACACAATATGTGTAATGGAGGCCATAGGACTCTTTTTGTCACATATCAAGGACGAAAAAATACTTTATTAGTATTTTTTTGTATATGCACATATACATAACCGCAGGTGTGACAATATACTGTATTTTTTAATAAATGATTTTATTTCAAATTGGAATTCACAATGCCTTGTCTTGGGTGCCTTCCATATACTGTTTAGTATGCTGTAATACACTTGCGGCCTAAGCCGCGGTGTCTCAATACTATGAGTAATTTTTATATAAGAACAAAGGGTATATTGTTCTAAGCACCTTAGTAAGGCAATAAAATGTTTGTTCCAGATAATAAAAATTATGGTGGCCCGGTGTATCGTAAAGTGGCCATATTGCTCAGCATACACGACATAAAAGGTGCTGTCGATGTGCTCGTAGAGGCACGGCTATTCAACGAAGCTTATATTTTATGTAGAACGAGGTAATATAATATCTGGATTGTTAGTCAAATACATAATGTGTTACTTAAATTTATTGCAATAAGGTGCTATATGGACAATGAATTTTTATCGTCTGAGGATTATCCTAAAGACTATATTATGTAATTGTTCTTTATCTATATAGACCCTAATGTTGGAATATATAATATAAAAAAACATAAATCAAGACCAAGACAAGTTTTACTTTGTGTATGTTGATTTTTTATTGTCGCCAATAGCTATAATGAACTGTATATATTTTTACAGATATATGGACAGTATAGCTGAACAGACGTTGATACAGTGGGCTCAGTATTGTGCTTGTAACGGAATGTATAACATGGCTGCCGTTTGGTAAGATTAAGGTTTAATTAACAATAGAATTGATTGTTTTTTCTTTTATTTATTTAAGGTATCAGTCTGGTTATAAATATTCATGTACTTTGTAGAATAGGCAGGTTTTTGTTTATACTTTTGACTTAGTATTCAATCTGATTCTGCACTTAATGGGTGATTTATATATAAACTATGAAATTCTTCATAGTAATTTTAGCATTTGCATAAATATTTTATTAGGCGACGACTTGTGATTTGGTCATTTTTTTAATGTATATTTTGTCCTTGTGTCGGAGTGGTATTTCAATTATGTGTAACTTAATAATCATGACTATTTTGCATGTTTGCAGTTATTTAGCTCTTGGAAATCTGTCACAAGCGGCAACCGTTCTTGGTAAGACTCAGGATGAAGAGTGGCTCTGTTTAGCGGCGGAGTTGGCTAAAACGGCTGGTCAAAATACTTTCGCCGACCATATATCAGAGAAACGGGAACAGATAAAAAATAAAGTTGTCGCAGTGGACACTGAAGAAGTGTTAGAACAGTTACCAACTAGATTTGAACTCCTAATGAAAGAAAATGGCCAAAATGGAGATAAAATTAATGAAGAAGAGAAACCGGCCAATGGTGTTTAATTTGATCTCTGTCAGTATTTTATTACTTCATACTGTGCCTCTCGATAAGTTTGATATTGTGATATTAATAGCTAGTAATGTGGTTATAAACTATCATTTCTTTTAATCTTTATTAAAATAATACTAGTAATAATTCCAATAAACAGGAATTAAACAAAATAATAGTAATCTACCCGTGATATGGACTTTTCGCAAGATACAAATAACTCCTAGTTCAGTAAAATATTTAATCTTGATTGCAAAGTCAGAATTTTACTATTTTTATCATTGTGTGCGATGTAATTTTAAATTTAACATTCTAATTTTAAAAAAGTTACGTATTGCTTTACGATGGCCATTAGAATCTGTTTTATATCTTTGTTATGTTTTGCATCTATAGGACAGCGAGATCAGTGTACTAGTGTATACTGTACTGTACTGTACTGTACTGGCATCTTGATGTTAAATCGGACAAGAATTGGAGTTAGATAGAAAATGTGGGCATCCCACAAGAAATGGCTATTTTCTGCATAACTAAATCCTTGTCTTGATCTTTTACTATCAATACATCTTGTATTGATTGATGTATTATTATTGTCTTATTAAATGTGTTTGTACAATTTGCTCCTTTTTTATTTTATTGAGTTTTTAGTATTATTTGTGATTTTAAATTCCTAAATCGGCTTACTAAATTGTCAGCAATTCACAAATAGACAAATAAACAAAATAAATTGGAGTACTTTCCCACTACAAGAAATTGGATTTTTTTAGCAATTAGAATGGCAAACAAGCATACGGCCCATCTGATGTAGTGGTAACAGTCGCCTAAGACATTTTCATGTTCAACAGTTTCATTGTACCCCTTCCCCCTTGCATTGCTCCTGAGGACAAAGGTATTATGCCTCTGTACCCTTCAAATCGAAACAAAGCCATGCAAACAATTGCTTCACGGTAGAAACACGAATGTGACAGAGGTACCTAAGGAAACTACTTATTATTATATTTTTATAAACAATAGCATTAATAAATTAAAAAAAAAAAGGTTTGCATAGGCCCTGTGTCCCGGCATAGAGTATCTCTTCCTTTACCGTGAGTATCGTAGCAGGCGACTAAAGGAACTTATGGTCGAGGGATGGGCACTAGCGTCCCTCTTAAAACGTCTTCAAAAGTCTAACTGCGGTTGCCAACCTGCCTGCCAAGCGTGGTAACTATTGGCAAAACTCCCCTTATGGGGAAGATTTATGTTCAGCAGAGGACAGTTAACGGCTGAAATAATGATGATGATGAACCTTTTCCATCTTTTCAATACTCTAGACTTCTAGAGAAAAGGAAGTAATAGGTTTACTGTTAAATTCACTTGATGCTGAAGAACCTATCACTCAATGAGATCCCTGCAAAAGTAAATTGGATCGTAGTGGAAGATAATAAATCGTATTATGATTTATATAAAATAGCTATTTTAATCTCTGGGCATTCTATGAACTCGAATTATAGTATCCAAAGTCGTTGTGGTAGATATTTATTATTTTACTAAATGACAGGACAAATGGTTGTGTCCCTTATTGGGTACACTTTTTCTTAGCTGAATAAAATTACCATCTCTTAAGTTAAAGTAAATTTTTGGTTTTAGCATGAAAAATCTTGTGTAATATGTCTGAATTTCTAAAGGTACATCACAATTGAAAGTCACGAGTAAAAATCAATCATTTATTGAATAGTTAGGTACCATACCATATTTTAATTAATAGATCACAAATTTGTATAAAAAGAGATTAATAATATTTTTTAATATTGGATGATAATGCTATTTTTCGACAATACGTATATAAAATAGCAATTTACACAACTTACATCAAGTGCAAGCAAATGCTAAATTATATTTACAAAAGAAAATATCCTATATTTGCATTTATTATCTAACTAGAAGAATATTATAGAATTAGGCACCATGTTATAAGTACAAACAATATCTAATAATACTAATATTGTACGATATTTTGAGACTAAAAACCAACCAACATTCACACTTGATGGCATCATTTATCACTACTAACGACTTTCTTTGTAAAATGCTATCGGAATGTTTCTATCTAGCATTCAGTCTTATAAGCATTAGTTATGGCATAGATAAAAATATGCAATTAATATATTTTTCATATTGTTACAATTCTACTAACTTTCTACAATCATTCTCGACCCTTTATGTTACTATTTTAAAGGTATCCCCGGTTAAACAATAATTTCAATGTTCGTTAATTATTATAATTAACATTTATAATCAGCATGCACTTCAATATAATTTTAATGAATATACTAAAAGTTCAACTTTAAACAGTGTTATCAATAATTCGTTAATATTTTGTTAATTAAATATTTAACTTTAATTTAATTCCAATACTCGTTTCTAGAATTTACTCAACCCACATGCTCTGTGGGATCTTCATTTTCGCGGTTGGACTCTTTGCCTCTTTTCTTGCAAATGTTAACCAGCTTTGCATTTATTTTCTTCAATTTTTGATTCTCTTTCATTACGTCGGTTAGCTGCTGATTCTGTAAATAAAAGTACAATTATTAGAATTGCTTAATGTTAGTTGGCGGTAGGATCTAAAATAATGTTACCCGATTAGTTTATAATGAAATTGGTAATTTCTGAAATTATCAAATTAGTAATCTCTTTTGATATAGGCACAGAACATAATATATATGGCCTATACTTCCGAGGCTATATTGGAAGAAATATGACTTGACAGCGCTACAGCAGCCTACTTGTGACCATGGCCGGTGTAACTTGGCCAAATCATCGAGATAAATCCGGTAAATTATCATCACCATTTCAGTCATTAACTGTCCACTGTTGAACATAGGCTTCCCTCATAAATTGCCATAAGGAGCTGTCTTGAGTCACCTGCAAATTATCATAGTTCATCTAAATGATTTCGTTTGCAATTGAGATCATTTTGGGATGTAATATATAACTGTTAGTAGCAGTCAGGCGTCACCTGCACTATAGCACTACCGGTGGCGATGTACATGGGCTGGGCCGCGGCGCCGGCCGTAAGCGAGCACAATTGCCGCTCCAACGACGTTTTCTGCTGTGTGAGCCTCTCCACCGTCTGTGGAATGATTAAAAATCACTAATAATTTATTTGAAGTCACACTGGCGTTGATTATGAGGCATAATTTCACTAAACTTATGTCTAAAATCAATATTTCAATTTGATATCACAGCAAAGTCTTTATTGTAAGGACGAGTGTGAATTTTCTAACATATTGAAGTCAAAATTATAAGGATGGTTGATAAAAAAGTAATTTCGTAAAATTCTCAAATTATTAGGTTACGAGATAAGCTTAGAGAAATGATACCTAAGAATCGGTTCTATTGTTTTGTAAATGTTTTCTTTAATGACGTCAACTGAATGATTTTTATTGAAAATAGGATTCTCATCGACGTATCAAAACCCAGTATATTATATTGTAGTTATTATTATAAATTAGAATAATAATAAACAAATATATATATAGTCTCGTGAATATACTTTTTTGTTTTCGATTCAAGTACTCGAAGCTATTATTAATTTTGGTCTAAAATGTTCTTTTCTATTAACACCCATATACTCTAATAAGTATCAGAAATTACACCAGCGAAATAGAATTCAAAGACAAGTTAAATTATGAACATAACTTTTAGCATCCTACATCATTGCTTTCCCTGGAATATATTTAGGTATATGCACTAAAATATACTTGTTTAATAAACATATATACCATTTTGAGTCGTTTCAATTCTCGAGATTGCGTTCCGTCGGTCTGCCGTGTACTGTCATCTCGCTCTACCTGACTGCTCAGGAAGTCTGTAATAAGAGTAATATTATTTTTGTTATTTATATTGTGATACCAAAACAAAAAGAGACAGGATCATAGCGACGAACTATGATTAATTCGAATTCGGATAAACAACAATTTGGAACTGTTCATAAGGATTAAATTTGCTATATTTTCTCCTTCTTAATATATTTGATATTACGAGTATTAAATATAGAAATTATAGCTTTACTAAACTAACAAAGTTTTATTGTGCAATAAAGAATAAATAAATAATATTAGTATTCAAAATACTGAAAAGTTTTTTATACAACTTAGAATGGCAAACAAGCTGACGGTCCACCTGATGGAAAGTGGTAACCGTATAATTTATAACGTTATTCACACGACTTCGTCTGACAATAACAAGATTTTGTTGACCAGGATAAAAAGTAAATTATGTTTTGCTTTGTCTTAAATGCTATGCATATGTCAAATTTCATGACGATTCGTTGATCTGTTAAGGCGTCAAATGGTAACACATTTATATTCACATTAGTCTTAGTGTATTTATAAAAATAATGGCCCTCAATCTATCCAGCAGGATGATAGACACAAATCACTTTTCAGTTACGAACGAATACATAGAATTACAGAATAATTACCGTCGCTAGTTTCAGTGGTGGCGTCGTTGAAATCCACCATGGAGGAGCCGCGGTTCTGGTCGTGTAAACTCTGCCGTTTCTTGCGTGTAGACTGCAAAATACCGCTATGATTTTCTTCAAACTCTTGCAGCTTTGCCTGAAATGGAACAACGTTATAACAGAGATGAGGTTTCACGATCAAGACTAACTATATTTTTTTATAACGAGCATAGGGCTCTCCTGATAGTAATGAATTATCGGCGCTCATAGACATAGCGAACACTTGAGAACTTGAAGGTATGTTGCTTACCTTTTAAGAAGGCATGTGCTCTTTTTTTGAAGGGTTCAATATTGTATCTATACAGTTTATTGTAGATGTATACATCTATAATCATATTGTGCAAAGTAAAAAGTATACCTCCAACATTGTCTTCGTTTCCTTCAATTTACGTAATTGTTCGTCCTTCTCCCTCAGATATATGCCGCAAGTCTCGCACTCCTCATCTAATTCCTTGCATCTTGCTCGAAGTTCTTCTAACTCTTGTTTGCATTCTTTCAATTGTTGTTTTGTTGTTTCTAACTCCCTGTTGATTGATTAACAATGGGTTGAAAGAGAGAATGTTATTAACTTTGCTGTCACTGCTACATTAATGGAATTTGCTGGTTTTAGTTTGATTTTTTATTCATCTTATGAAATTACCAGAGGGAGACTTTGCAAAAAAGTCGATTGCTTGGGTACCTCTGTCCCATTCGTGTTTCTACCGTAAAGCAGTTGTGTTTGCATGGCTGTGTTTCGGTTTGAAGGGTGGGATATGGCGTGAATTTACTGGGTACAGAGGAATAACACCCGAGTCCTCAGGAATGGCAACGCATGGGGGGTATTATGGGCGAAACAGTATACTCTGTTATGTCCATGGTACTGCTCATGTCTATAGGCGACGGTTATCACTTTCCATCAGGAAGGCCGTCAGCTTGTGTATTAAAAAAAAAAAAAAACTAATATTATAAAGGTACAGAAAGATTTAAAAAGAGATGGGTGGGCTGCGAATCTAGAAAGATATGAATATTAAAATGGCTGCAAATAGAAAAGTGAACCAAAATTATGAAATGAGGGCCAGAAGACGATTTAATTTTATAATTAACCATAAATATAAAAGTAAAGGATTTGATTGAAAAGTCTAAAATATTCCAAACCTATTGTCTTTGCCAGAATTCTTTTCTATAAACTTTTGCATCTTTCCAAGAGTCGTTTTCAATTCTTGCTTCTTGAAGCGTAATTCTTCAACTGTTTTCATCAGTCTTTTGTTCTTTTCAACTTCTGCATCATAGGACATACGATCTACGACCACTGAATGAAGATTGGTCCAATCTAAAAGTCAAAGGCTTTATTTAAATTGATTATATTGATTGAAATAAGTATCATCAACTTGTGAGTAGTACAGTACAAAACAAACTAGTCTAGTGAATTAAAAACAAAGCTTTTGTACCTTAACTTTTTGTGACTTATAGATCTTACAAACATTTAAATAATCCTAGCTCTCATGTTTATAATATTACTAGCTTTTACCAGCGACTTTGCACGCGTGACCGGGATATGTTTACTAACCGGGAGAAAAACTTACCTATTAATGTCTCCTGTGTAATCGATACAATGGTTTAGACACTAAAGTGTAACAAATAAACTTATTTTCGCATCTATATTATTTAAAAATTAGAACTAATAGGGGTAATTAAACTACATTTTAATTAATATCCATAAAAAATTGAAACTACAAGGAATACTTTAATTTAATTCACCTTCGTCTGTGTTCACTGCGGCGTTGGCGACCATCGTTCTGTTGCCACCTTGGAGAGTTTGATTTGGGTTGATAGACTGTAATTTTTCCCTCAATTCACTAACTAAATTCTGGAATAGTGTAAAAAATAGCTTATTATTATATTTATTAATTACACAATAATAATAATACATAAAACAGAAACAGTGACGTTTGAAATTTTAATAATTTTAAGGAAAACATTATTTATTTATTTAACATTTCATTGTTCCAATATTACAGGACTTGCTGAAGGGTTTTCATTAAGCATAGTGTAGTATAAACATATTTGATAAACACAAAATTTAAAGTTATATGTAAAATAACTTTATATTTGGACTAAAAGAGACTAAGAGAGACTACACGAAAGATTTTACTATCATCTTAATAAATAGATACTAATTCAATTATTATAAAATTCAATTGTATTCAGTAATTACGTTCATAGTTCAAATACGCAGATGTTACAGTACAACTCATATAAGAGAAATACAATTTTGAAAATAGCCTTAAGTGCACGTAAAGGTAGAAAATATAAATAAAAGTGATTTTAACAAAATCACTTGAGACATTACACTCAAAGAATTATGATTGCCATACATAAAGAAGGGAAAAGTAGTATTTTTACAAGACAGTATTTCCGAACCGATACGACAACATAACCTTCAAGAAAAGAGCATATTCCTTTTTAAAAGGCCGGCTGCACACCTGCAATGCCGTTAGTGTTGTGGGTGATCATGGGCGGCGGTCTCACTTACCACCAGGTGAGCCGCATGCTCGTTTGCCCCCTGTGTTGTAAAAAAAAAACTTACCTCCAAGCCTGCTTTTTCTTTCTTAAGCCTTGCGCATTGGCTTTCCCTTTCACGCAGGTACTCCGCACAAGTGTCACACTCTTCGTCCAGTTCCTTGTATCTTTCCTTCAACTCCTCGAGTTCTTGTTTGCAGGACGCGAGTTGTTCACGTACTTGACTTAATTCACTATAGAATAATAATAGACCTTCTTAGTTTAATACTAAAAAGACCACAGATAGTACAGTGAATGACTAGAATTATTAATGTCGAAAAATAAATGATTTATGCCATACCTTTCATTTGCTGAATCTGATGTTTTTAAGTCGGTTGGTTCATTCAACTTTGAAGTTTCTGAAAGTAAAATTAATGTGTTATTAATAATCGAGGTAATAGAGTCGATACTGAATAGTTATTCTCTAAACATGTCTCTAAAATTATTACTTTAATTTGGTAGTTGTGTGACAGTACTGTTTTATGGACCATATTCATAATAATAATGGGCACGGCCCACCTGCCTCTTTCTGCCTTAAATACGCCTATGGTAAATAATCTATGGTAGTAGCTACTGACCGGTAGTTGCGCCTGCGCGGTGTAAGTCGTGCGAGCTCTGGCGTCGTTGACGTCGACGCGCCGCGCTCTGATTCTCCGAGCTCTATACACAGAGTTACACGCATATTAAGGTGACGTTAAGTTAGAATAAAAGAACAAGTAACATGAACGTAAAAAATTATTCGCGGATGCCATCGTGCAATTGTTTTTTTTATTTTTGCAACTTAGAATAGTAACCAGCTAATTGTGAGGAAATTTTTAGAGTATATTAAATAAGGATTAACATATAGATTTGTATGAAGTTGAAAAATTTACCTTTCAAAAAGAATATTTCTTTCTATGATAATTAGAACGGCAAACAAGCAGACTGATCACCGACACCTATGGGCATGAATAGCTTCATGGACATAAAAGAATATACTTAAATATCCATGCTTTGTTTTATAATTGTGACGAAGCGTTATTTATTACAGCATACGCGAACCAAGTGTTTATTATTAATATTATAATCATGTAAAAGTTCAATACAGTATTTAATATAAATTGCATATGTATTAATACATTCCTTTTGTTCAGGTTATAATTTTTGTTTTAAATTAACATCATTTATCAATGATAATATAGATACATACGTGATCTTGTCTCGATTGTAAGCTGTCCCGTCTGAAATAAAATTTATAATAATTTTCAATAATTATTCACTTCCAAAAATTTTTCTTTTTTGAAATTCTTCAAATATAAAGTCTCAATGATTTGCAGAAGGTTTAAAAAAGTAATAAGTTAATGGATATGAAAAATAACATGTTGATCTCTGTGGAGATATTTATTAGCTTTTTTTTTTTAATTTCATAAACAGTCAACTTACCCTTTGCTATGTCTGAGTGGAGTGCTTCTATTGGAACTGTCATCGTCTACGTCCATAAATAGATCGTCAGGCTTAGCGCGGGAGTCAAACACTATCTCTGCCTGTTTCTGATCTAGGTGTACAAAAAATATTAATTAACATTGCGTACCAATTTAAATATTCGATTATTAATATTTATTAATATTCCAGTTATATTAAATATTAAACAGGTCAAATTAATGCACAAAGGGAAGACTCGCGCCTTATCACGTTTTGGATTCAAATGTGATAGTAAAATGTCGGATTGTCGTATGCAAAAACAATGACATTATCAGGACTCCAATTTTGGATATGAGGGGATTCTTAATTCAACTATACTTCTATTTGTCTTGCGAAATTTCCATCATTTTTCGATCAATGTAATTATTTAAATTAAATAATCCTATAAAAAACGTATACAATATTTTTTATTTGAACGAAGTAACTTAAGCTTATATTTTTCACGAAAGTTAATTCATTATTAAAAAAAGGTACCTTCTAAGCACTCTTTGTTATCGGAGATTATTCGTTTCGAGTCATAAAAGCTTTGCCTGCGACGGCGCGGCGCCTCCACGGGCGTGCGTCGAGCGACTGCCTCCAATTCTGCTTCCAACTCCGCAACGCGAACCTGAACAAGCGGTATTCACCTTTCTTTTTATAAATTTAAAAATGACAATGATTACTGTCTTCTTAATGGGAAATAGTAACCGTCGGTTATAAACACGGATATTATAGAGTATATTATTCGTGGTATGATGCCTTATGTCAGCAGCAAGTCAGCAGAAGACCTGATACAGCCCGATGGATGAACAAGCTAAGTGGCAATGGACTTGTTACAACTCGAATAATCGACAATCGATCAAGAAAGGTTCTTGAGTGGAGACCCTGTAAAGACAAACGCAGTGTAGGACGACCCTCCACTAGATGGATTGATGATCTCAGATGCATTGCAGGGAGTCAAGTGGATGCAGCTGGCTCGGAACCGTTCTTTATGGCTGTGTATAAGGGAGGCCTATGCTTAGCAGTGGACAGGTAACGGCTGATATTATGTATGGCTGTGATTACAGTACCTGTAGTGCATCTTTAGCGTTCTTCATAATTTCAATTTCCTCTTTGGTAGTTTTAATACTACATTCCATACTTTCACACGATTGCTGTAATGCTGTATATTTCTTTGTTAGATCTTCTAGATGTTTGTCTTTTTCATTTAGTGCTTTATTATCACTTTCTTTCTGTTTTTGAAGTCTGAAAAGGTTGTACAAATTGTAAGGATAATTTTTTTTCTCCATTTTGTAGTTTAGCAATAGAAATCATATTAAGCAAACAGAATTACTATACAGATTGGAAACGAAACCATTAGCATTCTAAAGGATGGTCGCTTAAAATGTTAAAACTGAAGTTCAAGAAAACATTAATAAAACACTTCCTGATATAGATTAAGATATTAATTCGCGTTTGTATTACTAAGGATAACATTGACAATCTGAAATAGTAGTTTCGAACGATAATTTATTATAAATTCATATCTTTTAAGATTTATACCCTTAATAAAACCTTTATAAAACTTGCTCATAATGAACAAGTGCAATTCTGGGTTGACAGACAATAGTAAATTACCTTATAATCATCTTGCTCTGTATTTGTGCCGTTTTTTCGTGTGTTCTGATATTCATTTCTAATCGTAAACAGTCTTTACACTTCTCTTCGAATTGTTCTTTTAGTTCCATATTTTGTTGCATTAAAGACTTTGCTTCCGTTTTTAAAGATTCAACTACCGACATATTTTCTTTTACTGACTCTCGTAATATTAATATATCCGATGTCATTTTTTCTAATTCTATCTTATTTCCTTTTATAATCTCGCTCGACTTCTCTAATTCTGATGCACAATTTTCTTTTTCTTCTATTATGACTTGATTTACAGTTTTCAAATCATTTATTTCTTTTTTCAGGAGAGAAATTGTATTTGTTAGCTCTAAGATTTGATTATCTTTCTCAGCTAAGTTGTTGAGCGCCTCCGATTTAAGTTCACTTTCTAAATTATCGATAGCACTTTGCTGTTTTATAATATTTTCTTTCAATACATTAGTTTCTTCTGTTAATTTATCTATTAGATTCAAGTTAACTGCATTTTCTTCGACTTTACTTTCGTATACTTTCATTAAATCATCATACAAGGATTTTTGGGTAAGCAATGTGTTATCCTTTTCATTTAAATCCATCGTGAGATTTTTATTGACATCATGTAGTTCAATATTTTTTACTTTTAGTAATCCAATTTCCTTCTCTTTAGAATCCAACTTCAATTTTAATTCTTTAAGTTCTTCTATTGTACTCTCCTTATCAAATTCTATATTATGCTTTCTACATTGTTCGATTATATGGTCAAAAATATTTGTAACATTTAATGGCGAATTTAAATCAAGATTACTGTTACGTATAATATTATGATCCAGGAGCTTTTGCCAGCCTTTGCGAACCACTTCATTTAATTCTTGTTCTTTCTTTATTATATCGAGTGTAACAGCATTACTTATTTCATGAACTTTTTCTTTTTGTGCTTTAAGTAAATTATATTCATTTTCTTTGTCCGAAAGTTGACATTTCATTTGTAACAAATTATCGTTAACACCATTCAGCTCGGCCGTTACAGCTTCCATCTGTTCTTGTAATTTAATGTATTTATTCATTATGTCACATAAGTCATTTTGGTTTTTAGTTACAATTTTATCAATCACGATTTCAAAAATACTTAAACTAGATAAATTAAATTCTTTATCAAGAACTTTCAAAACATTTTCTCTAAATAATGACACTACTTTGGTGTTGTCATCAGTTTCTATTATTTTTGGTATTTCTTCTTTCAATAAATTTATGTTGGTCTGCATCAATAATATAATGTCTGTTATAGCTTTCAATTTTATATCTTTTAGTTCAAAATCTTTACTTATTTCAGAATATTCAGTTTTTATATTATTTACATGAGCTTCTAGTTCCTTTTTAGAATTTTCATAAATTTTTAGTTTATTGACGAAGTTCTCAACATCATTGTTATGTTTTGTAACAATAAAATTGTAAAGCATTTTCATTAGATCTAGAATTTTAACATCACAGTTAATGTTGTCTTTTTCAGCTCCAGAGATTTCCAAGTAATAATGATAGCAATCATTTTTTTCCAGCGTGTATATGTCGGTTGAACGTTCTTCCGGTATATTTGGCATATTAAGTTTATGTAATTGATCTACAACTCCAAAATCTTTCTTTGAAGTGAAGAAATTCGAATCACTCATGCTGTCATCCAAATCCATATTTTGTTCCATAGATAAATTATTACGATCTAAGTGATTTTTAATGGTTGTGACATCCTCAGTCAGTTCTTTACAGTCTTCTTTACTCGCATGTAGTTCATTTTGTAAAATGCAAATTTTATTGTATCTAGACGATGTGTCAGATTCACTAAGGCTTCTGTTTAGTTTTAAATGTGCTTGTGAGATACTATCCACACACAAAGACTGTACCATATTTTCTTTTGCTGCACATTGTGGACAAATTGTATAATTTGGTTTATCGGTTTTTTCCATCAAACGTTCCAATTCAGAACACTTATCACTTAATTTCAAATTTAGTAATTTTACTGTTTCCAATTCTTTATTGAGATCATCAGCCTCTGTTATATTTTCCATAATTTGGGTAGATAAATTATCATTTTCTTCTTGGAGTTGTTTAAGTTCTAAATTTTTTTTATTTAATGTTTGCGTAAGTTTTGCGATCTCATTTGTCTTAATATTATACTCTTTCTCTAAAGTATTAAATTTACGTACTAAAACATCTGTTGAGGGAATTTCTAATAAAAGATTATTGTATTTTTCTTCAATAATTGTTTTTTCTTTATTTATATTACACAAATCTTGTAACAGTTCTTTTATTTCTACTTCCAACTTTTCACGTATTTTTTCATATTCTATTTTTTCAATTTTGTACTGTTCACACATGGCACATTCATTATTTTTTACATTCGTGTTTGAAACTTCACAATTATTAAATTTAATTGGACTACTGATCGAGTCAACCTTTGACTCATTTATATTTGTAAACAAATTTAATTGCTCGCGTAATTTCATGTTTTCCAAGTTTAAAACTTCTAATTTTTCCGATATATTTTCATTATTAGACAACAAAGTTTCTGACTTATTTTGAATCATATGGGAATCTCTTAGTCTTACTATATCATTTGTTTGACAAGCTACTTCGTTTGTAAATGTGTGAGTTAAATCTAAGCAAGTTTGTTCATGTTCACCCATCAGAGTATTATCAGCTGATGCAGTGAGTGTAATATTAGTGTCTAACATTAAAAGATCGCCATCTAAGATTGTTTCGTCAGTTTTAAAATTGGAAAGAAATGAATTATTGATTGACATATCTGGCAAAGAATATCTTTTAAAACTGATATTGTGTTTATCTGTAAATGATGAATCTCTTTTCAATACTGACATAAGTTCAAATAACTGCTTTTTAACTGCAGGTATATCTCTTTGACATAACATATGAAATCTATGATGATGATGTTGAAGAACTTTTACTTGGGATTTGAGAGATTTATTTTCTGCATATGTAGTTGCAGTAAGTGTTGAAAGATTTGTTCTGTGATTCATAACTTTCTTTTGCAATTCAAAAGCTGGTTCAACAAGTGATTGTACTTCTTTGCGGATTTCGTTTTGTTCGTTAACTAAATGGCGATTTATAGATTCTAACTCTTTTATTAAATCACCAAGCTTCAAATTTTCTTCACGAGCGTCTGTCAATTCTGATAATAATCTGGAACACTGACAACTATTACTCTGTGTCTCTTTATCTATGGTTTCAATTTTTGACATTAAATTAGTAGGAATCACTGGTTTTTCACTTGGTTGTATGTATTCTATTATTTTATTACAACATATGGTTAGAAGACTAGGTGGTGACTTACATTCTATTTTATCCATTAGGTTAAATATAGAATTTTTAACATAACTTTCATGAGTAATATCTTCGGCAAGAAAATCATCCAAATTATAACTTCTGTTTGATAATTCAGAATACTTAATCTTAAGTTCCTGGTCTTCCATTTGTAGATCTTCAATATGCTTTTTCGTGGATGAATCGAGATAATGTTGCGATTCCCATTCTTTTAATTTGGACTGAATATTTTCAATAACATCAACTTTCATAGTCACTTCTTCTTGAGGTGTGTTTAATAATATGGTTGCTTTCTCTAATTCATTTTTTAAAGATTTGTTTTCAGATTGCAGTTTATTTAGTTCAGAAAGTAATTCTTCGTTTTTATTTTCAAATTGTGATAATTTTTCTATAAAATTACGATTTTGTTCTGTTAGATTGCTAACTTCGTTTTTAGCGTTATTATAAAGGTCCTGGAAGTCGTCATGTTGTTTATTATTCTTAGAACTACGCATTGCATAATGAGCTATTTTCTCAAAAATAAAAATGACTTGTTCATATAAGCTAATGTCGTCATTTGTAATTTCCGTTTCAATATTAAATTTTTCTGTTATCTCTAAAGCTTTGTATAAAATGTTGTTTAATATATGAGATTTCTCTTCAATGCAGTCATTGATTTTATTCAAGTTCTTTCTTATTTCCAATGACTTATCTTCAATTATTTTTTTTGATTCAGTCAGATGAGATTCTAGGTGTATTATTTTTGCTTCTTTTTCTTGTATCACTAATAAAATCTCTTGTTTACCATTCTCATATTTCTCCGCACTCTCCTTTAGTGATAATATTAAATTATCTTTAGAAGTAACAAAGTCACGAAGATTTTCATTATCTTTGTTAATTATATTTATTTTGCTTTCTAGCTCTAGAATTTCTTCATTTCTTTTGTTCAAATCAATGCGTGTTTCTTCAAGTTCTTTTGTTTTATGCTCTAATGTTTCCTTTAAACTAATAGCGTTATTAGTCAAAGTTAGAATTTCAGATTGAAATATAGCAAATTCATTAGCATGTTTGTCCCTTAAATCATCTAATATTTTGGATAAATCATCTTTGTATATTTTTTCGACTTCTCTTTGAGACACTAATTCTGTTACTAAAGACTCTAAAATATCTAAGTTCTGAGTCAAGGTTCTGAAAATGTCGACGAAATTATCAATTACTTCTGGTACCTCTTGTATATTTCCCGTTAGTTTTACTGAAATATCCTGAATTTTTTTTAATGCTATTTTAGCTTTTAATATGTTTTCTTCCGTTTGTTCTTTATCTTTTTGAAGTGACAAGACCAAATCATTTTTAACATTTAGATCACATTCTAAAGAGTTTATTGTATTAGATAAACTATATATTTGCTTCTTTAAATTTTCATTACTCAATATATTTTCTTGCTCTCTTTTATTTTGTTCAGATGCAGCCTCAGTAAGTCTTTGATTAGTTATTTCTAAGGAGGAAAGTTTCGCCGCATCTTCTACGCTATTTTTTTCTAATTTACTATTTACTACTTTGAGGTTATTCAATTCTTCAGAAAGATCATGTTGAATTTTTATAGCATCGTTTTTTTCGGACAAAAGATCTTTAATAATTATACTGTTTTCATTTATTTGTTCCTTTAAATTCTGTATCTCCAGGTTTAATGCACTTAATTCTTTCTCTGTAGTGCCTTCAATGGTATTAGATTCAGAATTAAAGGGAAGCGCAGATTTCAGTGTAGCTATTTCTTTATTTCGAGAATCAAGAACGATTTTAAAAGATTTAATAATATTTTTGATATTTTCATTATTCGCAATAATTTTTTCCTCGTTTGCTATCATTTTATCTAAAATATTATCATTAATATTAATATCACCTACATTGTCCTTTTTATTAAGCCTGATCTGTAATTCTTTAATTAGAGAATTATATGAATCAATGTCGTTATTTGCTACTTCTAAGCTTTCTTTTTGACTTTTTATAGTAGAATTTAATGTTTCTATTGTAGATTTGAGAAAAGAGTTTTCAATTTCAATAGTAGAAAGCTTTTCTTTATAATTATTAACTATTTCTTCGAGTTCTTTACAAGTATAATTAAGTGAATCAACCTTTTGATTCTGTGCAAATAAATTAGCTTCTAATTCTAGCATTGACTGAGTTTTAGTCGTTAATTGGGATTGTATGTTTGTGACTAGATCTCCTATTTGTGACGACGGTTCATCATCATTTGTATTGTTAATACTGCTTTCATTGTCACTATTCACTAGTGATATATCTTTTGACATATCCATAAAATGTGAAAGTTCTTTATTCATGGTTCTCGATAGTTTACCTGTGTGAATAGTAAAATTATTTGTTTTATAAAAATTGCTTGAAGTTAAAATTACAAAAGCATATAATTTGTCTGATTGAAACAATTCTTGTGACTTATCAATCTCTATAACAATAAGACCAAATTAGAAAGAATTAGGAAAGCACTACCAAAATATTAGCTGCACCAGCAATGACACAATCCAAATAGGACAAGAGACATGTTTATTTAGATGGCAATTTGGCCAGAGAGTATTTTAAAACATGTATTAATAGTTAAATACACAAATACTTTACTTTTATTTTACATTATATCATTCATTTTCCGATAAGCTCTGGAAAACATATATAAGGATTTTAATAATAGTTAATTGTTTAAAATACTCACCAATATCTTCAGTTCTTTTACAAATTTTGTGCTCATCTAAAAGTGACAAAAGCTCTTCTTCTCTTTTCTTTGTTTTCTGTTTTAAGGTTTCATAACTAACTTCCCAATCAGTTAGTTTGGTCATGTAGTCTTGATTTTGAGCTTCTATTTCAACCTAAAATCGAGGGTTTATGTTTATTGTTTTATTACAGTAAAACGTAGTCACTTCAATGCAGTTGTATGAAATATTTTGTAAATTTTATAATTTTCAAAAATATAAAAGTAGGTAAATGATTTAACAAGGTAAATCTTTTATAAAAAAAAAAGGTCGTTGAAAACTAAGCTCTTATATTTACATAAGCTGAGATTAGTTTTTAAGTTGCCTTTGTAACACCAAGTGCAAAAGGGGATTTTATGAAATGCAACATAATACAATAATTTATACATTATAATAAATTTGTAATGATACACAAATGCAGATGGAATATTTTTTTAAAATTATATTAAAGACATAAATGATTACACAAGTAAACAAAGTATACGTAAAATTAAGGCACCTTGGCAGCCATAATCATTTTCATTTCTTCATCAGACTTGGTGATTTTTATTTTCAAATGGTCAATTTCCAAATCCTTATCTTTGCTTTGCTTGGTGAGTGAATTGATGTCGTCTTCGAGATTAGCTATAACTTTGTTGTTTTGATCAAGTTTTTCAAGGAGTTCTATCTGAAAATTATATTTTCATTAGTATTCATGTTCTTTGAATAAAATTACAATATTGAAACAACTTTTTTACAGCACAGGGAAACCAGCAAACCAGCGTGCGGCTCACCTGATGGTAAGTGACTACCGCCTCCCATGATCACTCACAACACCAACGGCATTGCAGGTGTGCTGCCGGTCTTTTAAAAAGGAAAATGCTATTTTCTTGAAGGTTATGATGTCGTATTGGTTCAGAAATACTGCTGCTGGAATTTGATTCCAAAAAGTGGTTGTGCGTGGAAAAAAAGTGCCTTAAAAACGCACGGTGGAAGACCGCCACTCGTCCAGATGGTTAGGATGAAACTTTAGTTTATGGCGGGTTGTATGGTGGTGAAAATCAGCAACATGATAAATTCCGTAGAAGTAAGTAGAGATGTTGCATCTCTGTACAATTTAAGTGGGTCGAGATGGACAGTAAGGCGCTGGTTATTAATAATTCGAGCCGCCTGACTTTGAATGCGGTCTAACGGAGGGAGCTGGTACTGTGGCGCTCTTGCCCATAGATGAGAACAGTATTCCATATGCGGCCTGACTTGAATTTTTTATAATTTCAGACGGTGTTCTGGCGTTAAATACCGTCTCACTCTATTTAGAACTCCTAACTTTTTGGAAGCTATCTTAGCTTTTTCCTCCAGATGACCGCAAAACTGGACGTCGCTAAATATAGCAACGCCAAGAACTCCTAGAGTCGACTTACGACTTGGACAATCTATCTATGGCAATATTTGTAAATTATGATGTCACAATAACAAAAAGACATTAGTGTAATGTCAATATTTAGTAACTGTTACTAGAGACGCCGCCAAACCAATACTGAGTGATACATAGTGGTTTAATAATTTTATTGAATTAAAAGTAATTTTGAAGTATTTTATATTATGACTGATTACTGAATTATTTTGTTGTTGGATTCAGTGATTAAGTTAAAAATACAGTACCTCTAGCAACAGAGAAATAATTGCTAAAATCATGTATCTTTTAATTTTATTTACAAAAAAATAACTTGTTTAATTTTATACTTACCACACTAGGCGTGTACATCTTTTCTCTCTCAGTCAATTCAACAATATCTTTTAGATCCTTTTCAGCTATCTTTACTTTCTTTCTTAATATACATGGTGGAGTTTTTGTTTCGCCTGAAACAAATTACTCTACTTATATATATAACCAACATGATGCTTCAGCAGAAAAAATCTTTGATTTCAAAATTGATTTAAATGCAATTTTAAGATAGATATATTAGGAGTACAAATAAGTTTCCGCCGTTTTATTGTGGATGGCGCGGCACGGAGTTTCGGTTAGCTTTCGCAGATGATAACCGGCTTAAAAAATAGTTTCGACATTCAAGACCAACATAACCTATTAATATTATTGATTTGATATTGGTAAAATATAATTTTTATAACTTGAAAATGTCAAAATTTGAGCCAAATAAGCGTCATTTGCGGGAAATATTAATTTACTTCTTTAATTTAAAGAAATCTGCTGCTAAGGCGCATCAATTGCTCGTAGAAGCATATGGTGAGGGTGCTTTGAGTGAGAGAACGTGTCGAGAGTGGTTTCAAAAGTTTAAAAACGGTGATTTCGACGTAGAAGACAAAGATCGCAGTGGAAGGCCAAAAATTTACGAGGATGCAGAATTGGAGGAATTATTGGAGGAGGATTCATCTCAAACACAAAAAGAACTTGCTCTAACATTAGAAGTCACTCAGCAAGCAGTCTCACATCGTTTAAAATCATTAGGAATGATTCATAAACAAGGAAATTGGGTTCCGTACGAATTAAAGCCGAGAGATATTGAACGCCGATTATGCTTAAGTGAAATGCTGCTAGCTAGACATAAAAAAAAGGGTTTTTTACATCGTATCGTAACTGGTGATGAGAAGTGGATACATTATGACAATCCAAAAAGAAAAAAATCATGGGGATTACCTGGCCACGCGTCAACATCAACAGCAAAACCGAATATTCACGGAAAAAAACTTATGCTGTGTATTTGGTGGGATCAGCTAGGTGTAGTGTATTATGAGTTGCTAAATCCGAGCGAAACAATTACTGGAGCCCTCTATCGAACACAATTGATGAGATTGAGCCGAGCTCTGAAAGAAAAACGCCCTCAATACTATTCTAGACACGAAAAAATTATTCTTCTGCATGACAATGCTCGTCCACATGTTGCGGCTCCCGTAAAAAAGTACTTGGAAACACTTGATTGGGAAGTGTTACCCCACCCGCCGTATTCACCAGACATTGCACCGTCCGATTATCACCTGTTTCGGTCCATGGCACATGCTCTGACGACGCAGCGGTTTACATCTTATGAGGATACCAAAAATTGGGTTGATTCGTGGATAGCCTCAAAAGACAAGGAGTTCTTCAGACGTGGAATTCGAATGCTGCCTGAGAGATGGGAAAAAGTGGTTGCAAGTGATGGGCAATATTTTATATAAATCTATATTACCGTTCTTCTATAATAAATATTTAATTTGTGTTAAAAAACGGCGGAAACTTATTTGTACTCCTAATATGATGACCTAAAATTACTATTTAGAAAATACGAGTAGTTGATAACATAAGAACAGTATTCTTTTATTGAATAGAAATGCTTACTGAATATGATAATATTATAAAAAAAAAAGGATTGCCATTAAAAAAAGATATATAGACATAACAGAGTATACTGTTTCGCCCATGATACCACCCATGCATTGCCATTCCTGAGGACTCAGGTGTTATTCCTCTGTACCCTGTAAATTCACGCCATATCCCACCCTTCAAACCGAAACACAGCCACGCAAACACAATTGCTTTACGGTTGAAACACGAATGGGACAGAGGTACCCAGGCAAACGATTTTTGTATAGTCTCCCTCTGGTAAAATAACTGATATTTGAATATTAGGAAATATTTTTATAGCACTAAAAATAAACTAAGATAGATTGGTATTAGTACTAAAAATTACCATAACATTTGTGGTATGGCGAACAGGGCTGCACATCGACTGACTCGTCATCGTCACTATCTGCAAGTCATACATTAATATTTTGTAGTTATGTACAATTAAAGAGAAAAAAAAAATATATATATATATATATATATATATATATATATATATATATATATATATATATATATATATACTTGCTATTATCTGTTTTTTTATACATAGTAGGTATCAGTTTTTTTTATAACACACTAGAAATGGTAGTACTGAATTTGTTTTTTAAAAATTAAAGATCACAAAATTTAAAACAGCCACATGAAAACTCTACACTCACGAAGCAGCCAGTACTGTCTTATTACTAATAAAAAATTTCCAAATATTAAAAACAATACCTATTTCAATAACATCATCAAAGTTGACTTTCTTCTCTCTAGGTGGCGGAGTGATCAGTGTAGTCTCCTCCGGTACGCTGCTCAGCTTGCTGGCATTCTGAATCGGGACGAAATCCATAGCGCCAGGTAACGACATCGGACTGGAATTTAAAATTTGTGAATTTTATTTAATTGAATGTAAAAAATTTACAAATTCCAACTTAAAAAAGGAGATTTTCAGTTTGGTTTTTTTTTTTACATTTATTACCTCATAACTTCGTCAATTATAAACTGATTTGGAAATTTTTTTATCCGGAATGATATACTTACAGATTGGTTTCATAGGAAATTTATCAAAATCGGTTCTGTAGTTTAGCTTTCAAATCAAAATAATTCTAGTTTTGTCACAATTTTCAATTTCATAAAAAATTTATAGCAGCTTTTTTTTTGTAGAAAACAATCTTAAATTATGTTTTAATAACGTTACAATAAAACTGTGCGTAGATTACAAGTGCGATTAACTGTCCATAACACTAAATAATCCTAATAAAGCCTCTGTAACATATGCATTCACTTCCGCGCAAATGACAAACATTAGCAATCCTATTTATTCTTATTACTTTCCTCAGCATTTCTTAATATGTTATTTTGAACATTAAAACAACAGATTAAGATACAAACTTACTTGTACTTCAAAGTGGGCGTACAAAATTTTGGTATGTTACTGACGGGTTCCTCGTTCACATCATGTAAGGTTGATATAGTGATCCTACGGAGTTGATTGTTTTTTCGACGCCCACCCATTCTGTCTATGCTGCTTCTCTGGCCGAATCCGTTCAATATCAGTCGCCGCAGATTCTCTATTTGCTTCTGCAAGTCTTGCTGTAATAATTTTTTTTTATTACACACTTTCCTTATTAAAATATTGCCCCTCTGTCCAGGAGGACAGAAGAAATATATCTTTCTGCTTTAATGGCCTCTAATATATTGCAGGGAATCAGTGGATGAAAGTGGCTCAGGACCAGTCATTATGACAGTCTATGGGAGAAGCCTATGTTCAGATAATGGCTGAGATGATAATGTTTTGCTATATTTTATTGAATTGGGTGTTATTTTGACGAAGTCTATGTTTATATCAATGGTTAGTTGGTTATAATTATTTTAAATCGTTAATACTTGGCAGGCAATTAAATGATTGAAGGCAGGAAACTTCTATCGAGCAATTAAGTAGTACCTTCTTTAGGAGTGCAAGACGACTCCCAATATGGGTGTAGACTAAATAATGATTGAGAATTGTTGATTGATAGGGAAGGCAAATCTTGAAATATCCAAAAAATTTTACATCTTTTATGAAAATGAATAATAATTGTATATCATACTGAAAGAAGTCTTAATTTGACATTATGCAATGTAGTTTCTTAACTCACCTCAACATTCTTCTTGCTTTCTAGCATCACTTCTAAGTTCTTTTTACTTTCTAGTTGCGCTTGCAATCGGGACAACTGTTTAGTGAGGCTTTGTATCATGGTTACGTCAGTCGCTACCGCATTCACTTCCGGTTTGTTCTTAATTGCCTTAGCTCTATTTGCGAACCTTTACAATAAAAAATTTCATAATTAGAGTATTAATTTCTTATTGGAATATATACCTGATGGTAAGTGACTACCGCCGTCCATTATCACCCACAACACCAGAGGCATTGATACAATATACAAAATAAATAAATAATAAATACAGTGATACCATATATAAAAATACAAGGTATCACATATCGGTTCCATACCATTACGTGAAAAGTGGGACATAGGTGAGTTTATGCCTCTATTATGGGTAATGAGTTAAAATATGTACAGAAAAAAATCCAAGTAATTTTTGTCAGTGCCACTAATATTTTATTGAAAGATCTTTAAAATTTTTACCTGTATCCATGCTTTTCATACTATAACAAGTATACTCTATCTAGTTTATATCTAAGATTCAAATTGTTTGTCGATAAAATGATGCTAATTATTTCTATTTTATAATTTATATCTATTTCTATAATAATAATATTTAATGTAATACAAACTGTAGAGTTGAGATGGTTTCGTCAACAGCAGCCGGAGTTATTGCACATATAATACTAGTTTTGGCATTGCCTCCCAAAGAATTCTGGAGTATACGGGTTAATTTGCTATCACGATAGTTTGCGTGTCTGAAAATAATTATAAATAAATTTTATATAATATAAAAAAGAATAAAGTTTTTATTTTAAATAAAATCTTCCAAAACACATGTTGTAAAGAAATGTTTAAATAGAACTCTAATTGCAATTTGTATGTTACTAATAATTATAAAAAAGAAAGTTTGTTAAGATGTTTGAATATTTAGATATTGGTAATTACTAGCAGTCTATCACACGGTTTTGGATATATATATATTCTAATACACGTGAGTAAATCCTAATTAATGTGTCAATACAGAATATGGTGCATTTCAAGTAATAAATGTTTATTAAATTTTTAAATCAATTTCTGTTGACCGAGTAACAAACATCCCTACACGTTTACAATTTTCGCATTTACAATATTAGTAAAAGTAAAATAAAAATGCTGAAGCTACAATAGTGTAAATTGAATTTGTTTTTGCATTCATCATATTCTATGATCCAACTAAGATCATAAACTTTCGTAAATACCCATTTATATTTTAATATAATAAATACAGGTTTAACTTATGTGTAATAAGTCGTGCTTCCTCAATAAGTTAAATACTTAAACTGTTAAAGTTTGTTAAAGAGATTTTTTTTTTTTTTTTTTTTTTTTTTTATAGAACTTAGAATGGCAAACAAGCTAGTTATTACACTAAATCATCATCAATCAATCAATCATAAATGTTAAAGTTTGTTAAAGAGATGTATGGATGACTTGATACTTAATATGTTTATGATTAAGTAAATAATTATTAAATGACTGAATAGATTTCAATGAAATTTAGTACATAAAGGATAAATCCTAATTTAAATAAAGCAAGCTATAGATTACTAAAAGTTTTTAGCAATTATTACTAGGATTATAACACAACTTACTTATTGGGATCTTCAGACAGCTGTTTGATTACTAATGCGAGTGTAGATAATGACTTATTAATGTGTGTGCCTTCCTTGAACCTGATGCCCGTGGCGCCAGTTTGTCCAGCACGCTCGGAGCCAGCCAAGTCCACTAGGTTTAATTTTGACACATTCACGCAGCCAGCTTCTTCTTCCCCTTCTATGTGTTCACGTGATTCTATTATCTGATTAGAAAATATTTATTTTTTAATATTCGTTTTATTAAAATATAGAGGAAATAAAGAGGGATTTGTTAATACAAATCCCACTTTAGTCCACTTCCAGTGATCTTTAGAAACCATCGTGGTAAATTTGCTAATTGACCAGACTTCATCCTCAAGGGCCATCTTTCACTGGTAACTTACCAGTTTAAATTCACTATCGGCCTCAGGAGTCCCTGTGGTTGGGCGCCAAATGCGAAGAAGGAGTACCATGCATAAGAGTCACATTAAATTAGGTGTTAGTATTTTTGTATAAATAGTGGATCCGGGTAATCTCTTATTTGGGAGGAGGATGGAGGTAATAATGGCGATTAACAGCCTTATTGCTAGCAATATACCCAGATTATAGATAAAATATAGCCTATTAGCTGCGGTTAAAAATTTACCAAAGATGCCAGACAGACTAGAACCAGGCCTATTTAACCCAACAATGTGGTTGGTTTACTATACTCTTTTCAACTCATAAAAAATGTATGAATACATATAAGACTAGACAATTGCATCAAGTCTAGGAGGCAGTTACCTCATTTCTGCAATATGGGAGGGAGGAGGGAGATTGTTAGTTAATGTGGAATTCCAGTCCCATGCCCCCCCCCCCCCCCGGAAACCATCATGCTGATTTCCAAATGTATTCATTACGGTGGGCTAACTGACCTGCCTTTTCATCTTCACCTATCATCATCACTCATTGGTGCCCCGTCAGTGTATACCGTTAGGGCAGGCGGGGTTACCATTTCATTACAATCTATTAAAAAAACAAACGTTTCAACAATATAATAGTTGACAGAATATAATAAGACTTAATTTTATTTTTTATTAATATTATTGTAATAGTCATTATTTAATGTAATTACTTACAATTTGGAAAATTGAATGTGACCGGCTGCTTTCCTCGTTCATGTTGGTAGCACCAGTTTGCCTGTTAGCTTCACCCTGAAGGTGGAAAATTAATAATCAAAAACAATCTGAATAAATATGAAAAATGTATAAGATCAGCAATCAAATTATCAATAAAAGATAATGAAATGAAATGAAATGAATTTATTTTGCTAGAATGTAGGTAATTTTAGATGATAGAGGTTTATATTTCCCGTGTACATTTTGCCTCTATGTCGGCGTGCAAATTTTATCAATATAAGAAATTAATATAAAATCAGTATATTTAAGTCTGTAATTACTATAAAGATATATTATGTTACCAGAACTTTTGTATAGATACATTCAAGATTCTTAGTAAATTATTAAATGTTTATACTAATGGCAATTAAACATTATTATCTAAAAATTATACAACCTTGTTAATATTATAAATGAGAAAGTGAAATTGTCTGTTTGTATCTTATGACACCTTAAATCTCAACTAATTATAATAAAATTTAGTATATATGTTAGGTATAAAGAAGAACACAGGCTACTTTTAAACCAATTTAAAAAATGGAGAAGCATCTCCATTATTTATTTATAATTTAGTTGTATTTTTTGTGTTAGTTACCTCATAATATAGTTGTAAACCCATAAGATAATTTTTTTTATCTGAAAGGATATACTCATAAATTGGTTCTATAAAATTCTTATCAAATCAGTTCAATTACTTAGTTTTTAAATAATAATAACTGTTTTTTTTTTCCATAAAGAGGTCAGATTTTTTTGTAGAACACAATTTAATCATTACAATGGTCGATCAATACCATATATACTAACTAACACATCAAGTTACTGTAAGAGATTATTTTTAATTCATTATAAATTTGTAAAACATTCTCTTTTCATTATTTTTAGTGTGCAATAGATAGTTTAAAATAACAGAAGAAAGGTTTATTTTTATTATAAATGTTTACCTGTTTCAAGTATTTGAGCACTTCTTCAGGGGAGGTGCTAACTTGTTCAGTAACATCTACTTTGACACCTTCAAATGTTTCATGAACTTTTATGTTTTTCTTTTCAATGTTCAAAAGGTCTTTTAATGTTTCATTGTAAATTTCAATGTATGACACTCTGCAAAAGAAAAAGGAACAGAATGTAAACTTATGAATATGAAAAAATAAATCATATTATAAATAATCTATACTAGTATTTATTATACGAGAGGAAAGATAGGATTTGTGCAATCTTTTTGTGTAGGTATTTAGATTTATTATCACAAAATGTATGTCATATAAATAAGACTCTTGACATTAAAGGTCTTATGTTTACTTAAGAATATGGGATAATAAAGAAATATCTAAATTCAAATATGTATTTTCATTATGCTCAGTATTTTCTATTATCATCACCATTTCCATCATTGTTCACTGCTAAATATAGATCTATATCTAGATAGGCACAAATAAAAGACATTTGAATTTTTATCTAAAAATAAATCTATTTTTTACAATTCAAACATTAAATCACAAAGAAGGAATTGGTGATGTTCAAATGTATATAATTAGTTATGCAATATTATCTAATCTACTCATGCATGATATAAGCCAGGCAATATATTAAAGCTACTGCATTATTACACCCACATCAACTACATTTTGGGAGTTCCACCTACTTATAAAGCATAATGACTAAGTGCTGTCTTAAAAAAAATATAGGTAGTGAAGTTATTCATATTAAATGTTAGTTTCATGACTGTGAATAAATAATTAGAACTAAAATTTATTAAGTTTTAATATCATAGGGTTTAATGTAAAAGAAAAATAATAAAATTGGTTATGCTAATTATGTTAGTAATTTACATTTATTTATTTTCTTTATATTCAACTTGATATTAAGTATTTAATATCTATACTATAAGTGAACATACAAAAGCATATAAATAATTAAATACTTTATTATAAAATATATTGTTCTGTATTTATAATGTTTTAATAGAGTTACACCACATCATCTTTCAGCTAATCACATAACTATAATACACCTAATGTTATACTGATTTTTGTACACGTTGTGATGCAGTTTGCATCATGTTCTGATAACTGCTGCTAAAATACACATAGCAGAAAAAATAACAATAATAAATAAAATAAATATAAATACACAAATTAAAATACAACATGAATTTTGGTAGAATCAATAGGGTTATTTTATAGATTTTAATATACAGAGAAAACTCTATATAGGGAAATTAAAGAGACCAGGTATTTTAATGTGTTAAAAAGAGTTTTTGTTAAACTGAGAGTAGAAAAAAAAACAATATAATTTTACAAATAAGTACCTTTTAAATTACAAAAATTAAGTGAAAAAAAAAATTAATTAACAAAAATTATAATCATTTATCTGTGTTTTTTACTATGTCAGTATTATAATTGTATTTTTTGTTGTATTTTATTCATGTTTTACGATATAATAGGATCATCTTTGTAAAACTTTTTTTTTTAAAAGAAAGAAATACTTAGGATACTGTCTATATTGTGTTTGAAGGTCATTGAAACTAATGTTTATTGGGGTTTAAATAACAATGTATTGTTTCCCTGTTAAAAGAGTGGTTGTAACGCTATAAAAAGTGTTTCAATATAAGGTTAACAATGTAAACCAAAAAAACTAGCAATTTCTACAGGAGTTGTCGTTAAATAGAAGTTTGCTATATAGAGTTTACACTATATATAAAAACATCTAAATTTCAGGTCTATTCATTAGTTTTTATCGGACTACCATTGGATTTTTATTGACTACAATAAAAATTCAATAATTGTTTCAATTTCATTAGATTATTCCTAATTGTCATTTTACCATTTTGCATTTCATATGAAGATTTATGGCTACCATTAATGTATGTATTTAACATTTTTTTGTGAAAATAGAAGAAATTGATCAAGAATAGTATAATATGAATAGATAATTTTAGTTTTTTTTAGTTAGATAGGTTTTTTAATAACATATTTTGGGTGATAAATTTTTCACCAAAATAATTCAGAAATGTGAAATTTGTCAGAGGATAAATCTACAATGTACTTTTTTATATATACTTTTGGCTAAAATGATGAATGAGATCACAATGAAAATAGAATGTACTCAAAGGAAGATTGGTTTCTTACCTCACTAGAAAGTCCCGATTAGGGATATTTTTAATGATTTCAAATAAATTATAAATAGCAAGCGGTATGATGCCAGGTGATGTTTCTGTACCAGTCATGGTATATGTCTTCCCGGAGGAAGTTTGTCCATAAGCAAAAATAGTTCCATTAAAACCCGCCGTCGCCGCTTCCACAATAGGTTTTGCAATATCATTATATACATCAGTGGTTTTAGCATCCTTGTCATAAACTTGGTCTAAAAAAATTGGATAGATATTTTAGATATTTGAACAAGACTCGACCTTCAGCTTATGACGTATACAGGTAGCTCATTAGAATCATAATAGTTTCTATTAGAACATGTAACCTGAAAAATTTCACTTACCAAATGTGAAAGATAACCCACTATCTCTCCCGGTCTGATCGAGTTGGCATAAAGTGTTGTTTTTTACGCGCCATTGATAAGATTGTTTCTCCTCGATTTCGCGAGAAATCAGAGGTCTCACTTTGACAACTACTTTGATATTGTCACTCATCTTTTTTCATATTTATACTAATTCATTGATATTAACATGTAGTGCGTTTTCTTGGATTATGCGATGGTAACATTTTCCAATTGCCTACTACAAAATGCAGTGTAAACAACTTAATTCACTGAAACATAAACATTGAAGTAATATTCTGACAAAAATAACCGACGATTTTAAAATAGAAAAGTTGTTCTTCTTTTAGTGTTGCTATTGGTATTAAATTTATATATGTCATGATTATTATTTTTAATCTATGGCTCTCATAAGGCTATCTTGTAGTAGAGATATCGTAAAACGGGGTGAATATAATTCACCAAGTGAATAAAAAAATCTTTCTTATAAAATGCTTTAAAATATCTTTCAGGTAGGTCCAGGATATATATAAAAATAAATATAGCAGTTAAATATAAAATCTTACAAAATTTACAGATCTTTTTCAGTCGTCATAGTAGCAGCAGTAATTTTTCTCTACGGTTTAAGCTTTTATTATTATTAATGTTTGCTTCGGTAAAACACTTCATGTTTTTCCTTACACTATGTTTTCTTAAATATATTGAGAGGCAACTGCAAGGACATTTGACTCCTTAAAATATTCTCGAACAGATTCTCTCGAACCTTTGTTATAAATAGAACGTACGGCTTTTTCTGTAATGCAAATATAGTTGTATATCTGCAGCTTACAGATTTGGTACAGAGGAATAACACCTGAGTCCTCAGGAACGGCAACGCATGGGGGTATCATGGGCGAAACAGTATACTCTGTTATGTCCATGGTACTGCTCATGTCTATAGGCGACGGTTACCACTTTCCATCAGGTGGGCCGTCAGCTTGTTTGCCATTCTAAGTTCTATAAAAAAAAAAAAAAAAAAAAAAAAAAAAAAATCTGCAGCTTTTCTCCACAGTGAAATACCATAGGCCATAATGCTGTAAAAATAGCTAAAATAATTTTGGGCGTTGCTGTTGTCTAATTCTCTTAATTCTATAGGCAGCAGAACTAAGCCCATATGCTAATTTTTGTACATGTAGGCTCCACTATAATTTTGAATTTATAGTGATGCTAGGAAATATGGTATCACTAACAAAATCTAATGATTGACCGTCTAATAATATAGGAATTGTTATCTGCCTTAGGTAGTCTAAATTTAAACCATTTTGTTTTGTTTGCATTGAATAACAGATTATTCGATGTAAACTATTGTAAAACTGACAGAAATAGAGAGAGTATTTGCTTTGTCAAAACTAATACTTTTAGGGTTAAATATAAATAGTAAAGAAGTATTATCGACAAACAGCATTATGGCTGCTATTTGTTCAACCAAATAAGGCAATTCATTTACGTAAACTAGAAAGAGAAAAGGACCAATGATTGAGCTTTGAGGTATACCTATTTTTAAGTTCGCTACTTTAGGTTTTATAGCACTAATCTTCACAGTATGTAATCTATTAATTAAGTACGATTGAATAAAATGCGTATTGGGTGAAAAGATTTTGTTATTTAGTGTTGTCAAAACTGATTTAACAAACTTAATAAAAGTTATGTTATTAAACAAGTGAGGAAACATTCTAAGTATAAATTTTTACACTAGTTTTGATTTTTTAATTAAAACAAAAAAAGTATATAATAAATATAAAAAGACACGCCAAATTTATTTGCATATCGTTTCTATTCGTCCCAACTTTGAAGTGAATTGAAAATGAAAAAAATTTAGAAGATTTCAAGAAAAGCGGGCAATTTAGTTAATAATATATAGCTCAATTTTAAATATCATGTCCTCAGATTGAATGCCGAATCATCAAATGTTACTATACAGATTGATTAATTTGGATAAACTTGAAATCAAGTTTTTAAAGTGTTCTTATTCGTCTTTGGCTAAGAACAAGAAAATCGGTGGTTTTGGGGTATAGTACAATTCTATTCTGAAATCTTTGGTACAATTGTAACGTAAAAAATATAATTTCAAACTGTCACTGTTATACTTATAACGTAATGTTCGGACACTCAGAGATTGCATTTTTGATCAAATAGGCGATGTAACTTCGAACAGGCGTACAATTTACGGCAAAATTTTAATGATCTTTTATTGATCTTAATAATGAGTAATAACATTAAAAATTGAATAAATATGCCAACTTACAATGAACGTATTAATAAAATTATTAACAAATAATTAATTAACAAATATAAAAATAATAGTTTTAATAAGTTTAACCACGTCAAACTGCGCTGTTTTAAGGTTATGGCAACTGTTCGTTGTTGTAGTGATGAGATAAAATAACTAGGCAATTGTAATTTAATATTTTTGTAAATTTAATCTGTCGATCGGTATATTGTTAAATAAAACGTTATAATTTTATAATATATAAAGCACTTAATACATATTTCATAAAGTATATAATACGATACAGGTACGCCCAAACAAAACTTAAGAAAATAAGTGTGTAATATTAATCATACGAATTAAAAAAAAAAATGAAAAAAAATTACTACTTTATATTTCTGGTAAAATATATGGTTAGCGTGTTTTTCGAATTTCTCCATACTACTGCCAGTACAATGCTGTAGAGCTAATCTGGTTTCAAATTAAAGGTTATGCAACCCGTTATAATATTTCTCCAACGTATAGTATAAAAAAAATGAAGATGCTTTGCATGAAACCCGTATGGTATAAAATAAAAGAAGCATGCGAAAAAGTAACAAGAGATGATTGGATGAAGATGGTTAAAAAAACGAAAAAGATTATATTTGATGACTTTGATCGCGATATCCGTATAGATACTATAATTGATAATAAAATGATAATACATGTTAGTGAAGATGACAGTGAGCCCTAAAGCGAATTGGTGTCGAATTAAATTTTGATTTGACGTAGTCTTCATTTTTTAATGCTCAAAACTATGTATTTATTTTCATAATATACATTTTCCAATTAATATAGCATTTTTATTTTCTTTCCTTTCGTTATATTCAGAAATTATGATTTAATTTAATTCATTTATCAACAATTTTATTAACATTGAGTTTGAAATATAATACCTACAAAAAATAACAAAATGTATATTAAATAAATAAACATGCATAATCAATGCAATAAATAATGTTACTAAATATTATTAATGTTATTTATGGTACGTCACTAGTCATGGCGAATTGACAGATGTCAGAAACGCAATCTCTGAGCAGCCGGACTTTAGACTTGCCTGTGGTTACACTGATATAACCGAATGAATGAAACGAGGATATGAATGAAGTTTTTCTTAAATTTATACGTATTTAGCGAAATATCAATGTTATTAGTTATTACACGTGCATTTGTATTTTAATTAAATTATACGAATTTCTATGATTCTCCTTAAAAATGCAACACGACGATGTAAGTATTCTTATAATAACTCCAATAAATATCACAATAAATGCCACAATTTTTCTAAATATCAATTTGTTTTAGGTTGTATGGGCAATTATCAACAAAAGACACTGTTCGCACAAAGTAACGTAAGTATTTATTTTTATAGATCTAGAAATACCTAATTTAACGTGTCTAATAAAATTTGTTATATTTTCAGAACTAAAACTCAGCATTTTTGTCGCAATGAATATAACCTAACCGGACTGTGTAGTAGGGCTTCGTGCCCTCTTGCTAACAGTAAATATGCAACTATTAGGGAGGAAAATGGCATTATTTATTTGTACATGAAGACAGCTGAAAGGTTGGTGCAATTATTATTTATATAAATAAAATTTCATTAAAAAATTCAATTTTTTAGTATGATATAGTGATACTGTAAAAACTAAAATTGTACTTGTCAATATAGTTGAAAGCTTCTGCTTGGGGTGGACTTGGCTCAAAGAGTCCACCTCCCTCCCCCTTCAATATGCCTATGACTAAGATTCATATAAGATGGGTTTTTAGAATAAAATGTGTTCCTATGATGTGGTATATAGTACATACTTAGTGGTAATGTTTTTCTCATTTTTTTATGTACATCAATATAAGCTATTTATGTATAACGATTGTTATTTTTAGAGTAATGTTTCCAGCCAAACAGTGGGAAAAGGTGAAATTATCACGTAACTTTGAGAAGGCAATATATCAGATTAATGAGAACTTATTATACTGGCCTGCTTTTATAAAAGCAAAATGCAAACAAAGATTTGTCAAAATAACACAATATCTTATACGAATGAGAAAATTAAAATTGAGAAGAGTGTAAGTATTTTTTTTTCTATTAATATAAATATGTAAGTGTGAAATATGAAGATGCTTGAATTTTTTTGAGTTGAATAATTTTGAATTAAATTTTTATTTTAATGCACATGAATAAAGTCATGGGTTATATTTATTAAAATAGTGCAGCAAAAATGTGTGTAACTGTACAATAAAATAGTGTAATTCCCACAGAACATTCTAGTAAAAGTATTAAAATTTTATTCTAGTAAAGAATTAGTTCCAATACAACGTAAGATAGAAAGACGAGAGAGAAGAAGGGAAGAAAAAGCATTAGTAGCTGCAAGAATAGATAATGCCATAGAAAAACAACTACTTGAAAGGCTAAAGAAGGGCACTGTAAGTATTCTAAAATATTTGGTTTAGTGTAAGAATAAATGTAGTTTAGTAGACTGGAATATTTTTCTTAAATAATATGAATCTATGTATATCTGCATCATATCAGCTATCTGCATATTATTAGTAATGGGTTTCTAGTTCATCCACTTGGTATTAGAAGATACAGCTAAGTATTAGCATTCTGGCAAAACCCCCCTTAAAAGGAGGCTATGTTCAGCAGGGAACAGTTAATGGCTGATATAAAAAAATGGGAGTTAAATAGCTACTGAATTGTAAATGCTATAATAAAATAGGAAAATTTTTAACTGTTGGTTGAATGTGATCAGGTTTGAAATTGTGTCTTAACACAATTCTGGGTAAATTACTTTTTTTATAAAATTGAAGTGTGAATGTAATTCTGATTTAACCTGCAATGCTAAGTGCCTAATCAATGAGTAAAGATGACCCTGATAAACTGATTTGATAACATAACATTCACTATGAGGCTGGCATAGTTGCATTCATGTGATTTGAAACCTAGTTATAAAATATTAGAGTGACTATTTGCATATAAATTTTTTAAGATGTTTTCAAAAATATATTTAAACATGTTGCAGTTATAAATTAACCTTATTATAACTAAAAATATCAAACCTCTCTTAAACTTATTTTAGCTATTGAATTGTTTTGTCTCTTTCCTTTGTGCTAAATTCCTAATTTGAAAGAGACAAAACAGTGTAATAAATTTGTAGAACATTTTAATTTTTCTGAATTATACTTTGTATGATATTTATTGCTACAAAATAGATTAACAGATCAAATAGGCAATTACAAAAGACAGTCTTATTGCTAGAAGCGATCTCTTACAGAAACTTATATAATGTATACTTGTATTTTACAGTATAATGACATATATAACTTTCCTCAAATGGCATTTGATGCTGCACTCCAAGCGGAAGAGGTATCTGGTGAAAGTGAGAGTGAAAAAGAGGAAGAAGATGAAGTTGAGATGGAAATGGAGCCAGAACTGGAAAAGGAATTGGAGAAAGCTGTGGAGGAGACAAATGAGTTTGTTGAAGCTGACAGTGATATGGACAGTGATGAGGTATATAGTTTTACTTATTATGGTATATCAAATTGTTAATTTAGGACATCATTATATGTGTGTTTCATCATCATTGCATGTGATGCCATTCCTGATGATAAAGGGTGGTGGCTGGAAAAACCTAGGCTTGTCATCTGTGTAAATCAAATTTTGGCAATCTAACTAATATAATTGTAACTATATAATGTCTGTGTAAAGGAGATATTTAATAAAAAATTAATACGAGGGTGTCTAATAAGACCAATAGATGACAAAACAATAATGTGTAGAAATTTTGTGTGTTTTTATGTTTGTACAAGCACCACCACAAAAAGTACTGCTACAAATTGGATGCAGTTTTCATAGTTATGTTCCTGAAGGTCTAAATATCATGATATGTCATATAGAACTGGTGTTTTTCATCAGTTTACCTACTTCTAAAATATATGTGTACGAAGTAGATGGTAAAAAGCTAGTTATAAATAAAAAAATATTATATAAATATTACTGGATATATACAGTACCATATGGTCCCAAACTAAGCAGAGCATGTACTATGGTTATTAGACAACTGATAGACATACTTAAATACTTTTTTTTTGTAATCACCTACATATATATTATATGTAGAAAACGCCTAGAACAATACAATAAGATATATTCATAAATACGAATGTTGGTATTTACGAAGGATTGAATTTGCGACCATTGGAAGGTAAAGCTGTATGTTAAACTATTAGACCAAGAAAATCGACAGCTATATTTAGTTTTACTACTTTCCGCGTGATTAGAAATAAAGGCAGTTTTATAATTTAGAATTTATGAAAAATGTATTATTGTTTGTTTAAATTATAGATTAATTATTTCACCTATTTACAGGAGAGTGATTCTGGTAGAAAAGAAAATGTGGACGTTGGAAGTGATTTTGAATCAGATACATCTGATATTGAGGTTTGTGTTATTTTAAATTACAATATTAAATATGCATTACAGTAGTCCGATTAACAAAATCAGATCGCGCTTAATAATAGTGTGAATAAACTTGCTATTTTTTAAACCATAAATATATCAAACAAGCATACTGTCAGATAGTAGGTGTTCCAAGATACATGGATTGTAAATATAAAATAAGTTATTTTTTTTTATAAGGATTAGAGAAATCTTAATACAACTTCTTAATAAAGATATAATAAGCAAAATGCAAAAAAGGTAAAAAAAGGTATCCTTTTTACTCTGACCTCTGCGGAAATGAGCAGGTAGATTGGGCCGCGGAGAATATTCTAGATGGATGGATGGATATAGAAGGATGCAGAGGGCCATTTTTTCTTTATTGTGTATATTTTCATTCAAAATTATTAAATATACATAGGTAATAATCCTTTATTTCCTATGGGCGTCGTAAGAGGCGACTAAGGGAACTTATTGGTCGAGGGATTGGCAGCAGCATCCCTCTTAAAATATTATTAAAAGCATAAAAGCAGTGTTCATTCCGTGATCGGGAAATTTAATTTCTTGTAACACTGAAAAATGATGCGCTTTGTTTTTTATTAAAATCTGTACAATTGGCCGATTGAATTGTGGCCCATTATTGACACTTAATGCTATAATCATTTGTGTGTATAATAATAGAGGAAGCTTTTGAAATTCATTAATCTTTTTTTTTTCAGGACGCAGCTCAAAATATTGTGAATAGGAAGAAACCACGTGTAGAAATCGAATATGAGACGGAATCGGTAGTAAATGTTTCAAAAAAGAAAATAAAACACTGATATAAGTGAATGTGCTTTTTTATTTATTTTATGCAACTGATAGCTCACAGCCCACCTTATGGGTGAGGAGAAGGGATTGTTAGTAATTAGGCTCAACAACCCCATTGCTAGCAATATAACCTATTAGGTTGATCTTCACGCGGTTCCTCCTAGAAAACTTAATTGATTCATTGTTAAATTTATCACGATGAGCTATTTTTTTTATACAACTTAGAATGGCAAACAAGCTGCCGGTCCACCTGATGGAAAGTGGTAACCGTCGCCTATAGACATGAGCAGTACCATGGACATAACAGAGACATAACTAACGGTATACTGGCGGGGCATCAGTGAGATGATATGTGAGGATGCAAGCAGGTCCGTTAGTTAGCTGGGTACAGAGGAATAACACCCGAGTCCTCAGGAATGGCAATGTATAAGGGGTATCATGGGCGAAACAGTATACTCTATTATGTCCATGGTACTGCTCATGTCTATAGGCGACGGTTACTACTTTCCATCAGGTGGACCGTCAGCTTGTTTGCCATTCTAAGTAGTATAAAAAAAAAACCAAAGTCTAACTGTGGTTGCGGCGACCCGCCTGCCAAGCGTGCTAACTACTGGCAAAACTCCCCTTATGGGGAGGCCTATGTTCAGCAGTGATCAGTTAACGGCTTGAATTAATTGAATTAATGACTCTTTTATGGACCGTCGTAAACTAAAAATATAATTTTTATTTAAATCTATTAGAAAATTACTTCATATTGGTCTTTACAACAAAAACTTCTTTAGGTTTAGAGAAATTGTGCTTCAGAATCCACTCCATTTTCAAATGTCTATAGATATGAATAATATGGATTTTTATATACTATGTAGAATATACTGGGTCGCCCATGGCATTTCATTTGCCATTATTGAGTACTAAAGTGTTTTTTTTAATGGATGATAATGGAATAGTAACCCTGCCAGCGCTAACGGTATACGCTGGCAGGGCACCAGTGAGGGATAATAAGTGAGAATTAAATGGCAAGTTAGTTAGCCCATCATGATGAATACGCCTGAAATTCAGCACTACGGTTTACTAGGGAGGACCACGAAGAGGTCGACTTGATAGGGTATATTACTAGCAACGGAATTGGTAGTCCGCATTATTACCAATCCCTTTCCCCTCGTCTTAAAGTGTTTTTTTAATGGATGATAATGGCATGGTAACTCCGCCTGCGCTAACAGTATACACTGGTGGGTGCCAGTAAGAGGTGATAGGTGAGGATGAAAAGGCAGGTCAGTTAGCCCATCGTGACGAATTTAATGATTAATTAGTTACAACAGTTTCCAGGGGGAACCGCGTGGAGGTCGACTTGATAGGGTATATTGATACCAATGAGGATTAACCTCCCCATTACTAACAATCCCTTCCCCCCGTCCTAAAGTGTCACATATAATCGGGTAGCACTTGATAATAATTTAATAGTTTACGCCGTCTATGTTGTTAGTAACGGGGACGTGCGTCCTCATTGTCAATCTAACCTGACTTCATCCTCACTTATCATCCGTCAATGGTATTCTGCATTGGGGTATTTAAACTTACTTTTTATTTTTTTCTCTTAAATATCTCATAATATCCCGCTAGCGTATACCGATAGCAAAGGCGGCATTATCACTCAATTATCATCCATTTAAAGAACATAATTATTTGCTCTTTGAAAGAATTTAATTTGAAAGAAATAAATAATTGTAAAGAATTTTGTAGATGGTGACGGTAAGCGACCAACGGCGGTATTATTGCTGTCATAACTCGTATTATGACGCCGTTCTGTTTGCCACGTTACAATATTGTTTACTGTTAGATGCGTGCCGTAAAAATATATCCAACGATTTATTACTAGGGTTGCCATAATTTTTTACGCTTCCGATCCAATATTTCTTTTTAATTGACTAGGAATACACTTACAGTAATATGTTGTTGATGGTAAGTTAATTAATTATTTTTTAAGCGACTCCAAGAAAAAAGAGTCTAATGTGCCAAATGCATTTTGTACGTATTTTATATATTATATACTTTGATATTTATTTTTATGTGAACAAAATTTTATTTTTTATAACATTTGGATCTTCGTTCTCCATAACACAAGGTATCCTAGCTTGAAAATTAGGCGATTGGTATCATCGTGGCATTCATTATTATACTATTAAATCTAAGTAATATGTATGTAATAATCTACATATCTGTGGAGCGCAATCGCAGACCATGTCTGACCTCCTGTCCTGTCCTTTTTGTATTTCATCTTGTACGAATTTCCACCTCAAATATCCATCACCTAACACCTCTTTATTCCTAAAAACGAAAATCTCCTGCAAACATTAATGATTACACTGTTTTTTTTTTTTTTTCAAACCGTGAATTTAGCGCAAAATAAAGAGACAAAACAGTTCAATAGTTAAAATAGATTAATGAGAGATTTGACATTTTTATGAATAAGCGAGTTAGGTGTTAATTACTATATGCTTACTTTACAAGTAAAAGTATATTTGGTTAACATAAACATTCTATTATTTGAATCTTTGGCCAACCCTTGTACCTATTTGTATAACCTTGACTGTATTTGCTCGGTGAGTTATGTCCATATCTTTATTAAGAGGAACGGGAGCTGATAGCATTATTGCGCACTGAAATAGTGGTCTGACCTTTGAAAAATGCTGTGTTCGGTGAAATGATGAGAAATGTATCTTATTTTTGTATTTATTGGTGTTAAGGTTATCTGCCTATAATATAAATAAGTACATAATAATAAACAAGTACACAGAGTGCAATCGGAATCGTTAGCATTATTTTAAGGGAGTGTTCAACTCCACACTTCCTTGAAACAATACAGTTTCACTAAACTGAACATTTTTATCAAAGAAATATAGGTCCAGAATGATAGAAATTTTGAGCCTTCCATTATTTTAGTAGGTATACAAGACTGCCAATGTTATGGAAGTTAGAATTTTTCTGTCGTTTTTGACTTTTGATTTTTTAGATTTACGTACCACCAAATATTTCGAATTCACCTTTTATATTGCTAAATACCTAGGGGTTTAGTTTAAGTAAGTAAGCTACTAGGTATCTAGGTATTATATAGAGATGTAGATACAAAAGAAGGTCTTGTTACAAAAGCAAATGCCTGAAGAGCCCCTTTTCAACTGATACGGTGACACTCAAAATGAAAATAAAACGAACATGACAGTGTTCTAAATATAATTTATTCATAGTCTTGACAGTAAATTGGGGTACCTATCGCGGTTCGGATAATTGTTCGTAATTCTGTAGCTAATCCAGTTAGCTAAATGAACGAAGATATTTTCACTTTTAATCAATTCCGTATTGTTCACTGATTTTATTGTTTGAGTAGGTATTATACCAATACTTAGCTAATGAAATGGAAAACGTAAATTGGACATTCACTGAAATCGATGTGCTCAGAATAAATGTTCCGAAACAAGATAACAACGTTACGACTTTGTTAGCGATATTCGATAACTTTGTCCTGATTGTGATTCTATTTATGATGTTGTAATTATTTTTATTCTTAATAAACTTATAAGAAAACTATAAGTAGCTTTTGCTCACTAGCTCGTACTCGTGGATTTTGAAATTTTACCCCCTTTAGTGGGGAATTTTCAAATTTACTCTCTTATTGTTTACCTACGCTGTATAAATAATCTTTCTGTAACAAGATGTAGGTATATTGTATGTATATGTGTATGTATGTGTAAGTATATGTATAGATGTAGGTATATATTTATGTATATGTATATGTGTATTTGTACGATAAAATATAATGTATTTATTTAATTTTGGCTGTTTAAAAATTGTACATTGCTGTATCCGCTGACATTGATGCTCCTTTCCACTTTGGGTTTGCTGGAAGAAAACTCTATCAGAGTTAAGCTCGCCTTTGTACTTTTGTTTACCTCTGTCATATTTTTATAACTAATGTGTACAATAAAGTATTAAATAAATAAATAAATAAAGATTCTATATTCAGCAGTTTCAGCTGTGCCTTGATAGGTATATGTGTTAGTCAGTCACTCTTATGCGAGTATTTATAGATTAATATGAAAAATAAACTTTTGTATGCAAATTTAGTACATTATGTTAAGTACTTACAATTATTATTTATTTCATTAGTTACAAGGAAATCCCGAGCATCATGGATTCCTCGATCAAAGCGTTAAGTGTGAATATGTACTTCACTGGCAATACCAATAATTTGGAGCCGGCCTATGTTCAGCAGTAGACAGGAGACGCCTGATGTGATGTTGAATCACACCATTCACGTTGTCTTCAATCTGGGCTATACTGTGTTACGAGAAATTAGGGAATGGACATCTGGAGGCACAACCATTAGTGTATTTAAAGTCATTTTTCAAAGGGTGCCTGGTCTCTAAATAGGCACATATGTACTTTCAGATGTCTTTGCAAAGATCTACTCGCATCCTGGAATGAGCATAAAATAATTATAAGATGGACGGGGCCTACTCGGCCTTCTTTAAATAGACGTATTTAAAGAAGGCCGAGTAGGCCCCGAACTCAACCTAGAACACTCAGATCTTGGCTCATTCAGAAATGTTCGTTTCCGGAAGTGACCCGACTGGGAATGGAATTGGGGACTTAATTAAAACAAAGCAACGTCCCCACCACTGGACCACTGGAGACATCTAGTAATATAAAACGAAAATTGTAGAAGTTATTTCCAATAATTAACACTAATCCACGGATAATTACAATTGGTTTTAGTTTTTTCTGTGTTTGTTCAAACAAGATGCTGTTTTAGCAGAAAAGGGATTCCTTCAGCAAGATATATGTTAGAACGTCACGTACTCACGTATGAACCCTCTTCATATTCGTGGGTAAATTAAAATGTAGCGGAGTGCGAAGTGGCCCCAAAGTCACTTGGGAGTTATGTGCGGTGCATGATAACTCCTTTAACGTAACGAAAGGCATCAAAAAGAGACCAATATATCATTTGCCTGTTTATTACTTACCTACCTATTTAACATGTAGTGGAAATATTTTATTATCGTTGCTTTTAACATTTTTTTCATACATGAATGCAATATTTTATGCTTAGATTATATAGATAGAGCATCGAGTCTCAAAATTAACTTTTTGTTAGCTAATTGTCAAATTTGCTGACTCGTTTTTTTTATCAGTGTTCTATATACTCACGCATATAATGTATCTTGACGTATCTATATTTATTTATTTTAAAAGGTACATCAACAGTGTAAATACAGACATTAATTTTAATTGATATACATGGCTTGCATCTTGCATTTACACCAATTACAGATGTACACAACATTTTCTTAAGTCATCGATTACATATTAACAAAACTGACAACAACAAAACAATAAAAATTAAAATATGCAAAAATTATAAAACAAAATAAATGTAGGAGCTATAAAGGAAACACTCATAACTATTTATTACTCAAAGTTGTATGAAAAAGTTGACTTGCTTTTCTCGAAGCATTTGTATGGAGACACTCTATCTATTTATCCTAAGGGTTTATATATTTAATACATTGCCTAGGAATTGCGGGTAATTATTAGGGTAAGTAGGTAATTATTAATATTATTAATGTAAAAACGAGTTTATTTGTTACTTAAATTAAAAATAATATTGGTATGATAACAATTGTTCTTATGAACCCTAAAAACATTGCATACAATTCAAATACACACACACACACATACATATTAACATTCACACACACACTCAAATGAAATGAAATTATAATATTTATTTTGAACCTTATGATGATAGTGCTAAAACATACAATAAAAAAATATAAAGAGCTTTAGTTCCTGAAGGTTTAACTAATAAATAGTCGCAGGTTTGCCGGACTACCAGTCAGTCAGTAAATTAATACATTATTAGCTTGGGTTGCGATTAGTGCACTACGTATTTCTTTTAATATTCAATTAAAAATGAAGCTGCTTTTAGTCTATGTAGTGGCTATTACTGTGTTGGCCGATGCTAGAATATTGCCGCAAATCAATTATTATAAGTACAAATTATTTGTTCCTACCAATATCGAGAACTCAATTGGTAAGAATTTATTTATACTTATTTTTTTATTAACTTTAATTTTTTATTCAATTTTCTTTATCATAACAAAAGTAATATGGGACTAACACGGGAATAATCCGGTAAATTAAGGTTTTTTCCGAAAAAAAAATACCGAATTCAATCGAGGTAAAGCCTGCTTTGATTTAAAAAATAAAGTACTTAATTGATTTTGATGAAATTTCTAATGGACTAATTTCAAAGTATATCATTTCAGATAAAACAGCATTTTTGAATTCGTTTTATAAATGACGGAGTTATGAAGTAACAAAAATAAAAAAATACAACTGAACTGAGAACTTCCATTTTGGAAATCAGTTGTAAAATAATTATAAAATGATTTCAATTTTAAATTGGTAAAGATATCGTGTAAAATACTTAATAAATTATTATTCTTTAATTTTTTTTAAATAAATTAATATTTAATTGGTTTATTCTGCCGCTGTCGTTATTTAGAAAACTGTTGTATAGATTTTAAAGTTAGATTATCTAGGAGTTGAAACTAGTAAATACATTGTATTAGTACTTTACATGATTTTATTTTCTATTAATATATAATAATTAAAGATTAAGAAAATGTTAAAAATATTTTTAATATTGCAACTGGTATTCGGATAAGTGTAAGAATGTTCAAAAACATACATATATAGACTATGCATAAATTTGAACATATTTCAATTATTTCTCTTCATTTAATACACATTGTGTAAAAAACTAACCAATTTAGCTTCAAGACTTAACATTATGCAATGCTCATTATTGTTTACGTAACTACATATATACATAAAACTTTATTATATTAAAAAAGATTAAATTTCTGTTTGTATTGGATAAATTAAAAAAAAAAATACTTAACCGATTGTAAAAATTCTTTTACCTACAAAAAGCCATATTACCAGCATTTTTTTGTAATAGACAAAAATGGAATGGAAACCCCGCCTGCGCTGTTAGTTTACGTCGGCGGGATACCAGTGAGTGATGACAGGTGAGGATAAATGAGATCAGTTGACCATTATGATGAATTCATCAAAAAATAGCCACGATGGTTTCCAGGGGGAATCGGGTAGAGGCTTATCTGTTAGGGTATGTTGCGAGTAATGGGCCTGTTAGATCTTGTTATTAAAAATCTCTTTCCTCATAAGCATTACCATTACATGGGCTGTATTTTATTTATAAAAAAAGTAGTAGTGGAAATTAATAATGTGTGTTGTATATAACTACAGGTGACGCGACCGAGGAGTCCACCAATACAGCCGTGGTAGCCAACAATCTGTATATTCCTATGGACATGAAGACGTGTTACAATAACACATGTGATATTACCTGTAAAATTCTCGGCTACAATCATGGCCAATGTGTATCTACGAGCACATGCCATTGTTTCAATTAAACAAGTATTAATATATTAATAAAATTTGTATACGTGACTATTTTATAGTTTCTTTCCTTTCATATAACTTTTAATAAATGATGAAGTGCCACTCTTGTAGTATTATTTTATTAACAAGTTTAATAAGTATGGTGATAATGATTTATACTTTGTACATATGTATTTATAAAACCTATAATACTTTTGCACATTTAAGTAGGTTAATTATTAAATGTATAGCTGTTTCTGGCTATACGGCGTATACGGCTTTTTTTACTAGAAGAGGTTCTTAGTTCGCTTGTATTTTTTGTGTGTATGTTACCAGTCTGTTCGGTATTTATCCTCTCTTAGAGGGAGAGATCTTGTGCAGCAGTGAGACGTTAATAGGTGGTTAAAAATTTGTGGTAAACGCATTGAATTGCCCTAAGGAATTAGCATTGTAAACTATGATGCCTCAAATTTCTAACAACGTATAAGTTGTTAATCTCTGTTCATATTGAAATTTAAATACCAATTACTGTTATATTATTTAATATATAATAATTAAAGATTATTTCATAAAACCTGACTTAAATTGTGATAAAACCAGTTTATTGATTTAATAACTAAATTATTGAACTGACTGATAAAATTTCTATGAGATTAATCTGTAAACATATTCTTGCAGATAAAAAAGATTCAAAGGTTTAGGCGTGAAAGCGTAACAAATAAACAAACTTACTTTCACATTTATAATATTAGTTAAGATATACATTTTACATTTATATTATACAATGTAAAATGGTGCTTACATAACGTCAGTGGTCGCTTGTTGTTAGAAAAACTTTATCAACTCAACTTCTTACAACTCCAAACACACTCTTCAACTACATACTTTGACTTTAAAATTTACATGTCACACTCTTAATTAACAATGATGCTTAAATGTCAATTAAATTAAATTATTGCGTAGATTCTCTCTTATTATTCTCATAGTAGTTTATAGTTGACGGTAAAAACTTTGGGTAGGTATTTCGTCCAGTCAGTTTGTTCGCCATACTAAATTGCATAAAAAAAAAATACAGAATAAATTAGTATCTATTTTAAAATTAATAATAATAATAATAATAATAATAACTTTATTGCATAACCATGATTTTAACAAACTCAGCACTGGAAATTACAGTAAAAGTAGATACGAATTCATTTGTACATTTGGATCAGTTTAAACATCTGTGTCTGAACTAGGTTATAAAACCTGTATCTCAGACAACAGCGCTCAACCCTCATTACATAGTATAATGTTAGTTCAGCTAAATTTTTAGTGCTACATATAGAATATTGATATTATATAAAGTTAGTATATCTAATTATAACAATTGGCAATAATGAAAATTGTGAAATAATGTGTCCCTGTGTGTAGAGTGTAATTTGAATGTATGTGTGTGGGAGAGTGTGTAAAATTATTTGTATGTTACTGTAATATTATTTAAATAATTTAAAGGTTTATCTTGAATTTAATTGTAAATTACTATCAGTTTATGGTAAAATAAAAGGAATAATAACTATCGTAAGTCATTATCACCATTATTATATCAATCGTTATGTGTCCACTGCTGAACGTAGGCCTCCCCCATAGACTTCCATAAGGAACGGTCCCAACCTATCAGCATTCACTGATTCCCTATTGTGTATGTGTTGCAGATCGTGAAGAAACCTTAATACTCTAATACACTCTTTTTGAAGAACCCTATACTGTAGTCGCTAGGAAAAACCTAGGCAGAGAGCTCATTCTACAGGCAGTGCGTTCGCGGGAGAAAACTTTTCTTAAACCGCGCTGTACGCGACAATTTAGGCTCTCGCGTGTGAGGATGAATTACCTATCAGTGACGAACGAAGTGATGATAAAATTTGAGGATGTTATTTCGAATAATTCCTCAGAATATAATCCGTTATATAAGTGGTAGAACACACAAATGGAAACAAGGTCTAGCCTTAGACTATAGGGCTCGATAGAATCTGCGAGCTTGGATCGCCGACAATTATCATAGCCCATCTTTGAACTGTATCAAGAGGCTCAAGCTGGTATTCAGGTACTCCGGTACGCACATAACATTATTAATAAAAATATGTGGAACAAAAACTTTCTTAAATATTTACATTTTACAAGATTATTTACAAGCGTATTATTTTGCCCGTAAAACAAAATCGGAAAATAATTAATAAGTGCTACACAATCACCTCAAACATCTTGTCTCAATCTGGGATACACTGTGTTATAAGTAGCTAGGGAATAAACATCTGAAAGCACAATCATTGGTGTACTTAAAATTATTTTCCAGGGGGGATTGGATTCTAAAAAAAAGGCGTGTACTTTCCGATATGTCTTTGCAAAGTCCGCATCTTGGGATGGGCACTAGACAATTCTGGGATGGGCGCGATCCACTCGGCATCTACGAGCTCAACCCAGACTAATCAGATTCGAGCTTATTCAGAAAAGCTTGTTTTCTAAATTGGCCCGACCGGGAATGTTATCAGGGACCTTATTTAGACAAAACAACGTCCCCACCACTGCACCACTGAAGATGTCTAGTAATATAAAACGATAATTGTAGATGTTATTTCCAACAATTAACATTAATCCATTCCTAATTACAATTGGTTTTAGTTTTTCCTGTGTTTGTTCAAACAAGATGCTGATTTTGCAGAAAAGGGATTCCTTCAGCAAGATATATGTTAGAACGTCACCTACTCACGTATGAACCCTCTTCATATTCGAGGGCAAATTAAAATGAACCCTCTTCATATTTTTTTTTTTTTTTTATACGTGGGTAAATTAAAATGTAACATAACAGAGCACATCGTTTCGCTCATGATGCGTTGCCATTCCTGAGTCAGATGTTATTCCTCTGTACCCTGTAAAGTCACTTGGAAAACACAACTGCTTCATGGTGAAACACGAATGTTCATGATTTTGTACAAAGTCTCCTTTAACATAACGAAAGGCATCAAAAAGAGACCAATATAGTTATTTGCATGTTTATTAATTACCTACCTACTTAACTTGTAGTGGAAATATTTTATTATCGTTAGTCGTTAATATAAAGAGCTTAAGTTCCTGCAGGTTTCACTAATATATGATTACAGATTTGCCGGACTACCAGTCAGTTACTAATTTAGTTCATTATTAGTTTGAATTGCGATTAGTTCAGTGCGTATTTTTTTTAATATTCATTAAAAAATGAAACTGCTTTTTGTCTGTGTATACTTGGCTATTATTGTGCTGACCGATGCTAGAATACTGCCGCAAATGAACTATTACAAATTATTTTTTCCTGACGATATCGACAATTCCACTGGTAAGAATTAATTTATACTTATTTATTTATTCAATTTAAATTTTTATTAAACTTCTTCAATCATAACAAAAGTAATATGGAACTAATACGCGAGTAAGTCTTGACTATTCAATAATTTATCGAGGTATTGATTTTGTTCCGAAAAACAAAACACTGAATTCAATTGAGGCAAAGCCAGTTAGTTGCTTTGATTAAAAAAATAAATTACTTAACTGATTTTGATGAAATTTCTAAGGCACTAATTTCAAAGTCATATAAAAAGAATTTTCGAAATCGGTTTATAAATGACGTAGTTATGAGGTGATTAATATAAAAAATTACAACCTAACTGAGAATCTCATCCATTTTACAGCTAATTAAAATAAAAAAAAACATTATTTAGGAATTGGTAAAGAAAACGTGTAAAATACTTCATATATTATTATTCTTTTAATTATTAAAAATACGTTGTAATTTAAATGAATTATTTTAGTACTATGGTTATTTAGGAGTGTATCGTGTGGATTTGAAAGTCAGAGTACCTAGTTATAGGATATAGAACAAAAAATTCGTGCGGAAACTATTAATGCTTTGTATTAGTTCTTACTTTCTAATACATTATTTTGTTTTGATAGAAACAGCATAGAAAATGTTAAAAAAATATTTTTAAGTCGATTCTTATTATACATTTTCAATATACTAACTTAAATCTGGGATTCGGACAAGTGTAAGAATAAATCGATTATTCTTACACTTGTCCGAATCCCAGATAAATGTGAACATATTTCGATTATTTCTCTTCATTTAATATAAATTGTGTAAAGAAACCAAACAATTTAGTCCGGCTTCAAGACTACATATTTCGCAATTCTCGTTATTGTTTACGTATTTAATTTTGTTATAAACAGTCGCCTATAAATATATACATATATATTTATGTATATCTTATATATCTTCGTCAATTGTTTACTTACAGTACTGCCCCTGTGCTGCTGTTATGTCCAACAGTACCTAAAGTATTAAATTAATATTGAAAATAGAATTTCATTTTTGGTTTTAATGGATAAACTCGAAAAATACTTAAACTTAAACTTTTTTTCACGTATAGAAAGTTACATTACCAGTAGTTTTTTTTTGTAATAGATGGAAAATAGTATGGTAACCCTGACTGCGCTATCGGTTTACGCTATCGGAGCTTCAGTGGGGGATGACAGGTGAGGATGAAGAAGGTCAGTTGGCCCATCGTGATCATAGAAAATTATTTACTTTCTAGGGGGAACAATGTAGAGGTCGACATGTTAGAGTAAAGGTTAGATCTGATTACTAACAATCCCATACTCCATGTTATTAGTGTTTAACAAGGGCTGTATTTAATTTTTCAAAACCGTGCGAACTCGGGGCGGGTAATACTAGAAATTAATAATTTATATTATTTATTTAAACTTTAATACACAATGAAACTATGTATATATGGCGGACTTAACATTGGACGGTGTTCTCTACCAGTCAACCATTGGGCAAACCGAGAAATAAGTAGGCGGTGCTTTATTGAATTGAAGAAATATAAAAATTAATACTTAATATATTTATATATTATATATATTATCATATAATGTGTGTTGTAATTATTACAGGTGATGCGACCGAGGACTCCTTGGTCGCAATACCAACACAGCAGTGGTAGTCAAGTCTGCACATTCCTATGGATCTGAAGACGTGTTACAATAATGCATTTGATATTACCTGTATAATCATGACCAATGTGTATCTTCGAGCAAAATTAATTCAATTATATTTCTTTTCTTTTATATAACTTTTAATAAATGATAAATTACTACACTTGTAGTATTATTTTATTAAACTTTAGTCAAATAATTATTAATACGAATTACAACATAACTAGCCATTTCGACTTCGATTAGGCGAAACTCTCAATTCGCTTGTATTTTTGTATGTGTATGTGACGAATATTTTCGGTTTTATCCTCCACTTAAGAGGAAAGATCTACATATATATATACAGCAGTGGGACGTTAAAAGGTGATTAAGGAATGTGGTAAACGCATTGAATTACCCTAAGGAATTAGCACTGTAAACTACGACACCTTAAATTTCTAACAACGTATAAGTCGTTAATCTCTGTTCATATTAAAATTTAAATACCTATTATTATTATACTACCGTATGTGGATCTTAATATATAATTATTAAAGATCGTGTCTCACAAAAAAACCGACTTCAATTGTGACAAAACCAGTTATTTTGATGTAAAATCTAAACTACTGAGCTAATTTTGATAAAATTTATCTTTGAGACTAATCTGTAAGCATATCTATTTAGATTAGAAAAATATTTTTTTTCAAATCGGTTTAGAACTAACGGATTTATGAGGCAACAAACATAAAAAAATATATAAGCGAATTGAGAACATTCTTCTGTTAGAAGTAGGTTAAAAATCCTATGTCACTATGTTTGTTCACGTTAAAATCCGATACCGCACAACTGATTTTAATGAAATTTTGTAAGTGTGTATAACTTACTTCAAGTTAAGTTTTGGTTCTGATAAGAAAAATGGACCTAGTATGTAGTTTGTTAATGGGTGCAAATGGACTACTAAAATAGGACAAAATGAAAAAATGCAAACCTCGCCTGCGCTATCGATATTAAGTAAGTCACCAGTTAGGGACGATGAATGAGGATGAAAAAATGTCGGTGGTTTCCAGGGGGAACCGCGTGGAAGTCAACCTGATAGCGATAATGCTAGCAATAGGGCTGTTAGAACCCATTACTAACAATCTTTTCCTCCTTGGTAGATGGTGGTAGTAGGCAAAATTACGTATGCCGTGTCAGCTAGTATTATAAAGTTCACAAATATGTATAATAACATACCACTGCTTGATGCAGCTCTCTCTTTACGATAAAAGGACTAGTTATAAGAATTTTTACGCTTATTTTTTTTAATTAATGGTTCATGTACTTACTCTTCATAAGAATGTATGTGTTATGTACCATGTTATGTACATGAATACATTATAACAAATAAATAATAAGTGAACATGAAATGCCTATAAATATTCCAGTCTGCACTACCGGTATACGTTGTTGGCATTATTAGTGAGTATAATGAGCAGTGTCCCACTGTGTGGTCCCGGCATAGAATAGACCAACTGTTCCTTTTCCATAGATATAGTAAGAGGCGACTAAGGGAAATTAATTGTCGAAAGATGCAGGAGCAGCGTCACTCTTAAAATACCACCAAAGACCAACTGTGCCAATCCGCCTACCAAGCGTAACAACTTCTGACAAATATATGTATACATATATATATATATATATGTATATATATATATATATATATATATATATATATATATATATATATATGTAATTGTCAATGTATATGGATATATATATGTATATAACTATAGGTATAGGTAATATTTTTCGTATTTGCATATTATATATAATTATTTATAGGTCATGTATTAGGTATCCGTTTGTATCGTCATGACATCTTGGTATGGATCTGTGTGGGGGAAACCCATTATTTGATGCGATTGTATATCGTATTACATATAATTATGTATGACATTTGACCTTGAATCTTGATGCATATATTTGTCCTTGTTTTTATGTTAAGATTACGAGTGTCTCGAAAAATTATGGCCTTGTACCATACCATAATATATAATTATTAATAAATTTAAATACGTACAATTAGGCAAGTTATTATATTTCTTTTGAACTTTATTTTGATTAAGATAGAATGTATTTTTTTAAATAATACGGTATCTTCAGTTTTGTTAGGTTTAACTACAGATACTTGGTTTTACTTACTCATTGACTAGTGAGCAAGTTAGTTCACATTTATTCATCTTGATTAGTGATTAGTTAATTTACTGCATATATATATATATATATATATATATATTTAAACATGAAGCTAATGTCAAGATGTTGACACAATTCGTCTACAACAATGACAAAGTATGCATTTGCTGACGAAGATGGCGATTTTATTTATATGAATTCATTATAATTTTGGATTTTATTAAATTGCTTCAAACAGATTAAAATATTGATAATAAGAAACCAATATGACGTTAAATATTAAAAATTGACTGCAAAAACTATTATAAAAATAGATTCACAATTGGAAGAGACTTGAGAACATCTGTTAAGTTCTCAAATTGTTCAAAGCAGGGTCTTTTTGAAGTCGCTATATATGCACTAATGAATAAATAAATAATTTATATACAAAAAACAGATCTTGCTACTCGAAAAAAACTAGTATATTTTTTTTTGTCATAATTTTTATCCTATATTTAGTAAAAATTAATATTCAAATAGGTATCAGAGAATTCAAGTTATATAGATTATAAATTCGGTCATATAATTTTTTAACATTGATATACACTGTATCTGTGACCTCCATTTAATACACATTGTGTAAACAAAACCAACAATTCAGTTTGGCTTCGAGACTAAACATTTCGTATTGCTCGCTATTATTTTAGTCATAAGTTATTTACTATTCCTTCAGAATTTAAAGTTCTATGCTACTAATGTTTAAAGCTCTTTTTGTTTGTAAAATATCATTGGAATACATAGTTTCTCGAACAGTACTATTGATAATAAACATTAATGTATGTTATATGCGATTACAGGTGACTCAGCCTTGGTCGAGGAGCGTAGTAATATAGGCCTGGAAATCAGGACTTTGTAGAGGTAGGTTTAGATAGGCTTACGAAGTGTTTCAAAAAAAATATGTGAATTTAATTGTAAAATTCTCGAATTCAATGATGGCCGCCGCATATCTTCGAACGTATGTTGTTGTTTTAAATAAATATAAACATAATATTTGTGATTATTTGACGCGTGTTGGAGACACAAATAATTTAATTATCTATCTATTTTGCATTTATTTTTATATATTGGTAAATAAATGATAAAGTCGTTTATATTTGCAGTATTTTTATAGGTATATTATAATAAAATAATGATTTATATTCTGTATTGTGTCTTTTTTTGTAAAATTTGGTAGGTAGATTGGTATGTTTATGAGATGACAATGGAATGTTAACACGGTGCTATTAGTGAGTGATGATGGCTGATGATGAAGTCCTTCTCGCGGTTCCCTCTGGAAATCATCATGTTTAATTATTGTCGAATTCATCATGGTGGACTAACTGACCTGCATTCATTCTCACCTATCATCTTTCACTGGTGCCTCGTCGATGTATACCGATAGCGCGGGCTATTCCATTTTCCCGCATTAAAAAAAAACATCCATTAATAAAAACAATGTTAACTACTTCATATTAAAAGTATAGCAATATTTCTTGCAACAAATTTTTATGTAAAAAAAAAGACTTATTCCAAACTAATATTTTACAGAAGAAATATCTGATTTATTGTTTATAATGGATAAATTCAGAAAATACACGATTTTAAAATTTATTTTAATTATATACTACATAGCTAGCTATATATTCAGCGAGTAATATGGGCTGTTTTATTAAAAAAAAATGCGTGAAGCCAGAACGAGACTTTTTTTAAATGGATGACAAGGGAATGATAACCCAGCTTGCACTAACGGTATACGCTGGCGGGGCACCAGTGAGCGATGATAGATGAAATTGAATAGGCAGGTCGGTTAGCCCATCGGTAATGAATACAACACGATGGTTTCCAGAGCGGACCACGTGGCGGTTGAGTCGACAGGGTATTTTGCTAGCAATGGGACTGATAGCTCGTATTACTATCAATCCTTTCCCCCCTCCCAGCTGGAGCGGGTCGCTAGTGATATATACAGATAAGCTTCTGTGAATTTAGAAATTTTCCCCTATTTGCACCAATAAGGAAAATATAATACCGAAGTCAGACAGACTCTTAAAACGATAAATACTTATCGAATAAAGAATTAACATCCTTATGCTGTCTAGATAAAATTTATTTTTCACTCCCAACTAGTTGGGACAGCGTAGCTTATCTAAAGTTTCCCGTGACAACTATTGTAGCCGTAGGTAAAAATGAATATCGAATGACCAATCAGTCCATTAATATCTTCCTTCGCGGCCGGTCCCGATATAAGTTGCTTATAATTTAAACAATTTTTCATAGTCATACACCAAAATGAAGGTCATAATCCTAGTTACGATGACTGTCCTTGTATTGGCTACTGCTAATGCTTTGCCGCGAATAGATTTGTATAAATTAGTGGTTTCCAATGATATTGGTAAGTTCTTTTATATGATTTATTCTTCGACTTCCTTCGTTTAATTTTGACACAGTTTTATTAAATATATAGATAATATGATTGCTGTTTTGGCAAGTCTGAACCGATTTTGAATTAATCTTAATTACAAAGCGACTTTGTTTGTTTGTTACCTCTTAGCGCCAAAACAATCAGTATTAAATTAGGCTGTGCGCTTCTTCTAATACTTGTCATAAAAACTGGTATTATATATTTTTCAGACAATTCCGAAGCAATGGCCGATGACCAGGAACTCAGCAAGACGGCTGTGGTATCTCATAGTCTGTACATTCCTATGGAATTAAGGGGGTGCAACAACAGCGGATGTGATAGTGTGTGTAGAGCGCTCGGTTTCAACCATGGCAGATGCGTGTCGGCGGACACTTGTCGTTGTTATAATTAAAGATGTAATTAATTCATTACGATTACACAATTGACTTTTTTTTATGGAAAATATTAAAAAAAATCTATATATGTTTTTGTGATTAAAAAACTTTTGTTCCGTCGCTAAGTGTAGTGATTGACAATTCCTTATTTCGTAACAATACCCGATAGCCAAATCTAGTCCCATTAGATTTTTTCTTTTTAACAAAAAATAATAATAGATTATTAATAATATTCCTCCATGTAATGATTTCAAAGTCTAACAATGTTTGTATTCTTATTTTATGTTTTTCTACTTTAATTAAATTTGTATGATTCTTAAAAATTTTCCTGTGTATTTATTTTTCAATTGACTTTTAAAAGAAGAACGTATAGCATTCGATTGTATTTTAAAATTGGCAGTGTTTACTCGAATGGGTTTTACTACATCTTTTCCTTATCTGGTTTTTGAAAAGGATAATGTACCGTTATACCAGCCAAGTCAACTGATGTTTATTTAGCATTTGTAGTGTTATACTTACCTACCTAATTACGAGGAAAAAGGGAGTGACTGACAAATATTGGTTATGCATTGCACTAAAGTTCCATATCATATAAGCGCATGCTTTTATGTATTATTATTATTATCATATCAACTGTATTTTTTTTAATGGATGATAATGAAATGTTAATCCCGCTTGTGCTAACGGTATACGCTGGCGGAGCACCAGTGAGGGATGATAGGTGAGAATAAAAAGGCAAGTCAGTTAACCCATCGTGTCGAATATACTATAGTCTGGCTAACTGACCTACCTGGGGGGAAAGGGATTGTTAGTAATGGAGACTGAGAATCCCATTACTAGCAATATACCCAACCAGGTCGACCTCTTTGCGGTTCCCCCTGGAAACTATCATGGTTAATTCCTAAGGAATTCATCATGATGGGCTAACGGGCCTGTTTACATTCTCATCAATCACCCTTTTCTGGTACTCGGCCAGCGTATTCCGTTAGCGCAGGCGGGGTTACCAATCCACTTTCACCCATTAAAAAAAAAACCATAGTGAGGAATTCAGCACGATGGTTTTAATTCAGCAATGCGACTGGTGTTCTGTATTACTAACAATCCCTTACCCCCATATGAACAGTTAACTATCTAATGTAGAATTCTGACCTCAAAAGGAGTGGGGGAGGACTGCCAGTAGTTGCTACGCTTAGCAGACAGGTGGGCAACCGCAGATAGGCTTTGATATTTTAAAAGAGACGCTGCTGCCCATGCCTATACCATTAACTTCCCATTAGACATTAAGTTGGCTCTTACGACACCCGCGAGAAAGGAAGGTGTGGCCCATTCTATGCTGTGACCACACGGCACATATGTAGGTATAGTTGATTTCTTCGATGTGTTTTTTTAATATTTCATTTATATTTTTTATTTTTTAACAAAATTTGGTTAATATTCATTAGGGTTTATTTCGATTTTCAAAAAAAAGAGCATTCAATTCTATTTACCAATTTGTGTGAATTTTTTGCGGTTATGTTAAGTGGCTACGGCGCTATGACTGAATCGATTTTCGTAATATTTTTGTAAGACAGAGTTTACTTCCTTGATGCCATATTAATTTTGTGAGGAACCAGGCTCATGATTGGTATGATATGAAGCCCATTTTTAGGGGAGTTAACTTTAACTTGGCGGGCGGGTTGGCAATCGCAGTTCGGTTTTGGTGATGTTTTAAAAGAAATTCTGCTGTCAATCCCTCGACCATTAAGTTCTCTTAGTTGCCTCGTACAATACCCACGGGAAAGGAACGGGTGGCCTATTCTATGCCAGGATCACATGGTAGGTTTTTCTTTTGCTAAAAGATAAAATTGTGGGAAAAAAAACTAGATAAATATTATGAATATTCTTGATAAAAGAGCACCAACGGAAATGAAGCTCAAGTTTTGTTATAAACTTACAGTTCACGGTATGGTATGGTATTGAAATCTAGGAACCATCTATTGTATGAAGGTAGTAAATAATAGAGAAATACAAGATCAGGCAATACGAGTTTCGTAGTGCTAACACTGCGTGCTCTCTGGCGGCGAGAGCGCTGAAACTAATGGTTCGTTTGTACATAAATAAGCCACACCTTCCGAACAAAGCTTCGGATTTTTTAAATCCAATTGCATTTGTTTAATATTGCCTTAGTTTCTTATATGAAGATACGAAGCTGATTCTTTTACCATTTTGTGCGCTAGCAATACCCGTTATATTACTTGCATGGTGTCATACATGGTGATGTAAAATTCTTGAGTCTCCATAATTAGCAATTTTTTATAATACCTGGAATGTCAAACGAGCTGACGGTCCACCTGACTTGGTTCGCGTGTCCAGTCTCTCATATCATTCTCTATCCCATATAGTACGTGTATATCAAATTTTATAGTAATTGGTTAAGTTGTTAAAGCGCTATAAGGTGACAAACAAAGAAACTCTCATGCAATTTTATAATATTAGTAAGTATAACATACTTTTTAATATATATAACGCACACTTAGGTATGCAGTATTGCAATGAGTTGGCGCCTAATCAAGTTTCGATCATGTTGCACCTTCGGTAAATAAAAACGATAATGTCCTCATTTCTGAGAAGGTGCAGGCAAATGGAATTGGTTGGTGTTTGCTGAGCAGTGTGTAGACAATGTTTCCAAGAAGAAATAACATAAGTGTTTATGTGTATACAGTAATGTATTTAAGGATTACATTTTATGTCTTTTTTATGGCAAACAAGTTGACGACCCGCCTATTGGAAAGTGGGAACTCTCATGAAAAATAACACATAAATACAAATGTCTAACTAAATAAATTATGAACTTTTTAGTTATTATATTGTATCATCATATTGTCTTATCAGCTTTTAACTGTCCACTGCTGAACGAAAGCCTCCCCTAGGGAAGTTTTATTTGTAATTGCCACGCTTGGTAGGCGAATTTACAACCGCAGTACCGATTCTGAAGCGCTATTTCTCTAAACCTATCTCTTAATTATGCCATTATAAATATTTTGTTTAAATTAATAGTTATGTAAAAATTACTGTCTTATGAATCAGAGATGCTATATAGCAATATCTGTATATTTTAGTTACAATATATTCTAAATGTCTTATCTAATATTAAATGTCGAAATGATCGCAATTAATATACCAGAGGGAGACTTTGTACAAAAGTCGATTGCGTAAATTTACTGGGTACAGAGGAATAACATCCGAGTCCTCAGGAATGGCAACACATGGGGGAGTCATGGGCGAAATTGTATACTCTGTTATATCCGTGGTACTGCTCATGTCTATAGGCGACGGTTCCACTTTCCATCAGGTGGGTCGTCAGCTTGTTTGCCATTCTAAGTTGTATAAAAAAAAAAAGGAATCCAACTGATATGGACGATATCAAAACAGGTGATGATCTTTTTCTGTCATCAGTGTCCAAAAGAATCCAATATTTAGATATTGGAGCAGTACCAACATTATGCTTATCATGGACCATCATATACGAAACTTACATACATATATTAATTTTAACTGAAATCTATTACAAATTGAGTTCATATTGGACCTTAGAATAAAGATTTAGCTGTGATATTAATTTAAAATTTTAACATTTTAAAAGTTTAAGACAAAATGCACCTCAGAATCGACCCCAATGCTTAGTTAATATACTTTAGAAGCATATACCTTGTGAAAGAAGTATTAGGTACTCTTAATCAAATGGTTAAACCCTTTAATTAGAAGGATTTGAGATGGATAATGGAGACAAGACTTCGTCTGTCCTATTTAGATAGGTAATCCTACAATAATACTTCTGCATCATCAGAGTACCGTGTCATTTTGGAATTATGATAACGTCATAGGATGTCACCTACACTGTTTTGCTATTTATGTACCATATAATTACAGTAGCCTGTTAAAAAGTAATATTAATGCATATAGGCTAGCTTATTTTATCATTATTAGTAAGAGTTTTTCGCAAAAAGAATGATGTTCAGTGGTAATTTATAAAGAAAATTTTGTTTCTAAATTATATAGTCTCCGGTCTTAACAGTCATTACCACGGGTATACATGACCACAGTATAAATTGAAATTGCATTTGTTAATTGAAATCGTAAAATAATATTAATTTAACAGTAATTTAAATAAATAAGGATAATAGGTATAAGTATTAGAAATTTTACAGTTTCTGCAGTTCGGTTAGATTAATACATGTAATTCAATAAGAATACATACATACTATTGTGCTTAAATCTTATTGAATTCGTCACGACTGTACAACTGACCTGCTTTTATCTTCACTTATTATCACTCATTGATGCCCCGCTAGCGTATACCAATAGTGCAAGCGGGGTTATCATTCTATTATTATCACCTTGATAAAAAAAACTGACCTGCCTTTTCATTCTCACTTAGGTATAATTCCTCATTAGTACCCTATTAGCATATATTGTTAGCCCAGACGGGGTTACTATACCATTGTCAACCATTAAAAAAATACGGTACCTAATAGTTAGTATTATAGGAACAATTACTTTCATTTTTGGTTATGAATGAATTAGTGAAAATTCTCTATTGTTTCCTGCAATGACTGACACAGATTATAAAGATTAACAATATGAACACAAACAAAAACTTGATTACATTAAAGCAAGATAAAGAAGTTGTGTATTTATTTTAATATAAAATGAGCAGAGCAGTCGACTTGTTATGACTAAAGTTAATAATAATCAATTTGTCAATTAGTAATCATACATACGTAGGTATTCAAAAATATAATAATATAATATAATTATCGTCCAACGGCAGACCATACAAAAACAAACTGTATCCCCTCAAAATAATAAGGAAAAGTATTAGATATATACGTTGTCGAATCAAATACACAAATATTTATCTTTAAAGCTGACTGAAGATTGAATTCCACGTCCTCGGACCATTTTTTTTATACAACTTAGAATGGCAAACAAGCTGACGGTCCACCTGATGTAAAGTGGTAACCGTCGCCTATAGACATGAGCAGTACCATGGACATAACAGAGTATACTGTTTCGTTCATGATACTCCCCATGCGTTGCCATTCCTGAGGACTCAGTTGTTATTCCTCTGTACCCAGTAAATTCACGCCATATCCCACCCTTCAAACCGAAACACAGCCATGCAAACACAACTGCTTCACGGTTGAAAAACGAATGGGACAGAGGTACCCAAGCAATCGACTTTTGTACAAAATCTCCCTCTGGTAATTCTCACCGCTTGTTGCTAGTTGGCAATGTTGGCAGATTGGGTATTTTTTGGGGTAAAAAAATTCTGGTGAAATTTTG